ACTTCTATGTAAATGTATGTTAGTATAACAAGAATAAAATTAACGACTAAAGCTTAGTCGTAACTTGTTAAATGGTTTGGAAAAAATGGAGCGCTTCAATTATGTTTTGAAAATTATTGCTCAATTTTTGGGTTTTGTTTAATGCTCTGTTTATCATATAGTAACTCATATATTATATATCTCTTATAATATGTATTGTATAATATGAGTAACATAGATTTTGAGTTTGAGACGTGAAATATGTTTCGTTAATTTAAATAATGGCCCAAAGTTTCGAATGCTTTGGTCACGGGGGGGAACAAGGTGTCCTCTAGTTTCCGTTTTGTCATTTTTATAAGTGGCCATGGTGTTTATATATAAATAAAGTCTTTAGCTCCGCCGTAGTTAGATACTTTTATTAGTCTCATAAGTTATTTCTAATATTTGACAATGCGTGCCTATGATTTACTACATAAGATAAGCATTGAAAAATTAAAACAGCTTAATTAATTTAAATTAATTGAGTAGTAAGTGGCTAGATTATTAAATTAATTTCGATTTATAGCTGCTTGTTAAAGTTCTTAAATAAAAAATCATAAATAGGACAGTTAAAAAGTTGATATAGTCTACCAACTCTTTACCTGTAAGCGCCCAATATAAAAGCCGGCTTAAAACATAGATAAAATAAGACAAGATAATATATGACAAAGAAAACAGAAATACCAATCTCATTGAGATTATATGACATTTAATCGTATTCCAGAAGATGTCTAATGAGGATTTTAAAAGATATAGTTGTTAAGAAATCATAATCTATTAAAAGATAATATAAAATTAAATATAAAAAACGTTATAATACATACCAATAATACACTGGCTTTACGTACAAGTATCCAAAATATGTGTAGGGTACTAGAAGCACATGTTCGAGTGATTTCACTGCAAAAGGAGATTGTTACCGACAGAGCGGTGGTCGGCGCGCGCGCCTCTCAGCCACTGCGCATGCGTGTTTCTTGCACATCATTCTAACTCCTACTCTTTAATCACTTTTTAAAACGCCACAGGTTCATTTGCTCTTTAGCTATCAGATATGAATTGTTTCATTTGTTCACACGTATACAAGTTGTATATTATACAAAATATGTTGCGTGTTTTAATATGAATTAATATATCTTCTATCTATTCTTTTAAGTAGAAAAAATCGAAGAACATAACCGTATTTTTGATTGTCAAATATCGCGACCAAGCTCATTGCGACCAAATGCCTTGTTTAGCATTTGACTCAACATCTTGAATTCGAAATTCCGGAAAAATATCATAAAGAGTTTCGTTCGGGCATGGCACAGAAGTCTGTTATACGAAACACGGGGCAATGTGATTCAGGACGATATATACAACGTAAACACAAGTCGAAAATGACAAAATACTATTAGAATAATAATATTAATCACTTTATTGTAAAAAAATAATATAATATGAACTTAGTTCACCTATCCTATTTTTTTTTATATCAGTATTCAGTTGTACCATTAAATGTAATAGAAAGCTGTAATTTATTTCAAATCTTGATCAAATGTGCGGACGTAAAGATTCGCAACGTAATATATCGCAAATTTCCCTCTTCCTGTACGTAAAATATTGCGTTTTTATGGCTTTAGCGTTATCTTATTATTTACCTACTCTGTAATAGCGGCTGATGTTGTAAACCAAATTAGTTTTTATAAGCATTGTCTGCAGATTACGCGAGTAGGACATTAAAAAAAATATTTTAACGATTTGTAACACTAGATGTCGTTATATATAGGCTGCAGCAATACGTTACGTCGGGTCTTAGTCACTACATATATAACCCTACGCTTAAATTTTAAATTACTAAAGGTTTGCTGTTTTTTATAGACCGTGTGTTCCGCAGGAAGGTTTTTATATACAATTACAGTATTTCAGTGGTTATTTACTTGGCGACTGCACAATTATAAAGTATTTGAGATTAATATATTAACGAAAGAATTTTTAAAGAAATAAGTCCTGTATATGTGTTACCGCGATTATACACTCATTACAAACAAGAACAACGATGCCTGTTTTGTATACTATACTGTTGTCTCTATTATACAACATTTAGGTATTTGTTTGAGTCACAAGCAGTTGAATTTAAAAGGTTTACCAAATTGTTTATTTTTTACAGTTATTAATCCATGTCATTTATGGTAACAATGACTGAATAAATACTGTCTGTAGTTTACGCGAGTAGTACACATTTAAATAAAATACTTTAACGGTTTAAAACGCGATATATATTAGTTAAACTTATTTTACTAATAATTTAAAAATCAAAAACAATTTGGAAAAAATTTCCCCCCCCCCCGGTCTCTTTTTAAAATTATTACATACTGAATAGTTTGCAATATTAGCTAAGGCTTAATAAAATGGTCTAATTTTATTATTTATCAGCAATTGGTCTTTTGCTATATATTTTCCATTTATTTAATTTAATTTGTTAACTAATAACAAACGGTCCGCCTAGTAAAGGAGGGGATAGTCAGTACGTTCACGTTTCTAGAATTGTTAAATTGCATAAATCATATAAGATCGAACGATATGGTCTTAAGATTAATAGCACCGTAATAAGAGTGCTTCAGGCGCAGATTTAGATCCAAGAGAAAGTAAAATTGTTTTATCGCTTCCAGCAGAAATTCAGTTGAACGGACTTATTTACAGATTTTAATTATCGCAATCATTTTAGATGTAACAACCGTTTCCCCGTTTGCATTTAATCTAATCTGTGGTTCTGTGTTAATAGCACTTCGTGTTTATTAAATTTGTGTGCTCTTTAAATAAATATTTTACTGTTGAAATCCCGTTATCCATACTAATATTATAAAGCCGTGTGAGAGTTTGTTTGGCGCTAACCTCAGAAACTACTGGTTCGAAATGAAAATAATATATTTTTTTACCATTTATCGAGGGAAGGCTTTAGTCTATAAAACACCAGACTGTGTCTAATATGAGCGAAGGAACAGGGAGAAATGTGGATTTTTTTTGAGATTTTCCGTTACGTTGTGAAAATGGTATAAGATACCCAAAATAATAAAGAAATAAATTTAATTCTCGGGGACTGTTTTTATGGAAATCAAATTCAAAATACAACATATAGTAGAAAAACATTTGCCAGGCCATCTTGTTGTGTATACAAGGGCACATTATTTACAGATACATGGTCATAGTGGTTATGACTTCTGTGGTAGTAAAACCTCATGCTTAAGTCAACGTACAACACATCTTACCTTTAGCGGAGGCAGCCAAATAAAGGTCAAACGGAAGCTGAAACTAGCGATAGTTAAGCAACATAAGAATATCAAACTTTTAAACTGAAGAAACAACTCGCTCCTGACCTTTTCACGATTTTAGTATAAATCATTATATATACGTTATGATTTTTGTTTTGTTACAGGTAATTGCGGTTGATTTTTAAAAGGTAAACTCTTCAATCCTCTGTATCTATACTAATATATAAAGCTAAAGAGTTTGTTTGTTTGAACGCGCTAATCTCAGGAACTACGGGTTCGAATTGATTTTTTTTTGTGTTGGTTAGATTATTTATCGAGGAAGGCTATAGGCTAAAACATTGCGTTGAGACTAATAGGAGCGAAGATACAGCGGGAAATGTGAACAAAACGAGTTAAATTTTTCACCTCTGTGGGTTTCCGATGCGTACGTTCAAGATACCTAAAAATGTGTATGAAACAATGATTTCCCTTTAAATGATCTAAAAAAAGGACGCTATATGTCTATCTTTGAAGATTAACTTGCAAGAATGACGGGAAGGGTCGCGATCGATGTCGTGGCTAACAGCTTAAGCTTACAAAGATGGGGGTTTGCAAACCTAATTTGGATGCCCAAACTAACGATACAATTAAAGATAATTTCATAAGAAAAAGCACGATTTAGTGGTGAAAACTTAGGACACGTATTAAATTTATATTGTCACCTAGTTTTAAACATCATTAATGTACTTAATTCTCTAACTACCGCCCACAAAAGCTTTATAATTTGTCTAAATCTCAATACAGGGTATTACTATTCGCTACAAATATAACTTAAACCTCACCCACTTAACATGTCTATTTACCCAGTTACTTCCTATGATATGACCCGACGGGTCAAAGTGTTTGTTGGACAATGACTTGAAATTTTTATGCAATACCTTTGCGGCCAGGTTGTGGTCATAAGTGGGTTATTGTTCGAGTTTATGCAAGCTTTTGTTCACATAGACTACAACTACAAACATATTTTAAATGAAATTCAAATTCGTATGGCCAACTATGAAAATATGTCCCTCTTGACACATACTTATAATTTTCGTGATTCACAAATAGGGAGTTTATTATTTTTCACCGGTACCGGTAAAAAATACATTTTACCGGTTTTTAGTACCGGTAGTACTGCAGTACATTGCTGGGCGAGCCCCATCATATCTTGGTTGGTATTTTACTTACAATAGCTATATATTAACAACACAAACAATTTAAAAAACCACCTTTCTATTTTATTTATACTCCATACAACACCATATTTATCAGTTTAACAACCCCGCGCCATCTGTACTTTTAAAACTCAAGTTAAAAGTGTTCATCGATATTGAAAGATAACATTTACAATCTAAATCCGCTTTATTAGCTCCACTGATAGGTGGCGCCTACGTCGATAACATACATACATCTAACTAAATAAACTGGTAATAAAGCCGATTTCAGATTGTACATGCACTTATAGATCTAGTCTAGATTAAAGCTAGTTTTTGTTTGATTCCTTTTCCTTCGTTCCTAAATAATATAATTCTAGTTTATAATAAACCTTTGCATATTTCGAGCATTAATTTGCATATACATGACTATTATATTTCACACAATTTGAACTTTGATATCTTACTCAACCTATTTCAACGTTTTGATTTCACTAAATAGGCTTAATTAAAGTGTTCAAAGATGTTTTAAGTTTATTAACCTAATGACTATAATCTGTCACCTTTCAATAACGCAAGTTTTATTCTTTAATAGTAGTTCTCCTAAACTTGAACATTTTAATGCATTTCTTCTTCTTCTTTTTTGAGGTTTGGACAACCAGGTCTCTTTGATGAGGTCACTCCCTTTTTCGCCTATCATAATTACAGGCGCATTTATGTTTCCATTCGTTATTGCTGGCATTATACTAGCGTCTATAACTCGAAGACCCTCTATTCCATACACCCTTAGTTTCGAGTCTACAACAGCCATTGGATCCGTCTCTGGTCCCATCTTCGCTGTACACGACAGGTGATAAATTGTCATCGTATACTGTCTAATATAGCAATCCCAGTATTCATCTGTATAAAGAGGGAGATGCTTACAATTGGGCACTGGTTTGCTGTTAAACCTTGCACCTAGACGTTTCATGGCCTTCGTTTCGGCAACGGCCAAAGCAGCTTTCACTCCTTCTCTTAGAACCCCGACGTCGTCAGGATGTGTTAAATAGTTATGATACATTAACGGATAATCTAATGGATTTTTAGAACGCAGCTTTATAAAACCTCGACTCTTCGGTCGGAGGATCATAGGGAAAATTCCAAACACGTCCTTGTTAGTAATGTGTCCGAATACTTCTTCGTAAAACTCATTCGTGAGACTGTGCGCCTTTTTCACCTGTGTCCCGCCGTCCGAGGGCGTCGAAGCCGATGTCATCATGAACTCTATGTCCGGCCAATCTTCTGACGCATTCGCATATTTTGTATTAATGAACGAAACTACTTCTAATCCGATGCTAGAAGTGAGTGGTCCATTTTCTGAAACGGCGTACCGCAGTGCCGAGTTTATATTAACAAGTCTGTTCATTACTAAACTAATAGGATAGTCAATTTGGAATACTACTCCGCCTACGGCAATGTGATCTTGCAGGTTTTTCCCGACTCCGGGCGAATCGTAGATCACATCAACACCGACTTCTTTTAAATGTTCCGCTGGGCCCACTCCCGACAACATTAATAACTGAGGCGATGCAATAGCGCCAGCCGAGAGAATAACTTCGCGCTTAGCGTATACAACTTGCTTTGCATTGTCTCTTATAAATTCCACGCCATAGGCGCGCTTTGTATCTTTGTCTATAAGAACTTTGGTGGCGTGGGAAAACAGAGCAATATGTAAGTTCTGACGTAATCTAACAGGTCTGAGAAAGGCCTTGGCTGTAGAGCATCTGGATCCTCTCCGCATCGTAAACTGATACCAGCCGTAACCAGTTTGTTGTGCGCCGTTGACATCTATAATATCGTATCCCATTTCCTCGCCGGCTTGTAAAAACGATGCGCCGATGGGTGTGTTGTATGGCGCGTCTTGTACAGGCAAATATCCGCCTGAAAGTACAGACATAACTTTGATTTTACCTTTGCTGGAGGTGAGAAAAAATGCACTCTAAAAGCAAAAGTTTTTGTAAATTCAATTATATTGTTACAATTATAGCGTAGATGAATATTCAATAATTGCACAGTTTGTTTTTGCTTAGTGAGCGATTTTAACAAAAAAAAACACAGTTTTTCTAATTTGCATATCTACTTGCTGGCAAAGATAGTATAATGAATCGGTTTTATTTGTAGCGAAAATTTCAATTTAAGAATTGAAGAACATATTATTTATACAAACCTATAGAATGGTGTTTAGTATCTTTTGACAGGTATGGATTTCTTTGATCCTCTGATTTTTTGAAATAAGGTAGAACGTCTTCATAGCCCCAACCAGGGTTTCCAAATGACTCCCACTGATCGAAGTCGCGTTTGTTCCCTCGAATGTACAACATGGTATTGAGGACTGAAGAACCGCCTAGTACTTTTCCTTTAGTCCACGAACAGCGTTTGTCTATCATGGCTTGACATGCTGAATCTTGCGGCTGGGTTCTGAAATTGAACAGTTTAGAAATTTATAAGAATTCATATATTATATGGATACATCTATTTTGAAGTAGTTCATTATGGCGTCTGTTGATCTATTAATTGCCAACTTAGTATCTTATTATTTTTCTTCTTTATTATATTAGGGTATTTCAGTAAGAATAGTGAAAGTATTAGACATATTTTGTTTCTCAGGGTTTTGTATAAATTTGTAAATAATTGCAAACATGCACTTAATAATGATTCGTCACACCAATGTGTTTTTTACTTGTTATTTAAATCTTATGAAAGTGTAATTGGGCAATAAAACACTTAAAACGGTTTAGAACGGGACTAAATTAATTAACTTACGTATTATTTATCAAAGTACTAACCTATACTTCCAATCTAATTTGCTTTTATGTAAATATATAGATAATAGAGGCACATCGCTAATATCTGTTTCATGTCCACCAGCTTCAAGTAACAAAACATTCCAGCCTTCTATTTCCGACAGTCTATTAGCAACAACAGCGCCAGCGGATCCTCCTCCAACGATTATGAAATCGTATTCTTCTCTTAAGTACTTCTGGTTGAAGGGTCTACTTTCCGGGTCCAGAAGTTCATAATTAAAATACGCCATCGCTGCTAGCATAGCTGGTATGAACGTCAATTTGCTGAGTCCGCCTATGGTGAGGGCAGACTTAGCAGCAGTTGATGCTACTGTCAGTATTCCCATTTTTATCGGCTTTTCATTCTGGAAAATAAAATATATATTTTAAATTATTATCAGGAGGGAGCTTAAACGATAGTAAATGTGAGCTAGGTTCGTGAAATAACACGAGTACCAGAAATTGATGGGAATAAAAGCACTATGTTTTAATAAAACTCTTTTAAGGGTTTAATACGCGAAATTGATTAAGTAATTTATTTACAATTTATAGCCTAAATGTATTCCTACATACTACGAATGCTTTTTTTTCTGGGCCCAATATAAGGGTTGTATGAATTTAATTAAATTGGGGATGGACACATTATCTTAGTGGTCAGAGCAACAGCACGTTTGGGTTCAGCGCGCGGTCTCGTTGAATTCTTTCGTTTGAAAATAGTTTTTTATTATGACTAGAATTGCCATTAAAATCCAATATGGTAAAATATGATATCGACCTATGACAATGTATCATTTCCGTTAAAAACACGATATGAAGAGTGTTGCAATTGGTAATAACTGTGTGCATATTGTAGGTTATTGTCTAAAGTTCACAGGTGATTTTTCTCGTATTCATATTAGGAAAGTCTCAAATTACATGCTATTATTATGTAATATGCACCTTTGACACGCTATTGTTTGTGTCGTTGTGTATCTGTCACTATTAATTAGTATATTAGCATAACAGTAATTTGTGAATAGTTTCACCGGAAGTAATGACTTTAAATTCTTAGACATTCTTTATCATTATATAACTACTTGAATCTTTATTTTTCTTTTGTGTTGAGCCACACTCTATCTTAGGAAAATTGAAAAAGGCATTTTACATAGAACACATTTTACTTGAAACTTTTTCAACGCAATAATAAATATCAGTTATTCAACTCATCAAAATCGAGCGAGCCGTTTAAGAGACCAGTTCAAAACACTCCTTGACATGTAAATTGCAGTGTATACATATGGTACCGCACCACATGTATAAAACGCACATCGACAACGTCCTTGCGACTCGGTTTGCAATATCTCGGATTGGGTTACACAACTGAGGTGGCTACGTGACCATTTCAATATTAAAACGCTTTAGATATTGGGCCTCATTTGGATTACTATATTTCTTAAGACTGTGGAAGACAGACAAGTTTAAATTCAAAAGAACATAATATGGATTTGTCCGGAGGTTATTTTGGCTTTAAACATTGGGAAATCCATGGATTAAAACTGAAATCCAGAATATCTCTAAGTTTAGTTATATATTTGAATAGCATATTGACACTGTCTATAGTTTACGCGAGTAGTACACATTTAAATAAAACACTTTAACGGTTTAAAATGCGATATATTAGTTGAACTTATTTGAAAATGATTTTTAACTTCGGTCCCCCCGTGACCACGGCTGCTGCAAAGCATCCGAAACGTCGGTCCGAAGTTAAAAATCATTTTCAAATAAGTTTAACTAATATATCGCGTTTTAAACCGTTAAAGTGTTTTATTTAAATAGCATATTGACATTTCATTTATTATATATACATTATTTAATAAGTTATTTTTATGTTGGTTTATTATAATACATTTATAAGTGATTGGATTGGAATTAAAAGTAACGACAACCGTTCGAATAGTTAAGTTTAAGGTAATTAGTAAAAAACACATTTAAGTTTAGTGTTAAAGTTTAAACGAGTCTATTTAATTCAACTGTGAACGGTGGTTTAAATAGATAATAATTTCCATTGTAGGTGATCGCGTTCATGAATTATGTAAGAAGTTTAACCTTATTCTTGAATAGTTTGTGCTGTAATCAATTAATAATTTTGCGGATTTGCAGAAATACTTTCTTGCATATACTTGTTCAAAGGTATTTAATGTTTAGATTTGAGACCGCTAGAGGCTGCTAGAGTAGCCTAACAATTCTATGACTATATATATTTTATAGATAATAAATCGAAATTTATTAAAAAAAAAAACGATTTGGACATTGTCAGTATTCCATATTTATATTTTTAATCTACTTAATCTACAAGAGTACAGTGACCGAAAATTGGTATCATAATTCTTACACAAATAATAGTACAGATTTATTTGCGCCTTTTTTATTTTCCTCTTTTTTGAAAATCAAGTTTTTCATGATTAGTTCAATTTATAGCTAGTTTAGTTAGCTTAACATAATTATAGTTGACGTATATTTTTTGTAAGACTAGATTAATTTTTTTAAGCAGATCATTACTTGATTTTATGTAGCGATTACATAATTTGAGCAATCCTTTATCATTAAACTTTTTAAATATACAATAAACTAAGTGAAATTTTGGTTATTCTTGTATACGGGTTCAAAATAACACAAGCATGATCCAGCTAAAATGTTTTGATTTTGACTTATTATTATTTATTAATCTCACAATTATTAGTTTTGTTTTAGTGCTCAAAGAAAAAATCAATATATGATTTCAAAAATAATGCCCACTATATCCTAAGTTTAATAATAAAGTACCAAGTTTGAGCATTTTTAGTAAGAATGAGATAACGGGACGGTTCCCAGGCATCCGTGTCAAAGTAGACTTTTTGAATCTAGAACATGTCGGCTTTCTTCATAACATTTACGCCATTGCGGAGCACAGTAGTATTTGTGCACGACTAGGATTGCTTCCCGTCCTCACTATCGCAATTTATATGTACTAGACTAATTCGTTCTCTAGTAAAACTAACTTTTAACTCTAATAATTATAACTGTCACTGTCTATTGTCAATCTATATACTAATATATATAAAGCTGAAGAGGTTGTTTGTTTGAACGCGCTAATCTTAGGAACTACGGATTCGTATTGAAAAAATATGGAAAGTTATTATGTAAGGTTTTAGGCTTTAAAACATCGCCCTGTGACTAATACAAGCGAAGATACAGCGAGAAATGTGAAAAATCGGGGAAAATTATTCATCTTTCCAATGCGTACGCTGCGAAAACGGTTCAAGATACACAAACAATATGTGTAAGAGAAAGATTCTTCTTTAAATTATCAAAAAAAAATTTCGCGACAGTATATGTCTATCTCTTAAGATGAACTCGAAAAAACGACGGGAACTGAACGACGGGTCGCGAGCGACGGGACGCGACCGATGACATACACATGAACAATTTTGGATGCCCAAAATAACTATTCTATGTGGACAAAGTCGCTGACTCAGCTTAATAAAATAGTATAGGCTGTCTCTACTTTGATCAATTAGGTTTTTAAAATATATTACTTGACGAAACTTGTTTAAGAATAGATTATATCACATTCATATAATTATACTAAAAGCCTTCCTGGGACCTAAAATTTATTTATTTTTAGATAAGGATTAAGTTTCATTCATAGTTGTCTGTTCCAAAGCACACCACGAACCGGTAACATTTCTTGTATTCCGCTGCCTTGAAACCTTTAAGGCACGAGACGAGATTTTGTAATCATTTTGTAAGCCAGGATGGACGAATTTGTGTCACGTATCTCCGTCCAAACTGTTTGACCTATAGTAATTACCAAGTAATTTTCATTGTTAATGGGATTGTTGATACAATACAGCTCAAAAACTGTTATAATTTTGGCCCGACACAGCAGATTCGGAATGTCAATGCGTCATATATAAGTAAGAGTCTACATCTGATTATATAATCCATGCTTTATCGTCTGATTGATGTGTGTGATATATGTAAGTACCTAGTATGTTTCATAATGCCTTCTTTATTATTACCAACTAGCTATGTTAAATCAGCGACAAAATAAGTTTCAAAGTCCGCGTAGAATACTTATTTTGATAAACTCTATAAATTTAAGCTGTTACTCGCGACGTCGTCGGTGTTCTGTCGTTCTTGCAAGGTAATCTTAAAAGATAGATATACAGTGTCGCAAACATTTTTTTAGATCATTTATAGAGGAATCATTCTTTCATACATATTGTTTGTGTGTCTGTAACCGTTTTCGCAGCGTTCGCATCGAAAACCCACAAACATGAATAATTTTCCCCGTTTGTTCCACATTTCTCGCTGTTTCGTCTCTCTTATTAGTCACAGCGCGTGATGTTTTATAGCTCCCTTGCTTAACGCTCTAATCAACACAAAAATATTTTTTCTATTCGAACCAGTGGTTCTGAAGATTAGCACGTTCAAACAAATAAACAAACTTTTCAGCTTTATATATTAGTATAGAGCACAGATATAGATTAAAATTAACCAATTATCGACAATCGTGTCAGACCGAGCTCGTTTCTTGGTCGAAACTTGTCTTGACGGCAGCAATCGTTTGTATGTGTTAGTGACATGACAGTGATTTTACAATCTCAAACAATTATGCCGCATTAAACTTAATTAATATATATTTAATTATAGTTATAAGGATTACTGGTTTAGTTTAAGTTCGTCACGGCTTATCCGATTGAGATTTTCTACGATCTTTAAGCCAACGTTTTGTACCTGCCACCAGAAGCTCTTTATTGTAGTTGTTTATGCATCAAAATTGCAGCATAACTAAAATATTTCACTACATATTATATTTTTGGTATTTATAAAGTACAACTGTTGTACTGAATTGAAGTATACAATCTATTTACTCACAGTTTAAAAGCTACGAACACAGTGAACATTTTTGTCAATTATCTATATCTATACCAATATATAAAGCTGAAGAGTTTGTTTGTTTGTTTGATCTCGCTAATCTCAGGAACTACAGGCTCGAATTGAATTTTTTTTGTGTTTGTTAGATCATTAATCGAGGAATGTTCAGATGCGTACGCTGCGAAAACGGTTCAAGACACCCAAAAAATATGTATGAAAGAATTATTCCTCTTTAAATGATCTAAAAAAATATCCGTGACACTATATCTCTTAAGATTCACTTGCAAGAACGACGGGACGATGTGTGAGCAGCTCAAATTGTTGCAATTAAGTTTGCAAAAACAAATTTGGATGCCCAAATAACTTTTCTACGCGGGCAAAGACGCTGACGCAGCTAGTTACAAATACTAACAATTAAAAATTTTGCAAAAGCTGTGAACGACTTGTATAAGTTAAAATTCTTTACCACTAGTTGTACAACTTTGTACACTGTAATTATTAGCGTTTAAGTAATTAGTTTGTTAAGTACGCGCGTATAGTTTCATAAAATAATTATAAAAATTACCTCCATGTAAAACTTATTTATATTAACAACAAACTAATGACAGATAGGTATTTATAGAACAATATATTAGCATAATATTGATACGAGTTGAGACTCTAGTTTGTTGCTTTTAAGTTGCATTGCTCTTATTTAGGTCTTTCGAGATATTTCTTACCTAATTGTATTATATCTTAAGCATTCATGTTGCATAAAAATACCAAATAAAAATAGAACAGATAATTGAGAAATGAGAAAATGTAATTGCAGCTAATATTCAATATAATATTTTAATATTCGAATATAATATTTATTTTTATTAACAATATTTTTTGATTTGATTAAGTTTGACCGCCACGATGCGCTCATAACTTCGAGTACCGCCAGTGTCATCAAATTAAAATAAAATAAAACGCGATATATATTAGTTAAACTTATTTGAAAATGATTTTTAACTTCGTTCGACGTTTCGGGTGCTTTGCAGCAGCCATGGTCACGGGGAGACTCTGTCCCCGTTATCGCGTTTTAATCCGTTGAAGTGTTTTATTTAAATGTGTACCACTCGCGTAAACTACAAACAGGATGGTAAATTTGAATTTGATAAGGTATACGATTGTTTATATCAAATAATATTTCATATTAATAGAAAACATAGTTATTAATTAATACTACCTAGAAACCTAGTAAATGTATATGTAACAGTGTATTATTTACCTTTAGCGTGACGTAACGTTCAGAGATGAAGTAAATCACATCAACGGAGTCACAACACTAGCACCTGTTATTCGATACTATCTCACTCTGCGCTCGTCTGAGCCCCACCCGAGATACTCTGTCGCAACCCGGTGAATGGTCAATGTTAACGCTTAAGGGGTAGTGCTTAGCTAATGCGCTTCTCTTGAAGACGTTAAGTTCCTTATTGCGCAAACGAGAATGGAGAATATCCAACAGTTTTAACTGTTTAGAACTGACTCTCATAAAAGAAGAAACACTAACTGTATAAGGCAGAAGTCAGATAAAGAAATGAAACATACAACGCTTACAACTCACATACAACTATATAACATGATATGATTTTACTTTATTACTTTTCAATTTAGTCGCGCGTTCATATATCTATGTGGCGTTATATAAAAATTAAATCGGATCTTTTTTAAAAGTTTTATTTAGCTTGACCCGTACGTAATTTATTCATTTGGGCCGAAATTAGAAATTTAAGTACTTTCCCGTCGTCAGATTCATCTGAAATTTGGTGACGACATTTAATTTAGATGACAATACAGTGTAATAAAATAAATAACATTATAAATCCTAGATGGCCGCCGATACAAAATGGCGGATTACATATTTTTCCAAAAAAAATTTTTTTGTAGTGCACAAACAAAAAGTTTTTTTTTAAGTTGATATTTGTTTAAACGTCATCTTAGTATCTACTGCATATGTGAGATGAAGATGTTCGCGAAATCAAATATTATTGGCTAAGCCCGAAGACCCTCTTACAAACTCTCTGTGCGTGCTAATCATCTGCACCTTTCCTTTTCGCATTTCAAGAGCAGGTTGGGAAAGACGCTATAGAAAACCCCATTGCATAATTTTGTATTTTACAATGCTACTTTACTTGCACATATTGTTTCCCAGTTTATTGGGACGTGCAGCGTAGGAAGTTAAGTAATATATTTATTTCCAAAGAGCGTTATTGTATATGTTATAGGAACGAGCAAACAACGGTTTGTCCTCTATCGGGAACATATTGGACTATTCAAGGATTCACTTCAATTATTATAATACTTTTTTTTAATGATAAAGTAGCACTAAGCCATTTAACATCTAAACAAGATGCTTTGTCGAAATGTTTTGGATTTGGACATACGAAATTCAATTAAAATGCAATTAATTTGTATGCATATTTATTTGTAATTACCTTCGTATAAACACACATCTACATATTTTGTACTTATTAATTATTGCGTACCACAGATTAAAAATTTACATTTTTCTACTTATTGATAAATGCGTAACATGGATTAAAAATTTACATTTTTGTACTTATCTATAATTGCGTACGATCGATTAAGCAAACGAAATGATGGCATTGTAAATTACAACGAAAGCCTCTTGTCCCATATGCGAAAGCCGAGGAATTTCAACATTGTGTCGTTTAACGAAACATTGACAAGGTCAGTGCTCGACACAATCGTGCCGTAAGAGTCCGATGGATTGCATTCCAATAGCCTATACAATATTTCAATCGCTATAACAGTATCTCTTTAACAGTCTACTTTGTCATATAATTGCATATCGTTGATAGCATAACAATATCGCGTATATTATCAACACATCGGTGCTGCTATATAATATAATGAAATCGATAAGATCTTTTATTTTACATACACAATAAGATTTTAAAAAACACGGGCGAGAGGTGCATGTATCAAAAAGTTGAAAAAAATCGACGATGAGGTGTAGGACTCAATTGGTTAGATTGCTCTACACGCAACATGCAGCACTGACAATGCCGGTTCAAGTCCTGCCCGAGTCGTTTTCTTTTTCAATTTATAGTCGATTTTTAATTAATATCCTATACGTACAAATTATTACAAAAATCTCGAATAAGTAAAGCTATGTGGGGTATGTAGGGATTATCAATCTGAGTATGTATAATAAATCAGCTATGTATATAATTATGCATTGTATTAACACACAATAAAATATATTACAGATAATCGCTAAATAAAACCTCAAACAAAAAACTTAATTGAAGCATTTCTAATAATATTTAGCTTCTAACTTCTCACCTACAACTCATTTCTATTCTTGTATTTATTTAAAATTATATCAACACCCTTTTGAGCTATTACCAATGTTGGAGCCATAGTATTGCCACCCGGTAACGAAGGCATAATACTCGCGTCTACAACCCTTAGATTACTTGTGCCATGCACCAGCAATTGGTCACTCACTACTGAGGTTTTATCCCCTTTTGGACCCATCTTGGCACTGCCGACTGGGTGGTAAATTGTGGTTGCCATATGTCGAATATAACATTTCCAATAGTTTTCCGTATTAAAAGACGCCGAACACGTAGGAATACGTAAATGTAATATTTCCATGGCAAGAGACTTAAACGCCTTTGTGGCTTCTAATCTGTGTACAAAATTAATGGCCTTTAATAGTGTATCCATATCGTCTGGATGTTGAAGATAATTTGTTTCTATTATCGGTTGTTTCTCCGTCTTAGACAGCAAAATACGGCCTCTAGATTTCGGATATAATAACGTAGGATATATGCCAATTAAATCATGCTCATTATTCAGTTCTTGGATCGCGTGTATGATTTCTCTTTTATAACGGAGGCCCTCTAGATACGGTTTCAACGTAAATGTGTCGTTCTTAGTAAAGTATGTATGATGATACTGAATATCTGGTTTATCAGTAAGGTGTGAACTATCAATGAACGCTGTGAAATCTGTGATGCCAATTGTAGAAAAAGGACCTGATCTAGTCAACATATACTGTACTAGGAGAATATTAATTACTTCCATGGACAGAGTAGCATTTTGATTTGTTTTTAGAAATAATGGAAAAAATATATGGTCTTGGAGGTTATGACCTACATCTAGATTGATAATGCTCTCAATACCCATTCGTTCAATGTAATCTTTTGGTCCTACACCAGACTGCATAAGTATTTGTGGCGTAGCTATTGACCCAGCTGATAAAATGATTTCTTTCTTTGCCTTGATTATCTTTTTCTTTCCATTTTTATGTTTCATCTCGACACCAACGGCATTACCATTTTTAAATAAAATCTTACTGACAAATGTATTTTTCATAATATCCAATGTCTCACTAGAGTCTTTTAAAAATATTTTGGCTGTGTTTAAGCGTTTTCCATTCCTGGTAGTTAGTTTTACTTTTCTCGTACCAATTAGGGATTCATCTCCTTCATATTTATGCGATTTCAAGCCTAATTCTTGCCAAGCGCTGTCAATAATATCGTACCATGGATTATGAAATTCCTTAGGCGCGACATTTGAAAAATTAAAAAGATATTCTTGCTTCTCAAAATATTTTAACAAATCCTTGTAGCCCCATCTAGAATTACCTAAGCTCTCCCAATAATCGTAATCCTTTGGATGGCCTCGCACGTAAATCATCGCGTTTATGGAACTCGAGCCCCCCATACCCCTCCCTTTACTCCAAATACAACTTTCATTTATGAATCCTAAACAACTATCCTTACTGCGTGATGTTTTGTAGTACCAGTCAATATCTGAATTCTGATTGAGAAATAAAAAAGCAGGTATCTGTAAAAAAAAGAAGAATTAAGTGTTTATTAATTGGCATAGTGTAACTATATTTATATAACTTACTTCACTATCTATTCCGGGATCGTCACCTGCCTCTATTAATAAAACAGAACCTATGTTTGAATTCGACATTTCACCAGCTACTAACGACCCAGCAGAGCCTGCTCCAATTATCAAAAAATCATAGGAGATCTCTAAAATAAAATAAAATTAGTTTTTGGTTTCGCTTGAAGTAATTAAAATGTGGAGCAAAAATGACATTTATTAGAAATATTATAATACCTGTTTCTTTTTCCAAAATGATGTTAGAATTATCCGGCGGCCAACGATAGTCGTCAAAAATAGAACAGTGTGTAAGAATCACGGTTGATATTGCATTAAGGAAAAGATTACCGCTTGTACCAGCAAACGCAGGCGGGCATATTCCAGACACTATATCTGTTGTTGAAGTATACATCGTGTAAAAATGGTAGTAAATAAGCTTCAAGTAAATTAAACTATTTTAATAAAAAAAATGGTAATACTTTGAGCACTAATTAATATCATGTGATTTGTGTTAAGCTACGAGCTTCTTATAAAATTGTAGGCATTGAAATAATATACTTTACGCATCAGTAGGTCAAATAATTTTATTAAATGCAGGTTCAGTAGATTAAATAAAAAAATATAATAAAATACATTTTATTGCTGTAGAACAATTACATTCCCACTCTATAATTAAAGCCATCGTAATATATCCAACGTCTGCATTTTTCGTATCTGTCATCCGAGATTTCTGTGTCGTCATTAAAATAGTAGGGATTTTTAGTGGGAATGTCTGGGTCAATGTCGCCCGTCATACTGCTATAATACATATTTGGTTCATTTATCATTCCATTGTAGGGCCAAAATGGTTGATTTGGTAAATATCGAGCAAACCAATGCGGTTGAGGATAGGAATTATAATAATCTTTTTGTTCATTAGGATAATAAGGTAGCATATACGGTACGGGGAGTATGTAGGGGTATGGTATATATGAAGGCCTATGTTTTGATTTCCTTCTATGTTTTCTTGTTCTCTGTGTTGTAGTCATAATGTGTTGTTGACTCACTGTTGATGATTCCGCTTTCAATGTTGAAGTAGAGTTTCGATTGGTTTTATTAGATAAATAGTCGAAAAGATTCGCTGTTTCGTTAAAAAAGTCAATAACTTGACTAGAGTTATTTTTATTCACCGTTGACTTTCCGTCTTCTTGTTCTACTCGTTTATAAAAACCAGTAGAACAGTGTGAATCAGTAGTTGTTCGGCTCCAGTCTTCTTTTACCATATCCGATGCCTTTTCTGCTATCATTATGATTGGTGCATTAGTATTGCCACTGACAATTTTTGGCATTACACTACCATCGACCACTCTCAGGTTTTTCACACCGTAAACCTGAAACATGAATAACCAAAATTAGATATTTCTATAAATATAACGCTTAATAGTTGATGATGATTCCTTATTATTGCTTATTTTTGACAGATATTATATCTTATTATTTACGATTTTACTAGATAACCCTGAAAAGCCATATGATGAAACAGCGTAACAGATTAAATATGCAATATGATGCTTATGTACAATAACAGCAAGTGAATATATTATCTCAATTACACACTACCAACTTGTTAGAGTTGTAGGTGTACGTCAGAAAAGTGTTAACCATCCTGATTTTATCTAAAAACTCACTTTTAATCTTGGATCGACAACAGCTTGTAGATCGTTATCAGGACCCATTGCGCAGGTTCCGACGGGATGGTAAATAGTAAGAGTGTGATGTCGTGCTTGACATTCTAAATGCTCATCAGACATTAAATCATATTCTTTGCAACCTGGATTTCGATTTGCATTAGGCCGCGCATTTAATTCTTGTAGCGATGGTTGTTGTACTAATTCCTGTACAAATCTCGCCCCTTCAATCTGTAATTTTAAGTAAATCCTTACTAATATTATAAATGCGAAAGTAACTGTGTCTGTCTGTTACTCTTTCACGCCAAAAAAATTACAGGTAAATATTATATTATAGACAAATTAACATACCATTCTTAGTATATCCTCTGGTTCCGAAAAGTAATTCGGGTAAATTAGGGGCGGGGAATATGGATCGGCGTCTCGCAATTTTAAGAACCCCCGACTTTTAGGTCTTAGAAGTAAAGGTACTATGGAAAATGACGATTCGTATAAAATATCTTCGTAAAGTTCAGAATAGACTTCATCGGTTAATCCATTTGCGCGTTTCCCAAATAAACCACCATCCATGTTATCAGCTGTCGGTGCAATAAATAGTTGAATATCTGGATAATCTTCTAAAGGGTCTTGATATTTTGTGTTGATAAATGCCATTGCTTCTGCTTCCATCATGCTGTATAGTTGGCCTTTTTTGTGGAAAGCAAAATCGATTAGACTACCAACAGAAAATACTGTGTTCAGATTAAAACAGTAATCCGATCCATTTGTAAAGGGATTGTTGAAAAGATATGAATGTCCTCCGAGGGCGATATGGTCTTGTAAATTTTTTCCTACTCCAGGAAGATGCGCTATGGGGTATAAACCAACTTCTTTTAACTCATCACTATGTCCAATACCAGACAGCATTAATAATTGTGGTGATTGTATAGATCCAGCAGATAGAATGACTTCCTTAGACACTTTAATTATCCTTGTCTTACCATGTTTTGTAAATTTAACTCCATAAGCTTTTTTATTTTCATCTATAAGAACTTTTTCAACCAAAGAATGGACACTGACATGAAGATTAGGTCTATTAGATGCTGGCCTTAAATATGCTTTGGCGCTGCTGCAGCGTAGACCGTCGCGAATAGTAGCATGTGATCTTGTAAAACCGGTTTGATATTCCCCATTAACGTCTAACACATCGTAACCCAGTTCTTGAGCGGCTTCTAAAATTTTTCGTGTAATTGGTTGTTCGTATCTAAAATTTTCAATTGTAAGGGGACCTCCTACTGAATGATAAGGATCATCCATAAATTCCGGTATCCTCATGTCCTCAGCCTTAAGAAAATATTTTAGTATTTCTTTATACGACCATCCCGTGTTCCCCATTTTCTCCCAATTATCGTAATCGCGTTTGTTTCCTCGCACATATAACATTGCATTTAAAACACTTGACCCTCCTAGAACTTTTCCCCTAGGCCACTTGCATCTGTTATCGATCATACTTAAACAGTATTCAGTGCTAGGTTCTGTAACGAACTTCCAGTCGATAGATGATGTTTGAAGAACGGGGAACAATACTGGGACTTCTGAAAGCACATTTTCATCCTGTCCGGCTTCTAACAGTAAAATATTCCAGTCTGTGTTTTCTGATAACCGATTAGCGAGTACAGAACCAGCGGAGCCGCCACCGACGATGATGAAATCGTAACAGTCGTAGAGTTGATCAAATGGGTGGTCTCGCACTCGATGCTTAGCATCTTCTATATCTGGTCTGTATAAATGTATTGCCATGCGCAAGACTATTAATGCCCCCAGGCCAGGAAGAAGCCCGAACATTATTCTGGTACTTGTTACGAGTGGTCTTAGGGATAAGTCACTGGAGCTTGCCATCGTGTGTTATCGTTTCAAAAACAAAAGCTAACTGGCATTACTTATATTAATTCATACGTCATGAATGGATGCCGAATAAGCGATAATGATTTACACTTAGTTATGAACATACATCACACAGAGTAATTTTGTTAATATCAAGAAAATACATTAAAATATTTTCATTATTTACGTATTATTTAAAACTATTCATAAACCATTAATTTTAATAAGCAACATAGAAATAACAGCTCTTTAATAGTATTTTCTATTGAGTCTTGGTTCTCCTGAAATGGCTTAATCTACATATGTATAGGTAATTTAAAAATCGAAAATAAATTATATAGTGCCTTCATGTGCAATAACACGTGTCGAAAATTTGCTGCTAGGACTAATAATTATTTTACGAAGTTGTTCACTTACTTTTATAAAGATTGTGTACATTTTGGCAGTTGTATAATGTTTGTATAGCAATCGAATAAATAATTTAACGGAAAAATAATAATTTTATCTCTATATTAATTACTCTATGTGATATTGCAACGACATTTTCGGCTGCTACAGCAGTTTCGATTCATACTATACGATACTGCACTTAATTATTCCACGAAAAATGTATTTTAGGAGGACAGCATTTTCGAGGCTACTTAACTTGAATTGTCTTTTCGGGTTCACTGTACGTTTAGATATTATGTCGTATAAGTTACTCAATAAAATACAAAATAATCTGATTCAGTAAATCTTTATCTATTAAATATTTAATACATTATAAATAGCAATAAATTAGAAAAAAATATTTACAATCAATACTGCTCGTCTTATAAATTAATTTGTACATCTTATCTCAAATAATACCTCGATCGTCTGCGTTTCAGCCAAAACTCTTTGACCATATCGCTACCTTTTTCTCCTATCATGATAATAGGAGCGTTAGTATTTCCGCTTACTAAATTTGGCATAATGCTGCCATCTATTACCCTCAAGTGTTTTACCCCATAAACCTTGAGTTCGGGGTCAACAACTGCTTCTGGGTCCCAATATGGCCCCATTTTAGCTGTTCCTACAGGGTGGTATATGGTACAAGTGTATTGTCGTATCATACATTCCCAAAACGCGTCGGAATACCTTGGCGCGGCAGCACATGCCGGGAAGAGATGGCTGTTTAAAACTGATCCATATCTTTGAAAAGCTTTTGTTCTTGAAACAGAAATAGCGATTTTCACGCCCTCAATTAATGTTTTAACATCCATGTCATCTGTCAAATAGTTTGGATAAATGTAAGGATAGTCATATGGGTTTGCGCTTCTTAGTCGAATGAAACCTTTACTTCTAGGGCGGAGCAGCATAGGTATAATGCTCCAGACATCCATGTTGTTGATAGGCCGAAATACCGCGTTGTAGAACTTTTCAGACAAACCATGGATTTGCCGCAACTGACCGCCACCGTCTGAATTCGTTGACCCGGAGACGAAGTGAAACTCTATGTCTGGAAATTCGTCGGAGGCGTTTACATACTTTGTGTTGACAAAGGCCAGCCCTTCTACCCCTCCCATTATTGTCAAAGGTCCTTCACCCAAGACAGCATACTGCATTAGTGTGCTAACTGTATGTAATCGCTGTTCTATAATAGAGACGGGTTTGTTTATCATAAACGCTAAACCTCCAAGACCGATATGATCTTGAAGATTTCTTCCCACTTTGAGGTTTTGTATTAACGGTATACGGTGTTTTGCTAATTCTTCAGCTGGTCCAATGCCTGACAATAGTAACAATTGCGCCGAATTGATAGTCCCTGCCGATAATATTACTTCCTTCTTGGCTCTTACTCGATAAATCATTTTGTTTCGAATAAACTCGACACCGAACGCTACTCTCGTTCTTGGATCAATTAGTACTTTGGTAGCAAAAGAATGCTTCGCAATGTGTAGATTTTTTCGGTTTTTGGCTGGACGTAGAAATGCTTTAGATGTTGAGCAACGGCTCCCTCGGCGAAGGGTACCCTGGGCGACCATAAAGCCGGTCTGATTTTCACCATTTATATCTCTGTTTAAATAACCCATTTCCAGGCCAGCTTCAATGAAACTTGAAACAAGTGGAGTGTGATATGGTGCTTCAGCGACGGTTAAGTAGCCTCCAGTGCCATGATACGGGGTTTGGACCAGAGAGGGGTTCTGGTTGTCTTCTGACTTCTTAAAATAGTAGAGCACGTCTTTGTATCCCCAGCCCTTATTCCCTAATGATTCCCAAATGTCGTAGTCTCTTTTATTCCCTCTCAAATATAACATGTAGTTCAATACAGAACTCCCGCCAAGAACCTTTCCTCGTGGCCAATTGCATCGACCGCCTTCCATTGCTGAAAGAAAATTAAAAATATACAGCTTTTGATATAATTAGATATTGCCTAAATATTCTATAGTACGCAAGTACTCAAATAACAAAGTTTTTCGTAATCTTGTAACAATCATGTCTAAAACATAATTTTAAAATTTCATACCTATATGTACAAAAATTATCCAATCTATATTCACTTTGTAACATTTTACTAACACCATTTAATATTAGAAACAAGTACTTTAAACAATGTCATAATAACATCTTATTACTAGAACTATCTTAGACCAATATTGAAGTTTTGTTACTATGTTTATAATAAATAATTTTTCACATAATTACCTAAGCAGCTAGTTCCCTGAGGTTCCGTTTTATACTTCCAATCGAGTTTACTGAGCTGAAGGTAACCAGCTAGTAAAGGTACGTCTGAAATTTCTGTCTCATCTCCACCAGCTTCAAGCAGTAACACATTCCAGTTATGTATTTCGGAAAGACGGTTCGCTACTACTGCTCCTGTAAATTCATAGGAAATAATAAGTTCTCAGATACAACTATAAGTAATATTTTCCTTAATTTTGCAAACAAATTTATTAACGACTGGCTGTATCAGCGACTTCGTCCGCGTCTTGCAAGTTAATCTTAAAAGGCTATCTTGAACCGTTTTCGCAGCGTACGCGACGGAAACCAACAAGAATGATTAGCCTTAGAATAGACTTCCTCGATAAGTTCACTAACCAACCCAAAAATAATTTTTCAATTCGAACTAGTAGTTGCTGAGATTAGCGTGCTACATACAAAGAAACAAATAAACTCTTCAGCTTCATATATCAGTGTATACATTAGTATATATAATTCTGAATTTTAAAAGTGTACTCGACTATACCGTAAGTAGGTATATATACGGTTCATTATTATGAGTACTCACTGACCAGCCGAACCTGCGCCGACGACTATGAAGTCATATTCCGGTAACATAGCATCTCCGATATCAGCCGGCCTTCCTTCAGGATCGGTTTGGTCATATTGATAGTATGCTATAGCAGCTACTAGCATCGGTATGAACCACGCTACCTGGAATCGTTTTTAAGCAATTATTTATAAGGTATCGATGTAAATTTTTGCTATTTTAAATTGAAGGGAAAATCCCTCCAATCCTCCAATCGGGTAAAAAATTAAATACAAGATAGACAGAAAATAAATGTTATATTTCATAAAAGTATTAAACAATATGATTAACTAAGAAAGCTTCTACTTGCCATCATTCTTCTGGTAGAAGAATTTTTTAAAATATTTTTTGGGCTACTAACAAAATTTACTGTACTTTTAAAATTTGACTGTTACTGTCTTATTTATAACAATGTTAGGATTGGTTATCTTTTACTCCAGTTCCTAAAAAGATTATGTAATGATGACTGTTAGGTTAAGAAAAGTTTCTTGTTTTGAAAAGTATTATTTTTTGAGTGCTCTAAATAATTGCTACGTATTCTACGCCAGGCGCATTCGAGTTGCAAAAAAATATACTGCTGTATTTCTGTAAGCTTTAGGTCCATTCTTTGATGAGTTTAATAATTTAAATAGATTTTACGTAATCATTCCTATGGTAATTAATTTATAAGTCAAAATTTACCTGACTACCCGCTGCTGCTATGGCTGTGCCTGATATCACATCGGCTGCCACATTAACTATTGTACTCATTTTGCCTGAAATAAGAAAATTATAGCTCATTATCAAAGTTAAGTGGATATTTCTAAGGTGGATATCGATTTTCTATACATTAGAGTAAAAGTTTCGTTCGTTCACTTTCATTTTCATATATATACACTGAAACTTGTAATTGTCTTAAATTAAAAAGAAAGAAAACAGTATCTAAATAAAACACTTTAACGGTTTAAAACGCGAAATATTATTCAGTCTTCCCGTGACCACGGCTGATGCAAAGCATCCGAAACGTCGGGCCGAAGTTAAAAATCATTTTCAAATAAGTTTAACTTATATATCGCGTTTTAAACCGTTAAAGTGTTTTATTTAAATGTGTACTACTCACGTTAACTATAGACAGTATTTAAAACAGTAGACTCCCTGTCATCGGGCACGTTTTACAGACGCCATTTTCAAAGAGAAAGAGTGAATTTTAAGGGAATTTTTCCTATTTTCTGGACGTCCGACCATATTGAGTAAGCTCATACATCAAATGCATTTTTCTAAGTGCGAAAGACTTGACTTTGATCCCAATTTGCAGACATAATCAGTTGGCAATGTGCTTAGTCTGATAACCTAATTACTTATAATTAAGGATTTTTAAAAACGGCAAAAAAAAATTTCCCTCACTGTTTGAGAAATTCATACAAAAAAATTATATTTAGTTGCATTCATTTATTTGTTTGTCTGTAATCTGTACGTATGCGCGTTGTGTGAAGGAAATTGAAATGCAGGCCACAAACGCAGGTAACCGTTAAGAAGGCGGCGTGACGAGACAATAGTAACGATGGTAACGGTAATGGATTATGTCGGTCATTGTACTCGAATCTATGTTTACACTTACTTTTATGCAATTACTAAAAAAAACTCTTTTTAATTCGTTATATGCCGCCAAATTTTTACTATGTCAGTCAAAATAAATCTCAGATATTAACATTGTTATGTTCTCCCGATAGAAGGAAAAAAGGGTATTTTTAAAACCAGTAAATAGAACCGTAATTTAAAGTTGGTGACCAAGGACATTACTTAAATACTGTCTATAGTTTACGCGAGAAGTACAAAATTAAAAAAAAAACAATTTAAAAAAAAAAAAAAATTTTTTTTTTTTTTTTTTTTATGGAATTCCCCCCCCCCCCCCGCCCCCGAAAAACCCAAAAAAACGGGGGGGGGGAAAAAAAATTTTTTTTTTTTTTTTTTTTTTTTTTTTTTTTTTTTTTTTTTGAACCTTAAAGTGATTTTATGCTTACTTAAGTTAATAACAAAGTTGCTTTCAGTAAAAAAAGTAAAAGTACGTTTAGTGACGAGAAATGTTGAGTAATATCCATTATTAATTCAAATCATTTTTTTTTTTTATGATTTCTAATGAATATCTTTGATAGTGAAGCGATAAAGGGATAGTTAGGATAAGGGTCGTAATTGCGGAATGAAAAGGGTTATATAATGACGATTTTCACCTCATACCGGAAGTTCTTAGTATTCTGTGTGTGCATACACTGTGGTAGTTATACCGCGGTTGCACCGGTCCACTGGACTGGACTTGTCGCAAATAGATTCACTTTCTATATCTGTCGCGATTTATTGCTTAGGGACAGTTATTGTATGACATAGACATACATTTTCTAGGATATTCTAGCAAGGATCCCTTTAAAGTTTTAAAATGTTTCATATCTTTCGCGAGAGGTGCATGTTTACAATAGGTCGAAAAATCGACGATTAAGTGTAGAACACGGTAACTCAACTGCTTAGAGGATATTGGATGCCGGTTCAAGTCCCGTCCTTGCAATTTAAACAGATTTTTAATTTATATAAATTTCCCTTCAAACAACGAAATTAACGTAATTTAAATATTGTAATATTTAGTTTGCTTTATCTATAAGGATTTAATATATTTAGTCTATACATGAGAACTTTTAAATTATTAAAAAGTATGTTTGTTGATAAATAAAGAACTGATTATCGGCGGGACTCGAATCTAATATACAACCTACACGTGCCGTTCCGTAAGTCTTCGATCGGTACCGGTAGCTAAAATATTTCTCACACGAGCATATTAAATGTCAAATGAAACGCTATATAGGAAATGTTTAATAATTAAGTAATTTCCATTAGTTATTTGCTATCTTACGAGAAATGTGAACAGTTTAAAGTGTCATAAATCTAAAACCATAATTACCTATCTAATTAAAAGCAATAATAGAAGTTAACATTTCTAAACAATAATTCCGGTCACTTATAAATAGGTAACTTGTGTGTGTGTGTGTGTGTACGTGTGTGTTGTTGACTGTTGATTTTGTAGCAGTTTTCAAATATTGTTTAAATAAAACACTAATGGTATAAAACGCGATGTATATTACTTAAATTTATTTGGAAATTATTTTAACTATGGTCCGACGTTTCGGATGCTTTGCAGCAGCCCTGGTCACGGGAAAACGGGTGGCCTTTAAGTTAAAATAATTTCCAAAGAAGTTTAGGTAATATATATCGCGTTTTAAACCGTTAAAGCGTTTTATTTAATGGTGGTAAACTGTTCAATTTATACACAAAAAATATTGTGTGTGGTGGTAACAGATTCTATAAACGTGATTCACAGTAATAAAAACTGAAGTGACTCATACTTTCAACGAATATTTTCTTTAGCTAACATCTACTTTCTTTCGGTTGTAATTCGTAATACAGCTTCGGGAAATTCCCATTTGTCATTCCCCGTTGACTCACTCTTTTGTCTGGATTACCTAGCAAGTCTCCTCTGCTGCAACGCCAACTTTTTTTAAATATAGACGAGGACAGACAAGCATGGGGTTCACATGACGGGAGGTGATACCCAAGTCATATGGCATCTAAAAAAGTTGTGCTGTCGACCTATTTTGGCCTTGGATATTCGGAAATCCAAAGACTGAAACCGCCTTTTTCATCTGTGGACGGTGGGTCGTAGCCCGGGCGGGATTTCTATATTCCTACCACCCATTTAATATCCAGATTCCACAAGGAGTTCAACATGTATCAGAAATTAGAAACATGTTCGACCCGGTGGGGATCGAACCCGCAACCCGTTGATTAATAGCCATACATTGTTACCATTAGAACAAGAGCAACTTGCACTGAAGCAGCAGCATGGTTTTAAAGGTATTCAATTTAAATAAAACACTTTAACGGTTTAAAACGCGATATATTAGTTAAACTTATTTATAATGATTTTTAACTTCCGCCCGACGTCTCCCCGTGATCACGGCTGCTGCAAAGCATCCGAAACGTCGGGCCGAAGTTAGAAATCATTTTCAAATAAGTTTAACTAATATATCGTATTTAAACCGTTTAAGTGTTTTATTTAAATGTGTACTACTCGCGTAAACTATAGACGGTATTCAATTTATACAACAATAATAATTAACCTGAGTATTAAAAAGTAGTACTGAAATACATTTGGTCATGTATTGGTCTGAATAAAACCATTACATGAAACAAAATACTTAACACTACTAGTGTAGTGTACTTCTTGTTTTTGGGAGATATTAGCTCTAAAACAGTACGTGTTTAATAATTAATGCAGAAAGCATCAAACTATCTAAACATAGTACAAGTTAATCGCAACTGAAAAATAATGTTTTAAGTTGTGAAACATAATATTTCTCGTGTATAATAATGTTGTATGTAATAAGGGATTATTTATTTATTTATTTTTGATGTAGACTATGGAGACACCAGTTACACGTTAGACAAAAACTTATTTACAACAAAACCAATTGTTTCACAGTGACAACACTCGTCTCTATTTCAAAATTAAATATCTATGCAATTAACAATATGACTATATAAAACCTCTTTTACAATTTTATAAAAATAGGCTGTTACCGGTATAGATTGGTCTCTTTCATTTCTTCCTTAACAATATTATTTTTCCCTCCAGTTAAATGTGCACTCACCTCAGTTTATTTCTCTTTCATAGAACAACTGCACATAAACATCACTAAACATATACACAGTCCGCATTGGAATTGTTATTTGAAATCTTAAAACACGCGCAACTCTAGTTGTGATAACAATTATTACGCATCACTTCTTCGGACGTTCAAACACAACTTGAACAAGACCTGTGCGTGCGACATCGTTTGGTGAAAGGGTGGGAGTGTTAAATAGTTTGTGTCTTTGACAACGACAAAAATGTGTCGGAAAACTTATAGGTTATATGAATACTCAGATTATATTCGTATATAAAATGTCAATCATATGCCTATTTTAATGTACATGTGTATTTGAATAAAACAAAATGTCCTCGAAGCGGCTATTTTGCATTTTAAACCGGTAAAAGTATTTTATTTAAATATATGTAATGTGTTTTATTTAATTGACATATTATATATTCCGGTAACGATGCTAAAAACGCGTTTATAATATCGGTATATTACAAATGTTGGAAGGTCGTAGCTTTGAGTCTCGTTTGTGCCCTGCTCGGTTATATAACACACAACGTTAAATATGCGCCAGGTTGTCGCAGCCAAGTTTGATCACATAGCATAGAGGCATAAATTAATTATTTGACTAGCCTTTGTAACCCTACCATATAAAATAACTTTCTCTACCTTTGTGATATTTACGCTGAATGAAAATCCTACGAACATGGCGATTCCTGTATATTTACAAAACTCAAATATCTAATTAATTCAATTAATCAAATAAATTAATTTCTTGAGTTATATAAAAAATGCAGAGTTTTAAGTGTTACTCATTCAAGCTAAAAAAAGAATTTAAAACTGTATGATAGACTACGAATTTAGTTTAAAACACCTTCATGGTTTAAGTATGACTGTTCGCTATAAATCGCAGACAACGCCCTAAGGGGCATAGCTAGTTATTGTAATTAATGTAGAGCATCTGTCAACATCTCTTATTGTTTCGTCTACAATGAAAGCTGAAAGGAAATACGTACAGTATATTTCCATAGCTTTCCGCTTATCTAGTTAAGGAGAAAGTATTCAAATAGGCCAAATGGAGGTAAAGAAAGTGAAATGAAAAATGCTGTTATTTTGTCTCATTTGTTACGGTTTGAAAAAGCAAGGTTGTCGTTTACTTGTGTAATCGAGTGACAAATTGATATTACAGTTGATCATGATAAGCAATGCCCTTTTTTTCTTTAATAGAAACGGAAAAAAACCGATTCTTTTCAATTTTTGTGAAGGTACTTCTACTTTGACAAGCAAATTTACAATCAAACTACCCCCTAAATTGATGTCCTTATTCCTAAAACAAGTTTAAACATATATAGTAAAGATGTCTTCAATTATTTTCAGGTGGCTGCTTTGGTTCCATGCAAAAGCGAACTATCGTTGGTGGCTGGGCATGGGCTTGGTGCTTCGTTACTGATGTTCAGCGCATTTCTCTTGAGGTAAGAATATGACAGAATAACATCACGTCACATTTACTGTAAATCTTCTCCCACCTAAAATGACTATATTCTTTGAATCTATCGTGATATTTCGTTAATTAAGAAAAATGCTTTCGTTCCTTGAAACACTAGCTGGTAAAAATTTTATCAATCATAGTTCTGTAATACGCCGCTAGAGGTCTCTGTTGGCACTGATGGTAAATAATGTAGTTTACAGTAAAGCATAATAGAGACTTAGAAATAATATATTATAACTTCCGTAAGTACGTAAGTATATAGACAACTTCACCTAAGTGGTTTAAATCCCTAGCCGAGAATTAGGTAATACTCGGGACTTCCGTGTGTTACCTAAACCCTCAACTCTAAATGACACAATTACAAGCAAGCGATAAAAAGTTATGAATAAACACTTTTTCTCTAGAATAAATTATGTCTTAATTTTTAATTTTTAATATGCCTTTGCCGGATGAAGCAATACCTTTTTAAAGACTACAGAATTTTAAAAACTTATTTGTAATAACCTAAAAACAGCTCACGCCAACGATAGCCTATGACAGCTATTTTAAAAGCTAGAGAAGATAGAGTTGGTTAAAACATGCGACTTTAATACTTTGCAAAAAAATAAACAATGACATCTATATTCAGTACGTTTATGAGAGTTATTATATTTATGTATTATGAAAACCTCATACTCGTAATAATTGCAGGTCATGACACTCAATCCGATGTGCGAGTACGTAGAGACAGCCCAGGGTGTCCCGTTGACAGTAACCGGCGTCGCCCAGTGCAAGATTATGAATGAAGATGAACTCCTGACGACTGCCTGCGAGCAGTTCCTAGGAAAATCTGTGAAGGAGATTAAGATGACCATTCTTCAGACTTTGGAAGGCCACTTGCGTGCTATTTTAGGTGAGACCTTAGTGTAATGTAAACATTTGTGTAATAATTGTATTATTGGTTGTATATAATTCTTATATTTAAATCAACGCCATCTAATGGTAACTTTAAATATTACAATTAATTTTACGGTTGCATGTGTAGTGGAGATGTGTTAATTTATCAAAAGATGGCAACATTTGCACTAATAAGTTGGTTCGTAGGCGAGACAAGAATTAGATACGCAGCAAGTATATTTACTGTAGATAGAGATAACTAATACATGAAAAAAAAGTTAGAGTTTACAGTTCGCTTTTATCTCGAAGTTTCAAATCTTTTATGTCTATTAATTTTTACCTTTTTTTTGATGGCGTGAATGCCTAATGCACGCCCACGTCGGGCAAGTGTGTAGTCGGAAAAGAGTAAATCGTATATCCGACCAGACCCATAAAACACACCACCAGTCCTCTACGGTACTTTGAGGGAGCCCTGGGATTAATTTTTACCTAGTCCCTACTAGTTTTAAGTTCATTCATATTGATATTCAATTTGACGGTTTAATAATCAGTAATGACCGATAACAAAAATACAAGATAGCGCCAATGAACAGTGTCAATGTCAGTCCTATCGTTTTCAACTTGACCGTGGTCTGGACAGCCTAAAACGTTCTGTACTTGACCCAGTCTCTGGTCAACGACGTTATATGCAACGTTAGTTTTGACAGTGCTGATACATTACCTGGATATTATGTGTTTCTGTTTGTTTATGTTTCTTATTAATAATATTGAGAGAGTGTAATTTACGAAGAACTAGAAGAAGGAATCTTTATTTTGGACATCCAAATTCGTTTTTGCAAACCCCTTCATCGTTATAAACTTAAGCTGTTACCCACGACGTCGGTCGCGTCTCTTCCAAGTCTGCAAGTTAATCGGTAAAGATAGACATATACCGTCCCATTCTTTGTTTTTTTTTTAGATCATTTAAAGAGAAATGATTCTCTCATACATACATTTTAGGTATCTTGAACCGTTTTTGCAGCGTACGTGCCTCGGCAAGCCATAATGATTAATAATCTTCCAAATTTTTTTGCACATTTCCCGCTATATATTCGCTTCTAATACAAGTTGCAGTCGATGTTTTATAGCCTAAAGCCTTCCTCAATTAATGCTCTAACCAACTCAAAAATATTTTTTCAATTCAAACCCGCATATAGATAGATTAAGAAAACACAGTCCGACAGTTTCTTTAATAACTATTTTATTTTTTTCGTGTTCGGGGTCGGTGAGAACGTTACACGGCCTTCTCCAGTGTGTATTGACGGGAACGGTGTAGTCGGCGGCCCGGGCCACCAGATGCGTCGCGGCTTTTTTAAAGAAGCGTTCGGAAGTTTCTTTGAAGCACCGACTGAGGGTCGGCAATTCAAGATCGGAGGTTGGCGTCCCGCACGCACCAGGTGGCTCCAGTAGCGGCTCGAGTGAACCGATTCTGAAGCACCTGGAGCCTGCGGAGTATGCTAGGGGCGGCGTGAGCGAACGCGACGCGAGTAAGCGAGGATCGGATGGATAAATTTAAAAGAAAATGGCAATCATTTTATAGATAATCGACGTGTATACATTTACACGTCTCTATGTGTCCAACATCATACACGTAACGAAAGCTGGGAAGGTACATACCGCTGCTTTGTCAAGTTGCACTTTCAAAAAAGTCTTTCAAAGCAAAGTAGTCCTTCAAGTTGTAAATATAAGGTTAATTTCAAAACACACGCAACCAGATCTTAAGTTGTGAAATGCATTGTCACATAGGATTCCCTTAGTAATTTGATTTGCTACTTCTAGATGTTTAATTTCTTGCCTAGTGTAATTCCTTTGTAACATATCTATTACTCTAAACTTCTACACGTTATATACGTCTAAACTGAAAGCCAAAAGCTTATCGATATAAGACTGAACTTTACACCCTAGCTAAAATAAAACACTTTAACGGTTTAAAACACGAAGTATAGTTAAACTTGTTTCCCCTCCACGGCTGTTGCTAAGCATCCGAACTGTCGGAGCGGAAATAAAAATATTAAATGAAACCGTTAAAGTATTCTATTTAAATATGAACTACCTACTCGCGTAAACTACAGACAGGATCTTTGGTCCGAATTATGTTGTAGTATTAAGTTTTGTCGTATTCGCTCGCTGCAATGTTCTGCTAAAGTTGCAACTTTGCTGCGTCGCATCCTGCTTCACCGTGTTTTTATTGTGTTTTTTGTCTGTCTATACACGGTGTGTGCGTGCCTATTATCACGTAGGCCACAGCAACAGACTTTTACCGGGAATTTTCTTTGCTGTTACTTACTACAAGTGCAACGTAACTGCGACTTTCCAAAAAAAACTTCTATAGCTATGTTTTTTTTTTATGATAGAGGAGGACAGATAAGCGTGGGGTTCACTAAATGGTACGTGATATACCCCAGTCTATAGCATCTAAACAAGATGCGATGTCGACCTATTTTGACTTTGGATATTCGGAAATCCACAGACTGAAACCGAAACGCAATTAAGCTACATGCCTTTTTCTGTTATGCCGTATTCCATCCAACCACCCATTTAATATCCAGATTTCCAGACGTAGTCCAAAAGGTTTCAGAATATTATAAATTGAAAAATAACAAACATGTTGGACCCGACGGGGATCGAACTCACGACCCGTTGATTGTTAGCCATACATTGCTACCATTCGACCGACGAGTCACATAGTTATCAAAGCCAGTCTTAAAGATAAAGAAATACAAACGTCGAGTCTTAGATAAATTTAAACCGTTTTTTTAAAAAATACAAATGAATTACCTATACCTATAATTCAGTTATTATAAAAGTGATATTAAAAGGAAAATGTTTAAATGTAATTTTTTATATATTTTTATTTAATATATTTTACATTAACGCTAGTGTAGCCGCGGCCAGGTTATTATTTACATATTTGAATATTATCAGATAAATATTCACTTAATTAAAAGCGCCTTTTTGCGAAACATATATAACTGAGATAGTGTTATTTCAGTAATGTTATACTTCAATAAGTAAAAGTGTTTGTTCACTATTTCTTCTTAGACGTGCAACTTATGAAATAGTGATGCAATAGTAGCTGTTAATTTCCAGTCAAGTAAAGTTATTGTTACAGATTTTAAAAAATGTATAAATTTTACAAGAATATACACGGCAAACTATTATATTTTATTATACCTTCGTCCAGTACACTAAACAAATAAATTAGTCAAACAAACGGCGAACAACAACCAATGATTTACCTATAATAAGGTCCTTTCGTTCTAACACTCGCCTCCCATCGGTTGTGCGTTATACAGCTTTTAGTTCGAATCGTGAAAGTGCTAAAACGAATAATCAGTTTTAAAATCGTGTTTAAATTTTATAAATGCGAAGTCAATTGTATACAGTAGATATTGTGTTCTAATTTTAAACTTGCCTAAAGTGCTAAAGTTATTTTGCATTGTAGTGTTTGAACTTTAAAAGTTTAATAACAACTTTGACAGCTTAAACAAGCTTTAAAACTTAATAAATAAGCTAAGTTCCAAGTAAGCTATTCATGTCATCAAATTTTAGCCCCGTTTAATTATTTTAAGGCCATGACAGTTTACAATCCCCAGTGAATAGTGATAATTAATTATTTATTGTGTGGCTTTAGACATTTACCGCCGAGTTCAGTTTTCGCAATGTCGTTGTTATGGATGACCGTTTTTAATATAGGGTTAACGGTTGGCTGTACTTATGCGGTTATTAAAAGGTAAGATATCAATTAAAAATTCGTTTGAAACTAAAAAAAATACAACAAGGGCAGAACTTGAACCGGCATCCAAAGCGTTTCGTGCTGTTGCTCTAATCAATTGAGCTACCGCGTCTACCGTGTTGAATCGTGCAATAACGAGTGAAAAATGTTAAAGTTTTCACGTCAAGATATCATCAAAAATTTAAATAAAATATATATGTTATTAGTTTTAAAACAGGAACATCTAATCAATCTTACCGCAGACCACAATAAAACTGACAAGGTAGTTTGCGTTACAGTTGTATTTTTAAACGAAACACTGTGTCTAAGAATTCTATATGAGACGGTAGCTCAATTGGTTTGAGCAACAGCGCACGGAACGCTGTGCATGCTGGTTCAAGTCCTGTCCGCGTTGCAATTTTTCTAAAATCGATTTTATAAATTCTAGAATATATTAAAGAACTATATTATGATTTTATCAATGAACATTACAAGTTATTTGATATTTTCGAACTTTGTTTTCAGTCATCTGTAGATTTTGCTAGAAGCAATTTTCCCTATGTTGTTTACGAAAGTGGTAACTAATCATTATGTAATAAAGGTATTTTTTTAAACAAGTATAATAGTATATTTATTTGCATAGTGGTACAATTATAACAGATCGTAAACGTTATTTTAGTGCAGATGGTCCGTCTTGCTTGTACAATAAACACCAGTCGTAGTTCAAGTTGGTTAGGAAATTGTTTTAGAATGTTGACATTGTCTGGATTTAAGATAATGCTGTTGTTTTTCTCTAGTCACTCCAACGAGGTAATTTGTGAAAAATTTTTTGACTCGGGAGAATTTCGTGTTTTCAGAGCTTTACAATTTCAAGAATTTTTATTTATTAGATATAATATAGTAATATACATATGTCGTTGTATGTTAGAAGATCACAAGGTCCAAGGTTCGATTTGCGGTGTATTCGGATTATTTTTAAGGATATTTGTAATATTATGTACCTACGTTTAAACTTGACGGTCTGATTTTAAAACCAAGTATCTTTGCTACATACATTAAAGTAAAAATTCAGTCATCAACATGCCCTCGTAATAGCGAAAGTCGATAAAGCCCTCCAACCCGTATTGGTGCAGCGTGGTGGATCTTAAAGTTAACTTCTCTCTCAAAATGGACTCAGTAATTGAAGCGCTGGAGAATAGTGAAAAAATTATAACGGCTTTTTTAACTTCGCCGTCGTTGGGGAGGGGCTTCCAAATATTTTCGTGTATTGGACATTATCAGCAACGATAATACAATCACAGTGACAGAACAATTCAACTCTGATATCGTAATCAAACGTTATATAGCGGAATATTTGTATTGTATTTAATGAGATAATCGTATCAACGCGTCCTTAATAATTTTCTCGTCGCACTAATCTCTTATTAGTTATCTCGCAATCCGTGAACTTGACGCTCGAAGCTGACCTTTTCCAGCTCATTGCTCTGTTTACTGATTTTTATGACGTTTGTACGCTGCAAAAAAAACAGGTTTCACTGAGTTTTACGATACGTTGGATTTTATGGAAAATGGCGCAGTTCTAACTGCTGCCTAACGTAGGCCGGCCGTTACAATAATCCCAAACGGGTTTAAAATAGTTGGAGAGCCTTTAGTAAAAGATAAAAAATTAAAACAGAAAATAATTGAATTTTTAAAATCACATATTCTATAATTTTTCTGAAACCTAATGAATGAAATCTGGATATTGGGTGGTAATTCGAATTTCCCCGTCCACAGACGAAAAAGCCGATCAAGTTTAATCGCGTTTCGGTTTCAGGCCGATTTTCAAATCCAAAGCCAAATATTTCGACAGCGCATCTTGTGTCAAACATTAATGAATTTTAACTTGGTATATAAACTCCGTCTTGTCTGCTTTTTATCATAAAAAAACATCGTTATATTCATCGTCCAAAAAACCTGATTCCCCCCCCCTTTCCCCCCCCCCCCGTTTAAAAAATCTCACTAAACCCCTCAGCCATTTGACCACAAAATTAAGTTCCATATAAAACATTGCGCTGACCGCAAGGATCTCTTGCAAATGTTATAAATGTCACTTTGTTTTCCATTCCTGTTGGGACGAAGCTCGTTATTGGTTTTCTCGCGAGGGTTTCCGTCTCGATTTTTATGTACTAGCTTTCCCATTTAATGAGTTTACCGTACAACTTGACGTGGTCTATCTTGTTACGCTCTCGTGATCTTATGACTCTCCATATAAAAGGGATTATCATGGTGAATTAACTTTTATATCTAGATAGAGTGTAACATTATTATTTTTGTGTAAAATATTACGTTTTTAAATAGTATACCTAAATCTGCAATATTTTACGCACAAGCTAGATAGCTATATAGATAGATATCTAACACATTTATGACTAGTTGGGCGCGCAACTTCGTCCGCGTTATTAGTTGAGTTATTTTGGGCATAGTTATATTATTTATTTTTGCAAACGACATTTTTAAATAATAGCTATTATCCACGAAGTCGTCCATTTTTAGACCTTTCACAGAAGAATCATTCTTTTACACATTTTGTTTGGTTTCTTAAACCGTTTTTGCAGCATCGCAACTGACACCTACAAGCGCAAGTAATATACACTTAGAAATTATATCTATCGTAGTTATTAATCAAATTAGGCCTTTAAGTTTATAATTACCACCTAAATAACACTTTAGTTTATAGACGACAGTTTTAGTTAAAAACATATAAATACCGAAAAGTGGTTTTGATAAAGCAAGAATAGACTGTAGAAATTAAGTCTCTTTTAACTTTATGACATCTACATCTAAATATTTAGTAAATATTTTTATACACATTTATTTAATAGTGGAATGTAGGTACCTTTGCCTTGTCGACGCTTGTATAATGTATTTACAGCCATTACGGGGTTAGTAGTATTGTTAAACCGCAGACATCGGTTTCCAATAGTTATGAAAATTGTATAGGGATGTTTCAGTATTCAGTCCTACCGCGATCGTCCGCGCCGTGCGAGGTCGCTCGTGCCGATGTCGATATTGAACACGTGCCGGGATTATCCGAATTTGATAAGATGTACTTTAATACTGTCTATAGTTTACGCGAGTAGTACACATTTAAATAAAACACTTTAACGGTTTAAAACGCGATTTGCAGCAGCCGTGGTCACGGGGAGACTTGGACACGGCTGCTGCAAAGCATCCGAAACGTCGGGCCGAAATTAAAAATCATTTGCAATAAGTTTAACTAATATATCGCGTTTTAAACCGTTAAAGTGTTTTATTTAAGAGTTGTACCTACTGAGCCGTTATTTTTGAAAGTACATACATTTTTTCTTAGAGCTTTGATTGGAAAATACCTATGTGTGTTTGTCAAAGTGCAATTACGCTGGATATTACTATAAAATCCCTTAAAAGCCAAAATAGGTCGACAACATATCACTTGTAGGTGTTATATGGCTTGAACTACAAGCTTGCCTGTCCTTCTTTATCAATTTTTTTTCAAACAGTCTATTTTTTGTGCCTTTCAAAAATATTTTTTTCAATTCTCGGGCCGATAGTGGCCAAAATACCTATTCTAACTTCATTAAATTACATTTAAAAACCCGTAAGAAATTATTATCCTGGATATGACGCTCTTGTCCTAAAGTGCCGTGTCATAATGATGGTGTAGGTGTGTTTCCCGAGTTGAAATTATTAAAATGAATACTTGTTAGCGACACAGAAGTTCCAAGACAAATGTCTATTATCGTAGAAGGTTAAGTTTACGATATTATAGAGTATAGACTATACAATACGAAGTTCTTAATAAGTTTTACCATAGACAATTCAAGTGCTTTAAAAGTTTTAAATTGATTAGTAATATTTATCAGAAAAGTAAAAATAACGACACTTATTTCCACATAAATAAAAAATATATATTTACTTTCTGGACGTATTTCTTATTTATATTGTTTGTTATAGTGCTGTATAACAACGTTTTGATAACTACTTTGTAACTATTGTACAATGTAGTTACAGATTAAAAACGTGCACTAAGTTTTCTTGAATATGTATGTAAGTTTAATTGTTAATAATCGATTTGTTTCTGTAAATTCACCGAATTGTTTAAATAATTATCTTTTTAAAACAAGGACGTTTTGCCATTCAATGTTCTGATTAAATTATCCTTAATGAATAATTGGTGAAATAGTATAATATAATAGCAATGTGCTTATAACTAATTTAATATTATTATTCGTAATAGCCGAAAAAACACAGGTAATATTTTCATTTTTTTGCGAGAAAACTGACAATATTTTCCGCTTATCAAGATAAACAAATGCGAACAATAAAGATAAAATATGGTAAGTTAGGTTAGGTATTTTGTATCACACAGGAGACGCAAGTTACCTAAATAGTAGGGACAATAGCAGAGTATGCTGCGATTGTGGGTTTGAGTCCCGCCTAACATTATACGTATGAACAAATATAAATTTTATTTCGTGTTATGTTCTGTGAAAGTAAAGAAATTAATAATAGAATACTGTCTATAGTTTACGCGAGTAGTACACATTTAAAGAAATCACTTTAACGGTTTAAAACGCTATATATTAGTTGAACTTTTTTGAAAATGATTTTTAACTTCGGCCCGGCGTTTCTTTGCCGTGGTCACGGGGAGACCCGTCACCGACCCGGTCACGGCTGCTGCAAAGCATCCGAAACGCCGGGCCGAAGTTAAAAATCATTTTCAAACAAGTTTAACTAATATATCGCGTTTTAAACCGTTAAAGTGTTTTATTTAAATTCATGATAATCAATCTTCGCGCATTTTTATCAACATACAAATAGCGCTGTATCATATGTAAATATGATAATAAATGCTTCTTAAAATAGACTACTGTATCGCTTAAGGACATAGGAAGGCGTCTTACGTCTGCCCAGTACATATGCGTATTCTTAAATTGTTTAGTTCAGAATCTGCACTGATTAGAACTTGACATATCGCTATGTATGTAATTAGAGAAACACTTGCTATATGAATTACTTACTTTTATTAAATTTTTAATTCCAGTTTATTTTTTCCTCTTAATTTTTTATTCATATTAGTATTTTAATGTCTGTTATTGTAGATGAGTGAAGTCTTTAAACAGAGACTTATTTCTCTATATTTTGCAAAGTGTATCGATATCTGCGCTAAAAGTTAAGATTATTGTTTTTGATATGTGAAGTTCAAGATGATAAACAATCACAATAAGTGTGTTCTTCGCAATAACGTAGCGTCTATATTTAGTCTACCAAAATGTTGAGTGAATGAAGTTAAATATAAATAACGAAAATGGAAATGCTACGATTGTCACTTATACCTTTGGGACTTACGTTTGGACTCACCTATTTGAACGTCAGAAAGTAAGTAAAGTGTGTGTGATTAACAGCTAAGTGAAATATGAGCCAAGAAATTTTTAAATTCAAAAGAAGTAGTTCTGAAAACTGTAAAACATTGGTTATCTCCTACATTGATATAAAACTTGTCAAAATCTTAATACTGTCTGTAGTTTCCGCGAGTAGTACCTACACATTTAAATAAAACACTAACAGTTTAAAACGCGATATTATTAGTGAAATTTTTGATAACTATTTTAACGACAGCCCGATTTTTCAGATACTATACAGCAGCCATGGTGTGCATACCCGTGTCTTTTATATTGTCAAAATCTGTCGGGCGTTAAGTATAAAAAAAAAAAAATAAGTTCTTGTTGTTAAATTAAAAAGAAATCGTTACAAAACTAGTAATCCAAGCAGTAAGTATTCAATAATTTCTTGCAGGAACGCTTACAGTAGAAGAGGTATACAAGGACAGAGACCAGTTTGCGGGTCTTGTCCGCGAGGTGGCAGCGCCGGACGTCGGTCGGATGGGCATCGAGATCCTGTCCTTCACGATCAAGGACGTCTACGATGACGTACAGTACCTCGCCAGCTTGGGCAAGGCGCAGACGGCAGCTGTGAAGCGCGACGCTGACGTGGGGGTGGCCCAAGCCAATCGGGACGCCGGGATTCGGGTACGTTCATATTTAAAAGGGAACCAGATGCAGTTAAAAAGTAATTTAACATTATCTCCCAGTTCTCTAATCCAGGACGTAGAACGAACGAGAAGAACTGGCAAGAAACTCCAATAATAAAAGATCATAATCTCAAATAGATATTTCAAATTTAGAACTTTCTATTACCCTTTTAACACATGGACAGTAAACTTATAACTACTAAATTACATACAACAATAGTAGATAAATAATAAAGAAGATAAGGATGGCAATCGGTACCAGTCTCAGCTGTGCTGCTGAATGCTTGTCACACTTAGCAATTCTAACATTCAGTATTTCAAAGTTCGACAAATATAGCCAGTTGTTACAACAAACAGTATTCACTTGATAGAAGACCAACCTTTGGACTAACGAGCCAAATTGCGCATATTGCAATGCTCCTCGTTTGTTGAGTCATACCTAATTTACGGAGGCGTACGTACTATATGGACCTGCTTTTGAAAAATAAGTTCAAGTAAACAATAGTAAACTTCTCCCCGTCTCCCCGTCTCCCCGTGACCGCGGCTGCTGCAAAGCATCCGAAACGTCGGGCCGAAGTTAAAAATCATTTTCAAATAAGTTTAACTAATATATCGCGTTTTAAACCGTTAAAGTGTTTTATTTAAATGTGTACTACTCGCGTAAACTATAGACAGTATTTAATAGTAAACTTATTCACTAGTTTTAAAACTATAATAAAAAACAAAGCCAATAGCAAAATTAATGCTTTAGTAATAAATAATATTTATTCTCTACGTCATAGACAAAGCATAGACCTACATCAATTTGGTATGAATTATGACGAACGAAACATATAAACGTAAGTAAAACTATAGTACAGTATATATAGCACAAAGCGATGTACAATATATGTTGAGATGTTAGCATAATTGAATACTTAATTAAACAAAACAATACTTGAGATGCTTAATAAATAAATAACATCGATCTGTTAATTGTGACGTGACTTGACCTACTTCTTTTTCTTTGTTATTTCAGGTAGTCCTTATATTTCATTACGATAGCTGAATTAAAATTCCAACCGTATCGCTCTCATTTCTATACCCACTGGGTTATATGTTACGAGAAACAAATACATATAATATTTTTTCGTAAATAGTGTAGGGTCTTAAGATAGCTGGACGTTTTTACTGAGAAATTGATATATAATAAGCTTATCTCCAACAAAATTTTATCTCCAACACCAGATAATCGCAGAATTGTCAAATAACAGATCTTTAATATCATAAACCATCTCCCCGTGACCACGGCTGCTGCAAAGCATCCGAAACGTCGGGCCGAAGTTAAAAATCATTTTCAAATAATTTTAACTAATACATCGCGTTTTAAATCGTTAAAGGCTTTTATTTAAATCATAAACCAATTAAACAGTTCTTTATTTCATTCCTATTAGCTTAGATGGTCTATTGCCAGTACTCAACTGCAGATTACGCGATCCAGGATTTGATTCCCGGGCTGAGCTAAAAATCTATTATCAGTTCGAAGTTCTTCTAGAGAGCACGTATATTTTCGATTTATAGTCTCGAAAGCCCACCAATCACCACACCAGCGGGGTTGTTCTAACAGAGGAGACTAGTGCTTTGTTGTATCGGCTATGGACATCAATTTTAGTCTTTTAGTGTCATCCGAATTTCTGAACGTTGTTTAATTCGAATGTTAGACAATAGTCAATAAAGGGATTCAATAGGACAAGGGCGTTGGATTTGGGCCAATGTCTGAACGTATGCGTCATCAAAGAATTGGGCAATTAAGCGTAATGGTCTTTGAAGGGGCACCCTGTATATATTGATATATTGATGTGTTCTAGCAAACATATGGGTTAGCTTTGATCTATTCTCGTACAAACAAACAATGTGGATTCAAAATACAGTAGCTGAAAATAGAAGCTTCGAAAATGTAGTAATTAACGTTTAATAACTATAGAAGACGACCGGGTTCAAATCCTGTGAAAACAAAATTTGATCAACTATTTTGAAAGTGAGTCGATCAGTGAAACGGCTACAAAAAGTGGGTACCCCATGACTCACGTCGGGGTTATAAGATTTCATACATTACATAAAAATCTTGTGAGATATATGTTTACTTTTAAATTATGATATGTATGTTTATACTATATAACTATTACTATAGTACTATATAATTATATAGTGCCTTCATGTGCAATAACATGTAAAAAATATTAATGTTTCCAAAAGTTATAACTTTGTAATTTCATCTTCAATGATTTCTTAAGCTGCAAAGCATAAGACATTGAACCTTAATTCGCAAGTGTTAAGGTTGAAATTACATTGCGCGAGAGGTGCATGTATCAATAAGTAGAAAAAATTCGACGATGAGGTGTAGGACTCGGTAACTCAATTGGTAGAGCAACAGCACGGAAAGCTGACAATGCCGGTTCAAGTCCTGCCCGAGTCGAAAATTTTTTTCAATTTATTTTCGATTTTTAAAATCTATGTTTATATTTTGCTTTGTTAAGTAAATAGAAATAAAGCTATCAGTAAATTGATTATCATAATGTGTGCGTAGAATTGTAACAGATAAGATTAAATCAAGACATTGATGAATGGAAGAAACAGACAGTCGTCGTCTGACGAGAGGGGCCAATGAAATAAGATAACGTTTTTTGAAGCTAGGTCTATAATAAAAGTAATATAGGCATGAAGAAAATCCATTGCCGAGGCTAATATTATGATGTCGAAAATAAAATCCTTTTGGATATCTAAATTTAATTCTTAGTTTATATAATGCTATCATGTGCAATATTAAAGATACAAGCACACCTTTTTATCAATAAAGATAATGGATTTATTTTACCCAAACTTTATTTATTTTAATTTAATTTTTATTCTTAGTAAAAGTAATTTGTTATTAATTAATATCCATTTTACTCAGATTTTTAAGTCGTATGTTATCTCTTCCAGGAAGCTGAATGCGAAAAGAACGCAATGGACGTCAAGTACTCGATGGACACCAGGATAGAAGATAATTCAAGGCTTTTCAAGTTACAGAAAGCTCACTTCGACCAGGAAGTCAATACCGCTGTAAGATTATTAAATTAACTTAAATATTACCTCAATTTTGACAAAAGCGTCAATAGTTTAAATAGAAAATTTAATTAAAACTTCTTGATCCTGGAAATCTTGATCTTGGGTCTATCTAAAAATATAATACGTTATCACCATAATCAAACCAAATACAATTTTAGTCTATTACCAAATTCCGTATACATTGGGGCGTGGTAGATGTCACTCGATTTATGACTTGAGGTTCCCATGCGAGAGAAGATGTATGCAGAGCATTACTATGTTTAAATAAAATATAAATATGTGTACACATATTTAACTTAGTTAATTTGGTACAGGAGTGGGTCTGCTCCATATCCCAGATTTGTTTTCTCCACTAAGTGTCTTCATATATGTAATTTCAGAAAGCCGAAGCTGCTCTAGCTTACGAACTGCAAGCTGCGAAGATAAAGCAGAAAATACGAAACGAAGAGATCCAGATTGAGGTCGTGGAACGTCGCAAACAAATTGAGGTACTAAAATATACATTAGTTGAGTGGTATTTATAACATAAGTTATATATTTCTAGTATTGTTTGTAGTTTACGCGAGTAAAACACATTTACATAAAACATTTTTAATCGTTTAAAACGCGAAATTTGCAATTTGTTTTAACTACGGCCCGACGTTTCGTATGCTTCGCAATAGCAATAGCCGTGGTTACAGGGGCGAGAACCGGAAGTGTTTTATGTAAATAAATTATATTCTGTTTATTTTATACCTTGCAAGTGTGTGTTTTCACTCTTATGTATATTGTATAAGAAGAAAAATATTTTAGAAACGTGATAATAATACCTTCAGGTGGAGCAACAAGAGATTTTGCGTCGCGAAGAAGAGTTGAAGTCTACAGTGCGACTTCCAGCTGAAGCAGAAGCGTATCGTCTTCAAGCTATCGCTGAGGGCAAACGGTAAGCTTCATTCCTGTATGAGGGTAGACGAGCTTGTTGGTCTAATAGTAGCAATGTATCGCTAATAACCAACGGGTCGTTGGTTCGATCTCCACTGGGTCTAACTTAGTTTTAATATTTTTTTTCTGAAATATGTACGATTTCGTATGGAAATGTGGATATTAAATTTTTGGTAGGAATATGGAAAATTCCTTCCAGTCACGAAACATCGGTTACAGATAAAGAAGCCGTCAGGTTTAATCATGTTTCAATTTTAGTATAGATTTCCGAATATCAAAAGCCGACAGCACATCGTGTTCGTTGTATTTTCAGTTTGCATAAAGTGATCGCCAGGGTTCTCTCTTCATAACAACTTACAGCTTTTTTTAAATTAAAAGACATTACCGTTATCCTTTACTGTAACAACTATAAGAATTTAAACGGATTTAAATATCTTAGTAAACAACGGAGGAGAACTCTCGATTGGGGCATCTCACCACCATCAATTTAATATGTAAATAAACCATTGTTATAAGTAGAAAAGAAGATATAGATAATTATATGCTTATGAGGTAGTAGGTGTGCGATTCCGCACCAACAACGACCGTTCGTTTTCCCGCCACTCACGCCTGAGCCACTTCATGCCACGTCAGACCACTTCAAGCCACGTGACATCACGCGCGACTTAACCTCTCGTTTTCTACAGAACCCAGACCGTAGAAAGTGCAAAGGCCGACGCGGAACGCATCAAGGTGCTAGGTCTAGCTGAAGCAACAGCGATCGGTGATGTAGGAAAGGCGGACGCTGAACGGATGTTGGCTAAGGCGAAGGTCTACAAGCAGTACGGCGAAGCAGCTATTATGGCTTTGGTTCTGGAAGCTCTGCCTAAGGTACGTTTCTAATGCAAGAAATGTAGTGGCTTACAGTTGGTTCTGGAATTTATTTTAGAATGTCAGTGTATAAAAATTGTCATTATTTTTTACTTTAAAATTATGTTAAAATGTTATACGTAGCTACTATTGTTAATTGACCATTGTTAATGGGTTACAATAACTGGTAACGCCAAAAAACAATACACTTAATCATTTTTTTTTGTTAATTGCTCATGTTTTGAGAACTCAAAGTAATTGCATTGAAATTTGCAATTACTTCCAGTACTCAAGTCAATTTCACTTTCATTTTATTCTATTTTGTAGAAGATTTATTATTTTTATAAATAGGAACTTAGCTTCATATACAAATATTTTTCGCGTTTTATATAGGTAAAAGTGTTTTATTTTAATGAATTTGTATTTATTTAATGCGTTATATATTTAAATATATGTTTGCGTGTTGGTCGCTCCATACAAAATATATATATTATTTTCTAAGACGTACATTTCCAGATTGGTAAATTTTAACTGATATTGTTAGATCGCCGCAGAAGTTTCTGCTCCTCTCGCGAAAACAGACGAGATCGTCCTGGTGGGGGATAATGGCGCGACAGGGGAGGTGGCGCGGCTAGCGGGGGGTATCCCTCCCGCGGTGCGTTCGCTCACCGGTCTGGACATCAACCAGGTGCTGAAGAGACTGCATCCCAACACTTCAGGTATGTTTTTTTTATTATCTTGAGACCCTTACAAATTAACGATATACAATTTTATTCTTAAAATAATACTATTTCGGTTATGTCACTACTTTAAATAAATTAAACTTTGAATCGGGGTTCCAACGAATATTTTGCAATGAAATATAGACTTTAAATTTATGCTTGTATCTCCTCTATATGTATACTGTTTTTTTGTAATATTCAACGCATGTTATATTGAAAAATATGCCGTAAAAAACATATTACCCCCCTTTGCAGATGAGTCACCGTTCGCAGGTGTAAACAAAAAGAAGGAGGTGGCAGCATGCTAAGTTGTTTACCGATATCATGTCGCATGAAACAGCACAAATCCATATAACCATTTTATTTTTGCACATGTTTTTCTTTGTGATACGTAACTATATTATATTTTAAATTATTTATTTTTAGTTACGTCAAGTACAAAATACTCTAGCACACAGCCGTACATAGTACGTACTAGTATCTTAATAATTTATTTGAAAATGTTGTTAATTATTTAAAAAGAGTTACCCCACCAAAACCCCCCTTTTCTTTAAGAATCACAAACATAGTAGTGTGATTAAAAATCCTTTATATATGTAAGCACTTTCCACTATTTATTTGAAGGGTCCTTTGCGTGCTCGATCTTTGTTTATTTACGCGTCATGCATTTAGTACACTGTAACTGTGTACTGACAGAATTAGTACAGACTAGTCCCCTTCCGGATTTTAACCCTACGAAATTACCACGAGCATGCTCGATGCGAGCATGTTCACTGTGGATGCTCGATTGCACTGCGAGCTTTTGGTCACTACCCATATTAAGATCAATAAACTATATTATTAGTATTTGATACTCATGACTTAATTTTCCATTTCTAGAATCGAGTTAGACTCTAGGATTTTATAGAGTGAGTAGATTTTGTACTTGTAAATCTTAAGTGTTCTTATCGAGACACTGCCTTTTAGAAATAAACTTTTGATCGATCAATCTATAGCCATGTAATGACGGACAAAACCGAATAGAATTAATATTTAAAACTTTTCATTTATTCTTTGTAAACTTTTTGTAATTAGGTGAGTGCATTTTACAAATGAATAATATGTTAACAAGGTCTTTGACAGTGTCTCTTCCATTCGATGTAATGTGGAAAAAGATCACGTTTGTCCCTTGCGTTGCATATATCCAAACAACCCGTGTTTCAAACTATATTACTATCTGGCTTTATAAGACCCTGTAGCTACTAAATCAACTTAATCGACAAGTTTGCTATTCCAATGGAAGCGTATGTATGGTGAAAATCAATTTTTATTTTTTCTGAAACATGTTATATGAATAACGAAATTCCGCCCGGGCCACGAACCACATATTGAAAATACATTTCGGTATCAGTCAAAAAAGGGTCAACAGCGCATCTCCTTTGGATGTTATATAGAGTATTTTGCTTTTAATCTACATTATTTTATTTAGGAGGGATTTACTGTGAATCACTACTCGAATAAAAATCTATCTGAGTACGAAACGAGTGTCTTTAAATTTTCGTCACTCAAATAAGTATAAACCGTTTAATTTGTGTATTTTATATGTGCCATTTTCTATAGTGTGTAAAATGAAATGTATTTTTGTGGTTAAAATGTAATTTTCACAATAAATTGAGTGTGTACATGTGGGTTTCATTTATACAGATTTAAAATAATTCAGTTTTGTTTTATTAGATAAGTACAAAAAAAACAGATTAAAGGATATTAAGTAAAAAAGTATATTAGTAAAGTAAAGTTTTAATGAGAACTTATCAAATTATTCGCTCACTTAACTCCAGATTTGAAATTAAATATTCAGATGTGGGTTGTACAATTCGCCGCGTATGTTTTTCTTCATTAGCTGTAAGAAATATGATTCTATGAATTACTCAAGCTCCTTTTTGTAAGACTATTTTTTGTTACACAAAGGTTTAAAACATTAATTTTCACATATACGGATTATTTTATATTGCAGAAAATGCCACAGACGAGGCTCGAACCCGCGACCACATGCTAATCAAACAATCTTATCAGAGGTGCTATAGCTGTGTAATTTTTAATCACTCTTCACTTTTCTTTTTCAATACATAAGAAGTTATAGTGCTTATGAGGTTGAGCTTGTGAGGGAGCACAGTTCCCGTTAGAGTTTGGGTTCGAGTGCTACACGCGCCATCGATGTTTTAGTCTTTGATCAGTTTTATGTGCTTGGACGGCCAAAACTATTTTGTTTTCCCGGGATTCGATCCTAGGGCCTTTCGCGCGTTATGGTATTTCAGGCAACAGTTGATCATGCAGTTTGCTTTTCCGTATCCGAGGCTATTTTACTGACTGGGTGCTATATACTATTAAAATAACATCAACAAACCTCAATCTGTTCTTCGTAGTTAAGTTCAGTCTTGCTAAGGACGTATGAGAGTTTTGCGAGGGCTGCCTCTGACGTCATGTCGTACGCAGGAATAACTCCACATTCAATTAATAGCTGTAAAGATGTGTTTCTCAATGCAAATTTTGTATGTGGGCCATGAGACGGTTATATTAATGTGCCTGTTTTATTTGTAAGAAGTAAAAATAAGACGAAGAACAAATTTAATATGATTATATCCCTCGACTTACAGGTCCCACCAGCGTCTGTCAAGTTACCTAATGGGATGGGAATTTTGGAGATTTAGTGAGCCTTTACCTCTTGTACCTAACGCAACGCTATGTCACTAGTTAATGATGCCTCCGTTATCCATATGAGTTTAAATAAAACACTTTAACGGTTTGAAACGCGATATATTAGTTTTAAACCGTTAAAGTGTTTTATTTAAATGTGTACTACTCACGTAAATAACAGTAGACAGTAGTGAGTTTTTTTTTAAAGTTAATAATTATTAAAAAAAGAAAACGTCCTTACAAGTCCAGTCTCATACAGCGGTTTCCCATGCACCATTCCGTTGACGCACTGAGTGACATTGACAACTAACACTTTGTTTTTGACAGCTCTCTCTATTTCTCTATAGATTTCCTTTCGTTTGATTGGGATATTGCCGTTTCCGTAAGTTTCCAGAACAACACCTGAGATTGGAAAAGAAAATAATATGTTTTAACCAACACATACTTACAAACGCATATTATATGGATTTCATAAACTGTTTTTAATTCAACAAGAATTCTATCTTTGCGAGCAAGATATTTGTAGGTTATATCGAAATTACGTCTGGCTCACAAACTACTGTCCACAGATAAAAAAGCCGTGACACAGAAGAACCATTACCTTTTTCTACGAACAATATAAAAAGCTTGTTATACTAATGGATAATAACGGGGGTTCGATCACTACCGGCACCAGCAAGTTACTTATTATTTTGAAACACATCTTCGTTTAATAGTCTAGATATTAGATGGATGGTAGAAATATAGAAAATGCCGTCCCGGTCTTGAATAATCGTCCACAGATTAGAAACCCAGTGAACTTTAATCGCGTTTCAGTTTCAGTGTGTGGATTATCGCAATCTGTTGAGATGTTACATAGCTGAGGTATTTCACCTTCCAACTAGGAAACCATGATAGTCTGTCATAAATAAAAACTAAGAAATCACCTTTCATCCCTTCAAACACTGCTCTAATGATAGCGGGAGTGATGGTTGGCGTAACTTTCAATAAGTAGATGTCTGTGCACAATTTATCGTGAAGGATACATTCATTTGGCACTGAACCCAATGGATGGATCAACATTTTGGGATCAATGTCGATTGTTGTTTTAGCTTCCAATAGTGGGGGGAAGTTTGGAGAATCAAACGCGTAGATCCTTGTATTCGAGACTTTCTTGACCCTAGAAATAGACTTATTATTAGGATAAAATATAAAAGTGTGAAACTTTTAAAGGACTCTCTGCATTACTTGTGGGACGAACGAACCCCATGATCCCGAAATTTCAAGTACATGTAGATCACTATAAAAGTCACTGTCGGGACACTGACAAGCCAATGTACCATAAGAGCAATAAATGATTTCAAATTGGAAATAAAATGTATAGTTATAAGTCCAGTGATTTCTATTCTTGTTTCATATCAATTGAAAATTGTCTTATTTAGTGAAGTAAGACAATTTCCAACGGCTTAAATTACTAATTATATCAGTAAATTAACGTTTACTATTATGTTTAACTGCCGTACAGCAGAAGTTACAAAAAGAAAGAGAATTTGTAATAAACGAACCTAGTTCCTCTGAACAACTTCGCGCCAAAGAAAACTGTGACCTCCGGAATATATTGAGTTGCAGCGATCAGAATCGCACACAAGATGTTATTGTTACCATCGCTTCGTGGTTGGAAAATCGGCACCTGGAAATAATATAAAAATATTACAACCCAATATGTAAGCTTTCGAGACCGGTTATCATCATAACGCGAGGGTGGTAATCGTTAAGCCAACCCACACTGGAGTAGCGTGAGTAGATGTTTCTTCTATAAGAGAGTCGACCTGAGTAGCGATAGGATACCTATAGCTTCACTTGTTACATGTGTTACATCAGAACAATACTTTTTGTTATTTTCCTCTTAACTGCACTGTCGTTGTCTAGGTCAGGCACAATCAAAAAATATTATCGCAAATTTAATCAATGTGAGATGTATGTATTTTAGTGTTTAATCTTTAAACTATTTCAGACGTCAGATCCAATCTGTATTTAAAAATAAAAGCGATTTATATGTGTAAATTATTTTTTCATGAGAGCTGAATATTTTTAATTCTTCTGGTCTTGAAATAATGGCTTCCATACTGAGATTAAAATTATAATAAATAGTTCGTTGGATATCTAACAGTTCTGAATATTCAAAGCTAAAATAGCATATCCCCATCTCTTTTCTTTCCACCCTTATCATTAAAAATATGATTACATGCACCAATAGTTACTTTACACTTATCTGCACAAACAAACACATGTTATATGTACATGAATAAATACTGTCAGTGGTAAACTTCGGTGGTTGGTTAATTAGTTTGAACCCTTATAAGTGGCGACATTTAGTTCTTTACCTGTGCCCCTGTTAGTACTACAGTCTTTCCGACTGATTCTAACATGAAGGAGAGTATAGAAGCGCCGTACGCAGTTGTATCCGTCCCGTGTAAGACGACAAACCCGTCATAGTCGTGGTAATTTTTCTGAAATTAAAAAAAAAATGGATTAGTATGTTATTACACTTTTAGTGGTAGAACTTATTAAATTCGTAAGGCCTTGAATAAAAGAATTAGATCTTTTTAGCGATATGTATATGAATACACCATAATTTTGGAAATCCCGTTTCGTGACATTGCATCTTTTATCATGTATATGTTTTTCAGTGATACTGAATATTAATACGTAACATGTTTCTGGTCCATTTGTTATCGAAGAGTTCATATTTTTTATATGGATAAATACACTTAAAACAAGAAAGAAGTATGGGAAAAGTGTAATCCCATTTCAACCATGTAGGTAGGACATTATTGTGTTTGTTACACTTGTCGATTTATGCCCATGTTGATCCACCTTCTACAGGATTCGAACCCTGGATTTCCCCTTCGAAGCAATAGACAGCAGAGACGGCCGGGGCAGTTGTTTAATTGATTTAAACCTAACCCTTAAAGTAGTAAGTATACTAAGTATTTTTGTCAGGCTATTCGGGTGTGGTCAACATTTTGCTAGAACAATATAATAATTTTTTTCTGAAATATGTTGGACTTCGTCTCGAAATCTGGATATTGAATCCGTCCGTGTAGAAACCTCCGTCCACAGATGAAAAAGTCATGAAACTTAATCGCGTATTGGTGTCAGTATATAGATATGGATGGTCAAAGGCAATACGTACTTTTATATCCCTAGCCATTTTGATCCAGTCATCTGTCATGAAATCAGATGAATCCTTCAACTCATCATATTCGAGGATCTTGTACAGGATTTTCAGATCAGTGTCCTTACCATCTAGAAATTATTTTTCACGTGTTTATTCTTAATTGATAACATAGACAGTTAAAAAAAAGTAAGGATGGTCAAATGCAGAAGCTCAAATTGCAGAACTCCCGATCTCCTACTACGAATTCCAGCCCTTAATCTATACTATTATATAAAGCTGAAGAATCTGTTTGTTTGAATGCGGTAATCTCTGGAACTATTGGACCGAATCGAAAAATTATTTTTGGCATGTTAGATCATTTATCGAGGAAAGTTATAAAGGCCATAAAACATTGTGCTGTAACTATTAGGAGCAAAAAACAATGAGAAGGGTGGAAAAAACGGGGAAAATTCCTTTGGGCGTCCGATGTGAATGCTGCGAAAATGGTTCAAGCAGCCCAAAACTACCACCATAGCCAGTTTGTTATAAAATTGTGTTTATAGTTATTATAATTACTTAATTCCATTTAATTTAGTTCCATATAAATGAATGCCAATAAACAAAGTTATCTTAATTTAATGTTCGGATAAGATGCCACGACTCATAATAAAAAAAACGATAAACTTATCTCTCAATTATTCCACATTTATCTTTACGTCATTTTACTAGGTCATCGTTTGTCATTCTCAAAAATCGTTACAAATACGTCGTAGTTATAAGTTGAATGGGTGTGACCGTATGATATATTTGCAGGAGAATAAGAAAAACTTAACTAAACAATGAAATAATATTAAACAAAGATTTAAAAACACTATTTCTTCGGGAATACGCAAAAAAAATCTATAAAAACAAGTAACTCACTGAAAATTTGACAACTACACCTGTAGACGGACAAAGCACTATCTGATGTCGATTAGACGTCTCAATTTAAAATTTATTTATAACAGTATACATAATCAAGAAATGAACATTTTGTTTTCATTAATTTGGTACACAATAATAAATTTACCTGGTAGGACGAGATAGTCTTGTCTGTCTGTCTTTGCGAGATTTTTCTCCCAGAATTCGTTGTCGTGAAGTTGTGACAGTTTTCTAATCACCCTGTTCTCGATGTTCTTTTGTGGGACTAATACTGAAATTGTACATTAAAAATATATAAATAAAACTTATGTACTATAAAAGTATTTTTTTTCCCCCCCATTGTGGATATTACAATTCTTTTAGTACTAAAAGCTACAAATATTTATCAAAGAGTACCAACATTTTAGTAATAAGGAACTCACTAGAACTAATCATAGTTAAGATACATCCTTAATATTATAATAGAAACATTTAATTAATTATTAACACACTTCTTGCATTTTTAGTAGTTTAATAATATATAAGTGCTGTCTATAGTTTACGCGAGTAGTACACATTTAAATAAAACACTTTAACGGTTTAAAACGCGATATATCGCAGCCGTGGTGTCTCCCCCCGTGACCACGCTAAGCTCCGAAACTCGGGCCGAAGTTAAAAATCATTTTCAAATAAGTTTAACTAATATATCGCGTTTTAAACCGTTAAATGTTTATTTAAAAATTATAAGTGTCTAACTGATCATCAAATCAATTAATAAAACAAATTAAATAAAAGGCTAATTTAAAAGTAAATAAAAATCTGAATAGACTTACCGCCTTTTTCATTTTTTAACATTCCAAAAGTACCACCAGTGTAAATAACCAGTACTCTTCTCTCTTGACCCATTTTCATTTATCTGACACAACGTTCTTTGCCGGAATGAAATCTCTAACTATGAAGATACAACGCTGCTGTATTTAAATATCCGATAAAGTTAGTATACTAGACGATTGATATGTTATCAATTAGTATGTTGTCAGTACAATCGTAAGCACAAATATATGTAGAGATCACATACACTCGTGTTATAGGCCCTGAAGTGTCGCAACCTTGACATAACATTGTTACGTGTGTTACATAAGTGATGCCTTTTAACCAATTACTTTTTAATTAAAATACAGTAAGAATCATATAAATAAAAAAATACTATTCAGTATTTTTTAATTCAGTAATTTTGTAGACTGTATACAAAGCAATTTTTAATTTTCTTGTGTAAAACAATAGTGATTATTTTATTAATCTCACTATCAAATAAATACTTAATAACTCGAATTATAAAAAATAAGAGATAAGAATGTTAAATTGTGTAAAAGTAATAAACACCAATAATATCTTTTACAATATTTAAATGAAAGTTTAAAGAGTTATTTTATAAAGTCTAGGTTATAAGTAACAATTAATGGATGTTCGAATTTTAAATAGCATTTAGTGTTTGCTTCTAGGAACAAAGCACCTGGCCTTAATATAAAAAAATAACGTTATATTCATAAAAATATGTTTTATTAAATTTCATCATTAGTCAACATGAAGTCGTTCGCCTAAACATTGCCAAAAATTGTAAACATTTTAACAAAGTCATTGTCACGATGATTGTGATATTTTTATCTGATTTTACATTTTCCCAGTTTTGAATTAAATACTTACCTCGTGCTGATAACGCATTTTGTTGAATAATTTTTATTAACTTAATAGCCATTGGTAGAAATATATTGGTCTTAATAGATCAATATATTTCTACCGATTACTATGCACAAATTCAAAAGATAAGGGTATTAACTGAAACGCTATAATTAAGCTGTGTTTTTATTAATATTTTAAACATTGTTTTGCGTCGTTATTCGAATATGAAATATTTCATTGTGTTTATTGTCGTGAAGTGTAACTTTGCATTAACTGTCAAGATATTTTAGTATTTAAATTATATTTTCTTATTGTATGTATGTCTAAAGTATATATATTGTCTGAAAGACATTTAAAGTGGTTGATGAGTTTTTTAACTGTATTTCAGCGAGAGTGAATATTCCAATAAATTGTGAACGTGTCGCTAAAAGTTACCGTTACAATTTACAGCCCAAAATCCACCCAAGGATGTGTGGGTGTCTCTCCATCTCTCTCAAAAACTCTTCCGAAGATACCAAAGGAATATAACTCAGCATTGTGGTTTAGAAGCTTATACGAATACAGATCTAGAACACCCACTAAAGATGTGATATTGAGGGAGTAGTCTTTGGGTTGCAGCGGTAGAATTGTGGGCTGTAGAGAAACAGGAAAGTATACTATATTGTCGGCTTGGAGTTCTGGGTTGCGCTTCGGAGTAGTTACGAACGCATCGATCGAAAGTTCGTCAAAAGTCGCCAATGAGTTTGGTGTGTATTTCGAGAATCTGTGGAGAATAAAATCGAGATCATAAAACGCCAAAATGCGATTTCATGCGACAACATTCACAGGTCTACAGGTAAGTAGTAATATCTCGTTTTAAGTAGATAAAATTATGCATACGTCAGTCATATTCGTGATACGTAATTTTATAGATAACCCTAATGTGTAGATATAAAATTTGACGATTTTTAAAAATCTGTGTTCGATTGTTTTCGCTCGACGACTCAACACGAGTATAGTTTAAACCCCTTGACACTCTAACTGTATAACTAGAATAAATATTGATACAACGTTTAGATATTTTTTTATGTACCTTTTACTACAAGTGTCGATGGTGTCCCCCGTGCAGGCGAACACGCCACAAATTTTAACTCCTCCGGATGCCTTGCCAGCATATGTACGGACACCGTTTAAGGCACCCGCCCGGTATTTATACAGCTGTAAGAACAATAATTTATATATGATAATCTACACCCTTGATGGGAGTAGGTTACCTAGTACGCTAAAATGCTTTTCAGTGCAAACCAATGTAAAGGACGGGAAGAGATGTATACGTCATACGTCGTGAGAAAGGTAGAGGTGAGAGTTTATACGGAAATTTTACGCTGTAATTTTTCTTATTTTAATCGTAAATAATGGACCTTTCGAGGACTATAGAACTAACAATTCAAAACTTCTAAATATGTTAATAATTAGAGGATAATGAAATAGACAATCACATACTTTTTAAAGAAAGAATAAAAAAAATATTGATATAAAAATCTAATATGAAATTCTTACAATATATTATATATATATTACAATATAGTCAATAAGTATAGCAAATATAAAGTGATTAGTTTTTTTCAAAGCGCGTTATCACTTACCACGGAGTCTGATTGTGTCAGATTAATTTTAAAGCTGCAGATCGCATCATCACTTGTCAACACAAATTCTTGATATCCTGGTACCAACAACCGGCTGTTGTGTCCTGCCATGGACGGATCTCCATTGATTAATAAGTTATCTAGCTCCGAAGGATCGCTAGGTATTGGGCCTGAATACGGTTCCGTTACCTAAAAAATATAATTTTCCTAAACCTTTCTGTACAAATAATATATAAATAAAATATATTCTTAATAAAAATACTATACCCATTTAACTGTTGGATTTTACATTAAGTTTTGGATGAATAAAGAGTCATCCAAAACGTCGGATAGTGGTTCAAACTTCATCAACGTATTTCGTATTTAAACAAAATAAAAGTGTTTGATTAAATTAAACTGTGATTTCTATTTTACCTGTCCAGGCACCTTGGGAACTCTTGCGACTAGAAGTCTAGTTGTTGGTACGCCTGGCATAATGCTTATTAAGGCACCTGCTCTTCCCGAATAGATCCCGGAACCTGTAATGATTTGTTGTGTATTCTATTGGTCATTGTCTAGCTTCTCTCTCTTCCTGACTTTACCATATGCTGCTAAAATTAACTGTACTTTAATTTTTCCTTTTAAAATTTATTTGACATTTTTTTCTTAAGTATTGTTTGTAGTTAAAGCGATTTGTAAATTTTTAAATAAACGATTTTTACGGGATTATAACACGAAGTAGATTAGTTTTACGTTACGGGATACTCGTCAGAACGTAGTTAAATTAAAAAATAAGTTAATTTGCGTTACACCATTGAAATGTATTATTTTTTTCTTAATTATTAGCATCTTTTAATAAATTTGTGTAGTCTTCTACGTTTTTCTTACATTCATAAATCCCTCTAATTATTATTAATTAATATATTATCTGGGAAAGTACGAAAGTGATAGTACGTCCTACTCTATACATAACAAGTGTCATTTGTTCAAACTTAATATCAATGTTTACCTGCACCTCCTTCGGTAATATTGTTGGCCCCGGCAGCAATTAAATTCACATTCATAGCGATCGCATAGCCCTCTTGAATTTGGACAGCTAGAAGTAAAAATGAGAGATGAAGAAGATTTTTAGATTTAATATGAAATTTAGAGTCAAAGTCAAAGTAAAATATTATTTGTTCACGTAGGTAGATACACTTATGAACGTCACGTCATTTAAAAACAAATGACTCTAAATTTACATTTACTAGCAGTTCTCAAATCAAGGCACAGAACGAACGAGAAGAACTGGCAAGAAACTCGCCGCCACAACTTTTATTGCCAAGTTTCATTTTGCAGTCTTCACGTACATAAAGTGCATTTATTTGTTTTTTGATAGAGTGGGTTCCTCCAAACTCTAAGCATTTTTATCGTTAAATTGATTACGTCATAATAACCACGTAGTTTTTATTTTACCCTTATTATTTGTTGTCGACATATTGAGCAATAATTGAGGCCGCTAAAGGCAGATTAACCTAACTGGAACTCTTGAGTTATTTATATTATCACATTCTAAGAATGTTAATATAATAGAAAATTGTTAACATAATTTTTACACAAATAATAGTGAAATTAATTTTCGCCTAAGTTAGTTGCGCATTCTTATTTTCCTCCTTATTATTTTAATCCTGGTTTTTGATATAAGCCACTCTGCCTCTAGCAGCCTCAATATGTCATGTAGTTTTACTCACTTTCTCGAATATTATACATTTATATACACAAACCTGTTAAGTACGGCAATTCAGAGACCCACATAGCAGGAAAAATAATATCAGTCACGTTTAGCTTTTGTGGTGTTTGAATTCCTGGCACCTGGAACTTTAGGTCGAAGCAGATAAAGTGGCCAAATGTTACACCGAAGTCGGTGGAAAATACCCCCAACTCGGGTTTAAGTGCTGGTGTCCGTGTGTATTCCCCGAAGAGGTTCATTTTGCGATATCTAGAAATTTATCATTTGATCAACTCGCAGGTAGCATCTTTGCTACACTAAGGTTTATTTCCTAAAAACACGTCTCTATCAGAGAGACATTTTCATTGTCAATCTTATAATACATTATTTCATTAGTAAATGTCTCTCCAAATCATTATTTAATAATGTTAACAAAAGCTCTAACATTTTAATAGTATTTGGTTTCTTTGCTTTCCTAAGGTTTGTTTTCCAAACATCTATCAGAGGCACTTGTTTAACATAAGTATTTTTAACTTGTAAAAGGGTTAAACATAAACAATATTAAGTTTCAAATTAAGTTTATACCTATCTATAACAGCGCCTTGTCTATCAAACACGACATTAGCGTTGAAGATATATGTCTTCATCTCAGGACATTCCTCTTCAGGTGCGGGGCAATTTAATATTTCCTGTATGTTGACTACAACATAGATATCATTTTCTCGCGCAGCTGTTGAAATGGCAACTAGAATCTGCAGACACATATAATTAGTTAAGTAAAATTACTTAATTTAAGGAACATTATTATTAAATTACCGAAAAAAAAGCAATGATAAAGATAATTCCAATCTAGACATAGAATTTATTTAGAGCCTTTTTATGGCATGGGACACTAGGGCATTTTTTTTTAAACCAACCTCATGATATAGATCTGGTCGCACTGCAGGTATTGGATGTTCCTTAAGAAGGCTCTTAATCGGTATAGGTATATAGTACTCTTCTCCTGGATTCAATGACAGTTCAGGAAATACTACGACATCTGCATTCTGAAAGAAATTATTATTACAAAATAAATAATATGTATATAAAAAATTTAGGGCTCTTGACAATGAGCGTGGATTTTTTATTTATATAAAACATAATTCCACACTCATTTTAAATGGAAAGTTCACTTTACTTACATAACAGTTTGTGTACTTAGTTTAGTATCCTGTTCATTTATTTGGAAGTACTTGGGCGCGAGTCTAACAGATAATTAGCCGGATTTTGCTCTTGCTTGAGTAATACACTGTTTAAATAAAACACTTTAACGGTTTAAAACGCGAAATATACTAGTTAAACCTATTTGAAAATTATTTAAACGTCGAGCCGTAGTTAATTTTAAATAAGTTTAACTAATATATGTCGCGTTTTAAACCGTTAAGTGTTTTATTTAAATGTGTACTACTCGCGTAAACTACAGACAGTATTAAATTCATTGTCTTAAAAGAATTAGTACATAAATAGCGGACTATATTAAATACATACCTGCGCAGAAGCATCCTTAATGAGTTCAATATAATTATGTACATTTCTCTGGACATCCCAACTGAATTCATACTCAACTACAGCGGCAACATAATGTGAATCCTCAGGAGTTGATTTCTAAAACGAATTATTGCTTAACATGAACACTTTTTATCAATGATCAACATCAGTGTTTGTATCATCGATTTTTAAATATTCTAAATTTTATTATAATTATTTCAATGGACTCGTTGATGTAATGTATAATAATCAACGGGGTTTGATCCCTACTCGTTCCAACATTCCAATCAATTTATAATTTTCTGAAACATGTTACAATTCGTCTGGTAATCTGAATATGAAATGGTTCATATGAATATCGAAATTCCGTCCGTGTCACGAATCACCGTCCACAGATGAAAAAGCCGTGAAGATGAATCGCGATCGGGTTTCAGTCTGTGGATTCTCGAATATTAAAACCCAAATAGGTCGACAACACATCTTACTTAAACGTTAAATCACCATCAAGTGAATTGTCTGTCCTCCTTTATCATACATTTTTCTTTTGATCTGAAAATGTCTTGCAAACGTGTGAAATAATAAAAAAATATATTACCTGCATTGAATACTGCGTTAGCGATAGAAGAATTAATATTGTTAACTGCATTTTTAACTAAAGATTTTATTATAATGTACAAAACCACTTCTGAGTTAACCTCTCTCTGCACAAATAAGTTTGATTGCTTATCTCAGTACTCAGCATTTATATCTATTCTGATACAAGATACACGATGAAGCTAAGAGCAAAAGTCATCTGCGGGATTTAGCTTTGATGATTGATACTGTAAAAATTACCGTACCTGAACTTTGTGTCTCCACACACAAATAGAGCTGATTTTATGATAGTGTACCTTATTAGGTGGGCATATACTAATATTATAAGGCTGAAGAGTTTGTTTGTTTGAACGCGGTAATTTGAGGAACTACCCATTCGAATTGAAAAATTCTTTTGCGTTGGATAGACCCATTATCGAAAAGGTAAGCTATAAAATATTACGATGCGACCAATAGGAGAGAAGAAATAGAGGAAAATGTGCAATGAACGGAGAAAGCTATTCATCGTGCGCTGCGAAAACGATACAAGTAACCAAAAAAATTCTATTGGATGTTCCTCCTTTAAATGATTTATGTCAAGGACAGTAATCTAAGTTATCTTTTGAAATTTGCGCGAAGGGGGATACCTGCAGCCGCTGCGGCGGGTACAGAAGAAATGCATTGACTGACTTTTATGACTCCCGACAAGACGCGGATGACGTCGTGGGTAATGGATTTGATTTATAATGGTTGGGGGGTTTGCAAAAACTAATTTTGATGTCCAAAATAACGCATACGAAATCGCCGGTACAGCTAGTATTGGATAGTTTCGCCAATATCTTATTTTAACTTTGATATTTGGTATGAATCTTTATTATAGGCATTAAATGAAACCAGAAAAATACTTACACTAAATATATTCTATTTTTTCCAAAGTTGGCACATACATTCTTACCATTGAATACTTAAACACTAACTAGCTTTAACTTTATTTGGCACATAATGATTCAATACAAATTTATTTCTTCCGTTACTTTTTTTTATATATCTTACATTTATGGCTTAAGTACGTACTGCATTTGGCGTGTTACATAATATGATTTAAAAAGAAATCAATATTTCTATGACAATACAGCAAGAGTAAATACAAGCAGAATTATCGTAGAAATAGTTAAATGAAATACTGCTGCAGATCCTGGTGCATCTGTTGGCTGAGTACCAGGGGATGGAGTACTTGTGGTTTCAAGTTCAGGGTCAACCCACGGCGGAGTAGGTTCTTCTCCATCTCTTCCAAAAACTCTACCAAAAATACCAAAGGAGTATAACTCAGCGTTAGTATTGATCAATTGGTAATTGTAAATATCTACAACACCGAAAAGAGAAGTTATGTTCAGAGAATAATCTTTGGCCTCCAGGGGTAAGATAGTCGGTTGCAGCGACACTGGGTAATAGGCTATGTTATCTACTTGTAGGTCTTCGTTACGACGTGGTGTTGTCAAGAACGCGTTAATGTTGAGCTCTTCAAACTTTGCGAAGGAGTTTGGTGTGTATTTTTCAAACCTGCGGTACAAAAAGTATTTACAAAATATAATGTATAGTATTTAAATCTTTGAAATTACAACGTTTTATACACAAAAAAACCTTAAAGAAATAATGAAAATGACTAATGATTTAGTTTGACAATAGCTATATATATCAAAGTCTTCTCGTCTGTTGTTCTACTTTTAAAATTATATCTCTGACGCTATCTCAAGTAAAATTTGTGAATAGAAATTTATATATTGCAGCTTTCAGATTCACATCACTTGATTTAAACTTTTCTTGCATGTAAAAACGTTAGAGATAGACCCTTAGCTCTGACGACGTATTTTTACTTTTGAATTTCGAAAAAACTCTTTTTAAAGACAAGAGAAGTAAGAATAATGCAAAAAATATATATACCTCTTAGCACACGTGTCTATGGTATCTCCAGTACACGTGAACACACTACAGATCTTAGTTCCTCCGGATGCTACACCGTCGAATGTTCGTACTCCGTTCAGCGCAGCAGCTCGATATTTATACAACTAAAAGCAATTGTATTTTTAGTATATCTATCTACTATACTATTTAACAGGCAGGCTCGGAAATTCGTTAATCTATACTAATGTATTAAACTGAAGAGTTTGTTTGAACGCGCTAATCTCAGGAACTACTAATTCAAAAAATATTTTTTCAAAACGAGAGAGAAACGCTGCGAAAACGGTCCAAGACACCCATAAAATATGTATAAAAGAATGATTCCTCTTTAAATGATCTAAAAAAATGTCCGCCACACCATATGTCTATCTTTTAACTTAACATTTAGATTAACTTGCAAGAACGACGGGATCCGAACAACGGGTCGTGAGCGACGCGACGCGACCGATATCGTGGGCAGCTTAAATTTATAAAGATCCAAAAACAAATTTGGATACGCAAAACAACTATTCTTCGCAAACGAAGTCGCTGACACAGCTAGCTATAATTATAACAGTTGCTCCATTCAAATCTGGACAACAATGGAATGCTCCACTTACAAACATCCTCCAATTTCAATTTATGAGTACAAGAAACAAATTGATTTGTTTATCAGACCTCATAAGTAGTACAATTGAAAGTTTAAGTTTAATGAATGTAATCTGTATCAGCCATTTCCATTTGTTTCATTAAAGATTATATATATCTAACATAATATAATCTAATAAAAATAATGTGTTTGCATATATATTTTGATTTTTAAGAGTAAGACAAAGTAGACAACGATATTAAATAATATCGTAACATTTAAAATTTTTTAATTTTAAATTTTAAAATTTAATACGGCGAGCAGCACGGAAGCCGGTTCAAGCCACCAGTGAAAATTTTTCCAATTTATTTTCGATTTTCAAAATTATTATTGTAAAATTTTGTCGTTGTTAGGCTCCGCTGCACAATGACGGTTTTTAATAATGACAAAAAGAGCTTGGTATAACATGCGTTTATAATTGAGCAACACAGTCCACAAACAATTAAAAAGAAAAAAAGATATAACCATGTAATCACAACATTAGCACACAGCCGAAAATCTCTTTTCCAAACCGATAAAGTCGCGAGAAACAAGCAAGAAATAACTATTTTTAAAAAAAAAATATATCAATATTGTTGAATAAATACGTACAAATTAGTTTTTACATTGTAATAACTCTATAAATATTTACAATTATGTAGGGAAATTAAAAATCGGGTTAATGTTTGGTATTTGTATATTTTAAAGATCGTGTGAAATAAAACCTCTGACAACATTTATGTTTTATTAATGATTTAATAAGACGAATGGATGTAAAACATTCATACATGTATATATTGCCTAGCTTATTATAGCTAAAACAACAAAGAAGTCGAGTGTTTGAAAATTCTTAGTTATGACATTATCATCTTTATGTGATCAATTCTGTCATCGTGACTTGCTCTATCAGATCTAATAATTATTTAATTCAACAGTTATATAATTATTAATGTCATCGAAGGTTACTTTAGGAAGTATTAATATTTGGTCCTTATTGTAAAGTCGAGCCCATATTCCGAACGTCATTAGATCATTTTGAGGTGCATTTATTTTGAAGGTGTATTGCGCAGGATTGGATGGAAGTGGATTTCCTCGGTCGTTTTCCGCTAAGGTGAAATTCACTGGACTAAGTGGAAATCTGTTGCTCCGAAGCGAGACTCCGTAATAGTCCACATTGTCACACTCCAGAGTAGAGTTGTAATCAAGCGGATGTGAAGTCATGTGTATATTTAATTCTTGGAATTCTATGTTGTTGTTATCTCTTTCGAGCCTAAAAATTATTGTCGATTAAAAATGGGCGTATATTATAGACAAATGTATTGTGTTCTCAAAATCTGTATTTTATAACTAGCGTAAAGTATCTGAGTTTAAATGAGAGTATTTGTTTTGATCTTTGTTAATCATCAAAGTTCAATGTTTGTTTGGCTACTCAAGAAATAATATTTTCCGACAAGCGCTAGAAAGTACAAAACCACAGACCTGAACCTGAAGTGAATTCGATTTCGAAACTATTATACATATATTTTGTTGGGATTTAAATAATGAAGTATTTATTTAGAGCTTTGACCAGCTTATTGGTCTAACGGTAGTTCTAATCTAGAGTTAAAATGGGTGGTGGGAATATCGAAAATCCCGTCTGGGTCACGAACCCTTTCAGCTTCAGAATTCTCCGAACATTAAAGGCTTAAATAGATCGACAGCGCATCTTCTTAAGATGTCATATGACTGGAGTATTTCACCTTTCATCAAGAGAACCTCATGCTTATCTATCCTCATCTATTATAAAGCCGAGGCTTCTCTTATACCTGTAGGGGCAAGTCATCGGATCTTCATTAGCACATACAATGACCGAACATGACGCGACGCCAATACGACGTATCAGGCCATAAGTGTTATACCCATCGTGGACAACAGCTCTATACACAGTACTCTGTAAATATAAAATGATGGCAACTTCTAAGAATGAGTTACATATTCAAATATAAAAAAACTGTAATGAGTGATATCTTCGTTACAGTATTACAGGATTTTCAACACCATAGCAACGTACAATATAGTGCACCAAAATATATTAAAGTAAGGTAGGCAAAAAAAAGATTTTTTTTTTTTGAGGCTACCAATGTTTTTAGATATGCTTTATAATTGGACTGCCTCGTTGTCTTAAGATGCCTTTATGAAACATGAAATGAAAACAATAGGAAAACCATGCTTGTACTTACCCACTTCTTATGTTTAAAACAATATAATAAAAGATTCGATTTACTTCATATACGAGTAAGTATACACATACTTGCGAATGAAATGTTGTTTTCGTCAAACGTAGTAAGCACTTCAGATTAAAATTTAATTAAAAGTAATTAAAACATGCTTGTACTCACCCAGTATTTTATAGTAGTGTTAGTAAAAAAAAAAATTAAACGAAGCCGTTAACTTATATAACTTGCTGGAAAATGCAATGTTTGTTGACGTACACGATAGAGATAAATATATCAGGCGCTGATTTTAGTGTAAATAACATTTTACGGGATCCCCGCTCAGAACCTTGATATTCATTCTATACTTTAAATATTATTGGAATTATTTGTTTGCTATTGAAAAACCATTGTCTTAAACCAGCAACATGCCAATAACGCAAAGCAATTTTAGTAATTAGAGAATTACTAAAATTGCTTTGAAAAATTTTAATATAGCAAATTTGAAAATTGCTACAAATTCTTAAATATTTTGCACGTGCTACTACTTAATATTTAAGAATTTGAAAAAAGAAAATCCCAGGTAATACTAAATGCTTTATAAACCGTTCCACCATGCAATTGTAACCGATTTTTGACCCTTAACGCATTTGGATTTCATTCATAAAAGCTTACCGTATTGTCCGTTTGTGTCATGTTAATTCTGAAGTTGCAGACCGTATCTCCACTCGTGAGAATGAATTCTTGATAGCCTGGAACCAGCAAGCGACTGGTGTGCGCAGATATTGATGGATCGCTCTTCAAAAGAAGGTTATCGCGCTCAGCAGGGTCGTCATAGATTGGTCCGGTAGATGGCTCTGTTACCTGAAGGAAAATATAAAAAAATATAAATCTGAATCCCTAAGTCTGTGTGTATGACAAAATTCGACGATGACGTGTAGAACAGCGTTTCGTAAATTTCTTCAATTTATAATCGATTTTTAATAAAAATACATCTACTTTATATTGGGACTGGGACTGGAACCCACGACCACAGCACAATACCTATGGCAGGACTTTATGTGTAAGCAACATAAGAAACATTACATAATATTAAACAGGCTTAATTTATTATGCCTCATAGTGCCGACTATTTCACGTGGTCCCTTGTAAATTACTTTTACAATAATAATAATGGAAAAGTACCTCTCCTGGAACTTTTGGAACTCTGGCAACGAGAAGGCGAGTTGTGGGAACGCCCGGCATTATGCTTATCAGTGCACCAGCTTTTCCTGAATATATTCCAGAACCTAGAAGGGCAAACATAAAAATGTATTTGTTTACGCTTATTTATTGTATTTTTTAACAAAAACAGTTACATGTGTAACTCATGTGTTTTGTTAAAAAATGATTTTAATTGGTCTGTAATGTTGAGGCACAATTTTGATTTTGATTGGCACCTCTTTAGTATCTTATATGTTAATGGCTTGCACAAGCGCCGCCAGGATTAATGAAATAAGGCTGATAGTAAAAGTAATAATTTACCTGCACTGCCCACTCGTACATTGTTCGCTCCAGCAGTTAAGAAGTTAACATCCAATTGATATGCGTAAGCCTGTTGTATTTGAACCGCTGAAAGAAGTAATTTCGTTAAATAAAGATAACATTTCATCTTGTTTACCTTTATTGTTCAACTTTGATTTTACTGTAGAGTACGTTCTTTATTTTTATATAATTATTAAAAACTTATTTTTGAGTGATCGAAATTGGTTGTAAAAACGAAACTTTATTATCAATATTATATCAAATATATTGCGGCCCGGTAATAAGAGGTACAGAATGCAAATTTTGTGGAGTGCAGAGGACCAAAATTAAATGTCAGAAGAAGTTAAACTTTTAATTTTCCTGGCTTTAGACATCAATGTGCTAAAACACAACTATATTGAAATAAATCTATCTAAAATTACCCAATATCAATACGATAAATCAGATTTACTTTATTTTAAAGTAACTGTCCTTAATTACTCTTGAAACAAACCTGTTAAATAAGGCATCTCGGAAAACCACATAGTGGGGAATATAACATCGGTCACATTATATTTCTGAGGAGTCTGCACAGCTGGCACTTGGAACATCAGATCGAAACAGATGAAGTGGCCGAACCTGACGCCAAAATCAGTATCGAAGATCCCGAGTTCCGGCTTCAGCGCTGGAGTACGAGAAATCTCTCCAAATAGGTTAATTTTGCGGTACCTACAATAACAGATTTAGTTAATAAGAGACTGTAAGTACAATCTTATTAAACATTTAAAAAGGTATAGTTCAGTTAAAATATATTTATTAATTAAGTGACCCTAACGATCTAATTAATATCCCTTATATTAAATGATAGAAATCAGAACAGCCCTTTACTAGTTCCCACAATGGAATTGTTACAAAATGGGAATCTAGTCAAATAAGCATGGTAAATTACTGCCTTAGACATAAATGTGTATTGGTAAATTACATGTATAGTAAACATTTTGTACGCGTCTCTCGATTATAAGGACGAAAGGCCACTAGGTATTATCAATTAATTTTTATAGGAGATTATAGATATTTTATTAGATTTCAGAATTCCGAGACTGTCTCAATTCTACGACCACTGTATTTCGTTTGAAACAACCTTCGATCATAAAGTTCGGGACTATTTTTGAACTATGTTCCGCGTTTTGATGTGCGGTATCTATAATGTAGTTCATTTATTTTTTTAAAAAGGCTTACTAAGTAGAGTTACAATGAAACCTCGTGGTCCCGGATTCGATCGTGTGTATTTTTTTGTCTATCTATATTTTGTGTCAGTGTATGTTTCTGTGTAATCTCATTTAAAAACTACTTACTTATCTGTAACTAACTTAACTGTAGATATATAAAAGTTGTGTAAATACCTGTCGATAACAGCACCTTCTCTATCGAACACGACATTTGTGTTAAAATAATACGTCTTTTTTTCGGGACACTCTTCCCCGGGAGCATCTTCACAGTTCATTACTTCCTGGATGTTTATCACTACGTAGATCATGTTCTCGCGAGCTGCTGCTGATATGGCTACAAGGATCTAGAAATAGTTCAAGCACTTTAAGAATCAATCACTGTAGTTCTAAATGGTACAATAATCGGTAATGGTTTTTTTAATTATCAAAAAACTGGATTGTCTGTTTCCTGGACAGATGAAACAGATTGTCTGTCTATTAAAAGATGTCATAAAAGTGTCATTCAATGTATGTATTATTATTTAACAATATTCGTTAGTAAATACAGACCATGGAAAGGTGTGGGTGGACAGGTGTCTAGTCAAGCCGTTTATCTCTCAGGGTTCGACGTTCGAAACCGCGTATATAAATAATTTTGACTAAATATTCAGATAAATACATACGTCATTATACAAATCCTTTTGAAGAGCGGGCACTGGATACGTCTTCAGGAGACCGTAAATAGGAACTGGTATACTTCTGCTTCGTAAGCGGTTTAATGTCATTTCCGGAAAAACTATTATATCTGCATTCTGAAATTGATAATATGTATTTTCAATTCTAACAATAATGAAAAGAACTTAGAATATCAGTGGAAATGACCAGGGTCAAAAATAAGTCTAGACCGCACCTTAGTAAGGCTGGGAAACTTGGTACTGGGGACTTTAAATTTTCAAAAGTGAACATTTACATCTGTCAAAAACATAATGTTATTCTTTTCAACATCGTTATTTTATTTTTTAAAATAATATGATATTTAAATAAAACACTTTTAACGCGTTGAAAACTGTCACTGCTGTGTCGTAAACGTCGGGCTGTAGTTTATTCAAACATAAGTTAACTAATAGATTACGCGTTTTGAACCGTTAAAGTGTTTTATTTTAGTAATCCTCGCGTAAACTACAGATAATTTTTAATAGTATTAATTATAAGCCTTTTAGCATTTACGTTTACTATCCAAAATTATTTTAAAACATTGTTGACCCTATCTGGATATGCTGATATCATTGTTTTTCGGGCTATTCGGCCGGCGCGCGTTGCTTGAAGGATTATATAATTATAATCCAATGTAATATTTAGTTAACTTAGTAATAAGTGAATGTGTACATTCTTTAATAAATGTCTAAAACCATAATCATTACTCTTCGAAACGTAGAGAACCTCTTCTCGCTCACGTCATAGATACCAAATATCTTAAACTTATCCTTACCTGATTTGCAGCATCCTTAATTAAATTGACGTAATTCTGGACATTAACATCTGTGTCCCTGTTCGTCTCGTACTCGACAACCGCTGCAATATAGCTGCTATCTAGCGGTGTAGATTTCTAATAATAAAAAAAGAAAAAATTAGAATTCATAGATAGTCATTTTTAATCTATATATGTACATATAGCTGAAGAGTTTGTTTGTTTGTATGTATGAACGCGCTAATCTCAGAAATTACGGACGAGAATTGAACATTTATTTTCGTGTTGGTTAGAGCATTTATCTAGGAAGGTTATAGGCTATAAAACATCGCTTTGTGACTAATACAAGCGAAGTACATCGAGAAATGTGAAAAAAAAAAAGGTTATGGGTTTCCTAGGCGTACGATGCAATATTCGGTACAAGGTACCCAAAAAAACAATGATTCCTCTTTAGGTGATCTAAAAAAGAAGTCAACGACGCTATGTATCTTTAAGATTAGCTTGCGAGAACGAAGGGTAAGGACGCGACCGACGTCGTGGTTTTGCAAAAATAAATTTGAATACCCAAAATAACTATTCTACGCGGACGGAAAATTATTAGTTAAATTTTTGATTTAATTACGACTAGACATTTCAGAAACTTTGCAGCAGCCGTGGTCATGTGGGGAACTGAAGAGCTGCAACAGATGGCGCTAGTTAAGTGATAAGTATTTAATTAAATTAATCTATGAAATCATTCAATGATCATAATTAGAAAATAAGACCGCAGCGTTTATCGTTGTTTGGTTCACTGCCAATGGATTGAGTTAGCAATTAAGATGATAATAAACAACAAGATTATGATTGAAAACAATAATTAAATTTCTAAACAAGAAAGAAAGATTTCGAGGTGTTATAATTATTATAATTTGATAACAGCTTAACTTTTTCCTACTTATGTTCTTGATAGATTAGTCAAACTCAAACTCAAACTCAAAGAGATACAGGAAATATGATAAGGAAAGTGTAAGTGGATTATGTGTAACATCTATAAATAAATTATAATATATAATAGTTTGCCAAAATAATAACTATTAGAAACGTGTTTTAAACTAATGCCAATAATCGTTCGAAGAATCAGAAATATATTTTTGTCCAAATTGAGTCTATGGTTTTAATAAAACACGCTTAAACGATTGTCAACTTAAATATACATAGCCAAGATAGGTCGACAAAGCAACCGTTGCATTGATAAGCAACGAGCGTTAAGGCTGCTTATGCACAAACTTTTTCTACATCGAACTACCTAAGTCTTTGGGATCCATTTGTCAGTTTGTTTTGTTAGTGTTGTAATTTAAAATAAATTGGTTACACCAACTGTCAACCATATTTGGACTCATCCAATTGGTATATAATACAGAATAGATTAAAAAATCTTAATGTTGAAAACTTTTGATAGTACAATTAATCTGTACGTCAATTTAAAATTTTTCTTAATTATAAGTTGCCAGCACTTTAATTATTGATCCCAAAGTAGGGACATACCTACCTTCCTAGGTACTATAGATAGCATCGTACTTACAACTAAAAGATTTATAACATCACCTGTTCTGATCTACAAATCAGACAAAAGAATCCGATCCATATAAAGGATTTCATTATCACAATTCACTAGCACTATACTCCACGCATTCGATTTTCAACCGTAACAATGTGAAAGAGAGTTGAAAATTGCACTATTGGAACATTTGCAGCAATACAGACTTGTTTCTTCGATGTAAATTAATTGTGTACTAACACAAACACGTTACAGAGTATGCAAAGAATGAATGTAGATTATAAATGTTGACTATCGGTGTTTCGCGGTGTTGCCCTTTTTTGATGGCAGGTGTATTCAGCCCCCCAGCCATATAACATCTAATTATCTTGTATTATGTACTAAAAATAGTCCAACTACGTATGTTAGCCGACCTATCATAATGTGTACAGCCGTTTCTGGTATGTCAGATACAAAGATATATGATGATCCATTTTTTAAGAAAAACAACAATCAACTGACGCTTTTATATATATTTAGATGACTAATTTTCCATAACTCGATCAACGAAACAAACTTTAGTTTTACATTTAATATATTCATATTGATTTGACTTCTCGTGAATCATTTAAGGATAATGCCCTACTATTACTCCGCCTCTGTATATAAATGGATAATGGAGGGAAACGGGAGTTTAATACTTTATGTTATCTCCTAATTATGGTTCTTTTATTTCGATTCAGAATATAAAAAATCGTAATGGTAAGAGGATGAGATTTTTTTACAAAGAAGTTGGTAAAGACGATTGCGCGTGAAGCAGCAAGCCTCATACACCATTTTGAAAATGTTTGAATGATTTTAGACCCGGAAATGACATAGGTAGGGCACTCAAACCACATTTAGTACCACTACCTACATAATTTATTCTTAACATTTCTCGTTAAGTTTTCTCGTTCGTGCGTAGTGGGAAATTAAATAATATTAATCTCTCCATCGGAGTCCACTTTGGAATTTAAAATATACTGAATGTCTTAAATATACTGTTCTATATATTTTAAAATATGTTTAATATTATCCGGTATAACGTTACAATACTATTCTTTATATTATATCTAGATGGACATCTTGTACTTTAGTCTTTAACCGACTTCAATCGTCCGATGTTTTTATGACTGAGATAATGTTTTATCGGCAACAGTAGAATTAAAGACGCACATTTTATAGGATATTATAAAAGTATATCAAGAAACGGGAAGTGTCTTTACGATACAAGGTTATACTAATATTTTTTTTGGGAAATTATAGTAGAGCGAGAAATAACAATTGCTTTCAAATTGCAAAATATCTTCAGGCGGTACTCAAACAAATCAATGCGTCAAATTGGTCTTTTTGGCTACCTCTCTCTAATATCACCCATAATTTATACCTTAGATATAGTCTCCTCGTGACCACGGCTGTTGCAAAGCATCCGAAATGTCGGGTCGTACTTTAAATAATTTTCAAATACTTTTAACTAATGTAATGTAACGTATCGCGTTTGAAACTGTTAAAGTGTTTTATTTAAATAAATAGACTTTAGTACCCTAATTTAATTACGTTGTGTAAATAGACACAATTATATAATTTAATTATATATATGGCAAAACATTGCGGACTTCAATCAAATTTTTAGTATGTAGTATCAAACTATCATTCCTAATAAAGATATATTTTAGTTAATGCGAGTAGAAGCGAACCATCTGTTTGTACTTAAAAATTAGTTCTCTACTATATTTCGCGTTTTAAACCGTTTAGCATATTTTACTTAATGAGTAAGTATAATTAGTTTCTATTTATATAAGATTTCCTTTAGAAAAGATTTTGTAGTTAAAAGTTATCGCTTAATCGCTGTAAAAGTTGCATAAAAATGCATTGTAACATTATTATAACAAAATATATAATAGTATATGTATACAAGAATAATTTAAGAAAGAGAAGACAACTGTAACTAGATTTGTATTTATGTATAAAAAGTGTTCTAGAGTTTAAAATATTACTATTACAAAAATTACGAAAATTTATGCAATAAATATTTGGAAAACTTTAATTTCAGTAATAGTTTTATATCTGACTATCTCACTAAATAAATACCTACGAGATTCAAGAGATATAAGATTATCCAAGATAAGACTAATCTTTGATTATAACTTATGGTTATATGACATAAGAGTCACGTTAATTTATGAATGATTAGCAGATTAGCAAAATTATGAACAATGAACGAACAATGTCAAATTTAATTCAAATATACCTGTACAGACAACTTCAGAAGACACGCGAGGAAAATGAAAATAACCCTCATTTTTCCTCAATTCTCACTCAACATTTAACTAATAACTGATACATTTTATGTCACTACCCCCTTATATATACAACAGTAATAAACTGAACCAACCTTTGTTCAATGGCTTTGACGATAAGAGAAATAGACGGATAACGTATCTGAGTCTAGACAAATTTTAAGATTTCATCTAAACGAGGGCATTGTAGCTTTCATTAAAATAATATAAAGGTTTTAATCTTGACGTCAATCGAGGTACGATTAAAAATATTTTGTACGCAGGTAGCTATCGAACCTATGGCGTCGAGGCAACGAGCCACGCCTACTATTGCTCTAAATACAAACTAAACATTTCTATCAAAAGACATATTAAGTAAATTAATAGTCAAAACAATTATTTTAAACATGTAAGTAAAAATGAAGTATTATTTATGTAATCATTAAAGACGTGATCTAGTGGACACAAACAACACAGCGGGTAAGGGGATGTCCCGATAAAATAAACATCGAATGAATCTCATTAGCTATAAGGGAAAGAATGTCATTAGCTTTTATTGAACTTTTCATTTTTTTATTTTTCACATATATTCCTGTGATGGCAAGTGGATGATGAATTTATGATTCATCTTCAAGATGAACAATCATAATAATTCACTTTAACAATTAATAAAACACTTTAACGTTTTAGAACGCGATATATATCAGTTCGGTAGTTATAATACTCTCCAAATAAATTTAACTAATATATATCGCGTTCTAAACCGTCAAAGATTAATTTAAATGTGCACTATCCGCGTAAACTGCTGACAGTGTTTCAAAGGTTTTTTGTACATTATTATATATTAAATATATAAAAAAGTTGTGCAGGTTTTGATCTAGTCGTGTGTGCCCTTCTCTAGAATTGATTTCTTACTCCATTTTATACTTGGAATTAAAAATGACATCGGAACATAACGACGCACTATTTTGCTATAACATTTTGCGCAGGAATTTTTAAGTTAGATAAAGTAAATGTACTTTTTATATGTATTTACCACACAGAGATTAGGAAGTAAAGTGGTTATTAGTTTCTTATATAACATAGAACGCCAATATTGAAATTATATCAAATCGATTTTAAATAGAAAAGAAAATTGCGGGGCAGGACTTAAACCGGCTTCCACAGCATTCCATGCTATTGCTATAAACAATTGAGTTACCGTGTCTTTCACGTCATCGTCGAATTTTTTCATATTGGTACCTCTAGCGCAATTTTTTGAATTTATATTGTCGAAAAGTAAAAAAAAAACTACATATTTGGATAAAGAATATTTTTTATAACCTTATATTTATTTAACTTTAACTTATATTAACATAACCGTTACAATAAATAATTTTAAATATTTATGCTAAGCCGCACTGTAAATTACAAAGTATTAAGAAACCTCCAAGTTTACTCATACATGTTGTTTTGTCTGGAATGTTCCATGTGACTCCTAAGGCTCTGCCCGTTGAGTTTTTCCCTGCGAATAGCTTGGGAACGAGCTCGTCTCTTACTGGCCTGAGAGGATATTACAGAGCGTCTTCTATTTGCTATTCCTGAAAATAAAACGTCATCATTCCAAAGGGGAAAATGGGTAAGTTGGTTAAGAGATAATGTTGCCTGATCAGTGTGCCAAATAAAAAATAATTTACGTCATCCTTATTAATATTATCAATAGACAATATATTTATAATAACAATATTTCAATGTTTATAATTTCCACATAAGAACTTATAATGTTCTTATAAATAAAATAAAAAATAGGAAAATTAAATAAAAACATAATACTGGTACTGAATCTGGCTTAGCGTCCATGACATGGTCACTTTGACCGAGTGAGAGTACGATACGGTGTTGTCGTGGGTTCTAGTCCCGGCTGTTCGGTTTTAAAAGGCGTTCATTAATGGACAGTACTAAAGCTTTGTAACTATGTCACTTTTATGCTGTAAATTAAAAAAATGTCTGATGTTTGATAACATTATATCCTGCACTAGCTGTGTCAGCGAACAAACAAACTCTTCAGCTTTATAATATTAGTATAGATAACATTCAATTGCCAACTTAACTTTCGTTTAAGATCTTTATAATTCTGTTTCATGTTAATCAGAATCCTCGATTTAGTTTGTCTGAATATTGTAAAATAATATAGATATATCTATCTACCAGGATATTTAATAAAAGTATTGTATTAAAAATAATTTAATAACCTTTAAGTCTCGTCAAATCAGTGTGCGAAATATACTCATCTAGATCATCAGGGTCCATTTCTTGGCTAGCCCTCATCATTTCTTGGTAGAGTTCCTTAAACTCCTTGCCCAGGTGTGCATCCTCCAATGTTCGGCCTAAACGCTTCGCCGAAAACCCTAACGATTTGGACAAAGGCACTTCATCCATCAAAAACTCTTTACCAGGTAGCTCTGAAGTTATTGCCTGAAATATTTATTGTCTTTCGCTATTTGCATAACACATCAATTCAAATGTATCTTCATTCATGTAGGCAACTGAATTGAACATAGAAATCTTTAACATGAACTATTAGTTCTCAATATGGGAGCATTAAATGAACGAGACTGGTTGCGAATTAAGAGATTTAAAAGGAATATTTTAAAATAAGATATGCTTATATCAAAGTCAATTTGTGCTGGACGCGTTAAACAAATTTGGTCGAGTAACTGATAGATAAACTTAATATCACGGGGAACCCCCTAAAACTACTCTGGACTAGTCATTTGCAGGCCAAGTCTCACTTAGGGTCTTTGCAGTATTTATTACCTAGAAACCACACTGAACTTATATTCTAACAATTTTACGATAAATAAAACACTTTAACGGATTAAAACGCTATATATAATAGTTTAACTTATTTAAAAAATACTTTCAAACTTATTTGAAACGTCGGGCCGTAGTTATAATAATTATATATCGGTAAAACCGTTTTATTTAAATGTGTACTCGAGTAAACTACAGACAGTATTAAATCTTGCTATAAACAAACAAAATCTACAAGTTACATAGAAAATAGTTTTCAAATATATACCATAATCTGCCGACTAATTAACAAAAATCTACTTACGTAGTTTGTTAGAAGAGGTCAAAACGTAGGTTCAAATTAAACATGCATTTACGAAAACTTAGAGTACACCACATTGGGAATTTTATTGTTAGATTGTACGTAGATACCTCTATCACGAGAACCAGGATGAGAACGAAGGTGATCATCATTAAGTGTATCACCGGTGCATCTTACTGTGTGTGCTCTACTGAAGGCGAGGAGAAATTGCAATATTAGCATTGTTCTCCAACAATGGTGTTTATACAAGGTGAAAACAAACTTACAACATAATATATAATAGCAGATGACTGTCATAACTAGGCAAGGAGAAATGTGTGATCTTTGTTCTTCTTGGTAATATATATTATTTTAATTCTTAATTATATATAATAAATTAGTTAAAATGTTAGTCGTCAATAGGTAACAAAGTTTATAACATATTTTTGCTCGTAAAGTGGATGTAATTACACCAATTTCAATATCGTAATGTATCTCATTACGTACTTGTGCGATAATGTACCTAATGTAAAAGGCAAAAGTGGTCAATATTTTATGAATAAAATTAACTTTGGGAAATAAAAATTTAATTATTTAATTTAATTAATTTTGAAAATAAACTACAACCATTTATCTATAACAAAAACACAAAAATATTAATTTACTTTATTAGTAATTCTGGCTGTTTTTGTACTTTTGCCTAAAAAAAAAACGTTGATGCGCGCGCATCGCTTATTTGTGGACAAGTAAAAATAATTCCGCGCGCTTTTTCTTTTCGCTGTATTGTTTTTATTTGAAAATGTCGTCATTTCCTCGTTAACTTTGAAAATTAACGCTTTGAAATTTACAGCCTCGGCTGTAATTTTCAACTTACCGCGCTTATATCATAATGTACTATTATAATACAATTATGTAGTAGTAGTAGTAGTTTCACATAAAAAATTGATTATAATTTGAAAAAATTTACGACACCGTTAAGTCTTGAACCGGCATCAACATCGATCCACAACAACATTGGTTAGAGCAAGAGCACGGAATGGTGTGCCGGATTTTTAATTTATATACTGCTATCATGTGTTTAACGTTAGTAAGAATATTAATGCCTTAAGTTTTCTTTTGCCTACATCTAGTTTTCTCACAAGAGTCATACCTCTACCTACCAGTAGGTAGGTAGAGGTGTGACTCTTCACTTATAGAAGTCTGTAGTCAGTAGACTACTATAAGTGAATAAAAGTGACTCCTTCCGTGTCTATTGTAAAGTAATAAAATAGATGTCCACAGGAAATTATAGGCGACATACAACAAAGAACGATTGAAAGAACGAAAGAAATTGAATGCCCGTTTTATATTTCGCTCTAAAAACTTAATTTTGTACGCCGTTCAGTTTTGTAGTTCAGACAGCCAGCCAAACATTATCAATAAACATGATGACGTTGCATATTATTATCTATAAACATCCACCATTTAAAGCAATTATTTATAGGTAAGGTGACTTTATCAAAATAACTACTTCCACAGCATATGAATTCTGTATGGATACGAGTATAATATCCTCATTCTATATAGTAAATGGGACGAGAATCGCTCAATAACTGTTCAAACACAAAGTGAGATAACGATAGCACGAAATAAACAATATTTCTTTATGTCAGGGGTCAAGTGATTGGCTTTGCCCGCTCAAACTGGATATTACCGGTTCGGTTTTAACAGAAATTGTTGTGCATTTGCCAATCAAATTGTTTGTAAATTCTTGGAGAACGTAACGTAAGGTTAGTTATGTTACCGCGAAGGTAACGAATGGGGTAAAGATAGAAACAAATCTATAGATAGAAATTTAGTTATAAAAATGTATTTAATACGTAATTTTAACTGAGAGTAATAAAGACGACGTACGAATTATACCTACAAAGTCTAGTCTCTCACATAAAAAAAATGCATTTCCCAGTATAGAAGTAACCATTAGGTATCAAGTTTAATTATATGTAATACCCAACTTAAATACATTACTTTCCCCTTTTAACATTTCTTACCCCGAAAACAATTGTAGTCTATCTTTCTGTTTGCAGAATAAGATAAAATGGGTATTTTTCACAAAAACAAGCGCTGTTTGGAGGAAATAGAGCAGATCTTTGATGTATCTCAGGCAAAAATAAATACAAAAGTTTGAGCTCGAAACACTCATTTTTTTTACGTATTGTCTTTAATTTATTATTGTATATATTCGAATGTTACACATTTAAATAAAACATGTTTTTTATCCGTTTTGTAGCCGCCGTGGTCACGGGGGACAGGCCTAATCGAAATGTTAGGTCCCAGTCAAAATAGATCAAAAATTTAACTAACGTTTTTCGAACGTTAAAAGAAATTTATTTCTATGCTATTAGTTAGGCATTACTTTATAGATAATTTACAAAAAGACGTAATTGGCTGCTCGGCTAGGAAATTGGTTCGTTGAATATAATATTATAGTTTAATGATACCCGACTTTCTTGAACTTCTTGAACTCGTTAGCGAACGGCACAGAACCTCTTATAACCAGATATGAAAGATATATTTTTAACAATATTATATTAACGATACGGAATATACCGCTGTACTCAATATTGTTTGAATGCTCTTAATTTCGTTGACCCCTTGTGTTAATATGTACAAAATGACTTAATATTATATTCTCTATTAAATCCAAGCTTTTTTTTATAGGTGTACGGGCTCACAATGTCTGTAAATAAGTCTGGATATTACATGGATTGGAGAAATAGTGGAACCGTGAGGTGTGAGATATAAATTTGCGCATTTAGTCTGTTCTAAAGATTCAAAGCCAAAATAGGACAACAGCACATCTTAATATGATATTGGGCAGGAAGATTTCACCTTTTATTCAGTTCAGAGTAACAGGCAAGTATAGGGTAGTAAAAAGTATAAAGTTAGTAGGTACTTTATATTACCTGCTCACAGATATAAAAATAGAGATATATAATAAAAATACATAGATAATATTATATGTAGATTAATTAATAGTCGATCATGTGTTAAAGGTTAATTACGTAAGAAAATGTACGTCGGATATATGATGTGGTAATTGTATCTACATTTTTCTATAGCATATTTAAAAACATATTTTCCATGATACCAAAGTTTAAGATTTGGAGTTAAACTATAAAATTAAAAAAGTTAGAATCCTTCGTTATATTTATTTGTGTTTTTTAATTCTTGTTTTTTGTTTGCCTTTATGGGGCTTGGGGCGAACGCATTTCTGAATGATTTCATTACTTAATTTTTAATTGATTACTTTTCTGTGTCCTACACGAACAAACCAATTTATTGTTACCCCGAAATCGAACGTAGAACCTCCCGTGCTTAACACAATAGATGTTTATGAAGCTACGGAGACAGAAAAATATTATTTGGCTAAAACATAACACTGTCTATAGCTTACGCGAGTTGCACACATTTAAATAAAACACTTTAATTGTTTAACTAACTAATATATCGCGTTTTAAACCGTTAAAGTGTTTTATTTAAATAAAACATAACAGTTATATTTACACATATTAAGATCAAATTTTATGGTGTTGCTAAGGCTATCAGCTGTTTAAAATAAAGTGGTGATGAGTATTTTGAAAACAATGATTTATGACAAAAATAGTGATAAAGTGCTCCAAGGATGGGACGAAACTGTGGCCGGTCTTTATAAATGATGATTGGGTTGTTTCTTGTTAGTTGTAGAGCAGTCCTAAACGCGACTGGACGGAGATAAAACAATAACTGTGTAAATATATTAAAGATGCCGCCGATAGCTGTGCCTAATGAGGTAAATTTACGCTTCTATTGTTTTAAAAACATTTGCAACGGAATAAGTGTTTTTGGTGATTTTTCACGAATAAGATTTTTGTCTTATTTTTATTGTTTGATAATAATAACTATTTATTTCTGTGATGAGTCTATATGTGATAATTGCAATATTAACTTTAGGGTTTAGTTATAGTGATTATAACTTCATTAACTTTATGACTTTTATAACTAAATAAAACCTGCCTGTACTTTAAGCGAGTAGTACACATTTAAACGTTAGGTCATAAATAGGTATTTTCAAAAAAGTTAACTAATATATTTGGCGTTTTAAACCGTTAAAGTTTTTTAAACTTTTATATTATGCCATGAATTTTAGGCTCCGAAGAAATCTCTTCGAATTGCGATTATTGGACAAAGTACGTTTGCTGCGGAAGTTTTTAAATTGCTGCTGAAAGATGGACATCAGGTTGTCGGTGTTTTCACTGTGCTGGACAAAGGAAACAGAGAGGATCCATTGGGTAAGTAGAATTAGCATCATACTATCTTTAATACGAATAAAAACTGGAAAATGTTAATAGCTTATAGCTTTATTATTGTACATGTGCATTATTGCACATGATGGCATATATATATATATATATTGTAAATCGATTATAGATTAATAGACATTTTACGACACGGGCAGGATTTGAAGCGGCATAAAAAGCGTACAGCAACAGCAAACGTACGGAACGCTGTGGATGCCGTTTCGAGTCTTGCCCTAGTCATAATTTTCAATTTTAATCGATTTTTAATTTAACTTATGTGAAAAAAAAAATATTGCTAGTAGTTTGAATTATGACAATATTTCTACTACTATATACTCTAACTTACGTCAACATCTTCCATTATGAAAATAATGCTTAAACCAATTAAGCGTTCACTTAGAACATAAATTAACACGAAAGTAACCTAATTCAAACATTGTGTGTTATCAACAGCTATTTCTTACTTAAGTTATCATAATGCTATTGTTGTTAATTGCTTATACATTTTATATTAACTATTTGAAGTTAAATAATTTGTTGCATATCGTAAATCGAAAAATAATGAGATATTGAAATTAAGAAAAAAAAATTGAAAAAAATTACGACTCAGGCAAGATTTGAACTGGCATCCACAGCGTCCCGTGTTCTGAGCAAAAAGTTTTTTCAATTTATAATTGATTTTAAATTTATATAGCGCCATCATATGCTTCATCAAGGATTACTGATAAAGTTTATCGCCAATTAAACAGAATATTACGATACTTATATTTATACATAGGCACATTATTATTATTTTCTATCGGGGACACCTATAGGAGGCCGGGTGATCAGTCCACACCATCAGCTGACCACTTCACCCATTTCCTCCTTGCAGAGCTTTTTAATACATAGGTAATCAACACCCAAACCCACCTGAGCTGCTTACATATTGAAATTTTCTTTCTTATACATATAACTATGTTATTTTTTTCAGCCACCATCGCTTCACAGAATGGAACCCCAGTGTTCAAATATAAATCTTGGAGAATCAAAGGCAAAGTTATACCTGAAGTCTTCGAGGAATATAAATCGGTAAGTGCATTTTAGAGTTTTATGTCATTTATGCAAACAGTACACAACAAATAAAACATTTAAAACTGATGAATTCAAGATATATATTCATTGTTCACTAAGCGGTAGTTAAAAACTTATATAGTTCGCGTGTAAAACACTTTTAAATTTAGTGTTTAAAACTAAAAATGCATATATATTAACTTTTTAGTGTCCATTAATAAATATCAACGATATATTTTTTTAAACTATTACTGCTTGAGAGTGTTATGTACTTATTCATTTTTAGAGTAATATAATAATAATGCCATAAGTCATAATGATAATTCCATGGAATAATTACAAAAAATCTCAGAAAAAAACAAAACACCATAGATCCATTACGTAAATTACAAACACATACCATATTATGTGAATTGTGCAAGGCTTTCAAGGCCATCGTTCGGCATATGTTCACAGACGTGAGCGAGAAGAGTTTCTCGAGAACCTCTTCTCGCTCACGTCGGCCGAACAGCCCGAAAGACAATGATATGACATACCATATGTAATTAATATCTATTATAATTATATTATTAACTACAATTTTTAATAGCAACAGTTAATAAAGGAATAATTCTTATGAAATACTTGCGTAATATTAATAAGCTTGAGTTTCAGTGTTAGGTGTACGGTTTACTTACCTATGGCGAGTTAAGTAACTTATTTTTGTAAACAAAGATAACAAATACTATATTGTACATATGGAAATATAATATTATAATATAGATACTGCCAATATAATATTTAGAGAATTTGACTACTGTCCGTAGTGTACGCGAGTAGTACACATTTAAATAAAACACTTTGTCGGCTTAAAACGCGATATAATATATTAATTGACCCCTCCTGTCTCCCCGTGACCAGCATCCAAAACGTCTGGCGGTAGCTAATTTTTTTTTCAGATAAGTATATCGCGTTTTAAAGTGTTTTATTTAAATACAGAGAATTTATCTAAAATATTTTGGAAAATCACCAGGCCGTTTATTATTAAGTAAAAATGTTTTTAATAAAGTAGTATTTTTAGACAATCTCTGATAACCCATGCCATGGCTTATCAGCATGAAACAGAGTGACTTTTAACTTCAACTTGTTTTTTGGGTACCTTAAACATTAAACGTTAAGGTGATTTTTTAGAATTTGTTATTTGTATAAAACAATTATCACATCAAACTGTACAAACATAAAACCTATATGTCTCAGTGGTCAACCGTGTTGTCTAACATTGTTTTAAATCTCTAGTTCTGGTTCGAGTCCTGGACAGACATAATAGATTCGTTTTGGCAGGACACTAAAATCTGATCAACAAAAGTAAATCGAATACTTTCTATAGTTTACGCGAGTAGTACACATTTAAATAAAACACTATAACGGTTTAGAACGCGATATATTAGTTGAACTTATTTGAAAAATGATTTTAAATTTCTGCCCGACATTTTCGACGTTTTAATCTCCCCGTGACCACGACTGCTGCAAAGATCCGAAACGCGGGCCGATTTTTCAAATAAGTTTAACTAATACATCGCGTTTTAAACCGTTAGAGTGTTTTATTTAAAAAGTAAATCGAAGGCACACACGTTAGGTACATACATGTTGTCATACCCCATACCCCACGAAGAGGACTTTACTTTCATTATAGATTATATAATTAAACTTACTTTTTCTATAACATATTTCGCAGAAATGCAAGTGTTATGTTCAATATTAAATTTAAAGAAAATATATTAGTCTAACCGTGTTAACATTATTGTGTTTTCGTTGTTTTGTAATCAATTATCAATAATATACTAATGACTTTGTTTTTGTTAACGCGGAAATTTGCGATCTTATTTGAGACTGTGGTATCTGGTGTTTTATCAAATAAGGCCTAAGTTACGTCTAATGCAGTTATGTATAATAAAAAAAATATATAAACCAGGACTTCACCTGTGAATGTTAAATGAGGAGTAATACGGTTCGTTAATGGTCGTCTAATGCTAATCAAGGTCCACAGATGAGTCGTCTTAACGGCGGACAGTCTGGGATTTCTGTATAACCAAAGCCAAAATAGGTCGATGCACATTTTCGATGAAAATTTTAAGTGCTCGTAAGAAACGTCTGCGTTAGAGTTTAGGTACAGATGAGTAGCGATGCAATATATTCTGAATATTTCAGGTGCAAGCTGAGTTAAACGTGTTGCCATTCTGCACCCAGTTCATTCCAATGGAAGTAATCTTGTATCCTCAGTACCAAAGCATTTGTTACCATCCCAGTATTCTTCCTAGGCATAGAGGCGCTTCGTCTATTAATTGGTATGTCCGTCTCTTAGTTCTTAATAAATAATATTCAAATTGATAAGATGATCCCAACATCTAAATACCACTAAACCCAAGTTATACCCGTGCTGGTATTTAACTGATAAAAACAAAATACGATCGCCGAATTAATTAAATAATTACAATGTCGCAATTTTCTTTTACCAAAATTACAAATTTAATTTAAGATGTTTAGAGATGTTAAACAGATTAATTTTTTATTCGCAGGACTCTTATGGAAGGCGATTCAACCTGTGGTCTTTCTATATTCTGGGCTGATGATGGACTAGACACCGGACCAATATTGCTGCAGAAAAGTTTTCCTTGTACTATCGATGATACAGTAGACACAATCTATAACAAATACTTATATCCAGAAGGTAAGCTTCCACAAAAAATAACTATATCACGATAATTATTTTATTGTGCTTCAACTAAACCAACGAAAAAAAATATTCTAAAAATGATTATTTTTTTCTAAATTATTCTTTATTTTTAGGTATCAAAGCTTTAGCGGAATCCGTCAATATGGTAGCAAATGGAACTGCACCTAGAATAGAACAAACAGAAGAAGGTGCTACCTACGATCCAGCCTTATTCAAACCAGAAACCCATCAGGTAACTGCATTTTTCCCTGTGTTTGTTTCCCATTAAATAACCCACAATATATATTTAACAAAGGTAGAATTTTATATTAAATGCTTGAAAACAAGTTTATGTTTTATGTCATATGTTATTTCAGATTGTTTGGTCTAAAAGTGGAGTAGAACTACATAACTTTATTAGAGGATTAGATTCTTCACCAGGCGCTACCACTTTTATCAAACCGCAAACTATAGATGGTGTAGAAAGTGATAGTGACACCAATGTTGAAATCAAATTCTTCGGTTCGTCATTGTGGGAGGGTGAATATGAAATGGAGGGCGATCAAATACTTATTCCTGGATTAAATAAGCCAGCTATTATACACGAGGGTGGTCTTTTAATAACGGCTAACGACGGTGTCAAGGTAAGTTGTTAAACCGCCATCTTTAAATTGAAATTTAAACTAAATTTGTAAACATAATAATTAACTTACCTCTTGTGTTCTAGATAAATATTCAAAGACTTAAAGTTAACGGAAAAATGATCAACGCACAAAACTTCTTTAAAGCCAATGAGAATAAAATAGCACTTGAGTTAACCGAAGAGGAAAAGCAATTCGTTGAAAATGCGAAAAATATATGGAAGGCCATACTTAGGATCGAAATTGATGACAACACAGACTTTTTTGAATCAGGCGCTGGTTCCATGGATGTTGTAAGATTAGTGGAGGAAATTAAAGACGTCATAACAGTTGAATTACAAAACGAAGATATTTACATGAACACAACCTTTGAGGATTTCTATAAAATGACGATTTTGAAATTCAGAGGTGGTTCAGCTAACCAAGAAATAATATATCAAGGTGTAGAATTGGATGTAAATAAAATGAAAGTAAAATTCCCAACACAGTTGTTTATTGATGGTGAATTTGTTGATGCCGACAGTGGTAAATGTCTAACGTTAGTTAATCCAAGTGATGAAACTGTTATATGCAAAGTACAAAGTGCATCTGCAAGAGATGTAGACAAAGCAGTTAAAGCGGCGCAAAAAGCATTTGAAGAAGGCGAATGGTCGAAAATCAGCGCAAGAGAACGTGGACAGATATTATTTAAGTGAGTACTCCAAGTACACAAAAGCTTTATAAAAACAAAACATATTTTGTTTATGATAAAAGGTGTAGAGGGTTCGTCACTAATATTTCGATGTAGTGATTGAAATATTACTGAAGAAATGTATTTACGAATAAAAACACGTGCTTTGTTATATAAAGATAGATACTAAACTTGCTGAAGAAAGAAATGGTCCATCAAAATGTATTATGTATTTTAGATTAGCAGACTTAATGGAACAACACAAAGAGGAACTAGCCACAATTGAATCTATCGACTCAGGTGCAGTCTATACATTAGCGCTGAAAACTCACGTAGGTATGTCTATCGAGACATGGAGGTATTTTGCGGGCTGGTGTGACAAGATTCAAGGGGCTACAGTTCCCATCAACCATGCTAGACCAAATAGAAATTTGACTCTGACAAAAAAAGAACCAATTGGTGTCTGTGGACTCATTACACCTTGGAATTATCCGTTGATGATGCTTTCGTGGAAAATGGCTGCTTGCCTTGCAGCCGGAAATACAGTGGTCATGAAACCAGCTGCTGTAAGTGCACGTTATTTTTTATACGATTAACAGTCAATAATAGAGTCAAGATTTAGAATACTTTTCCTTTTGGTTCAGACGATTAAGATAAAAAAAGGGTTTATAAGCAATTTGTACTTCCCTAGGTATGCCCATTGACAGCATTGAAATTTGCTGAACTATGCGTCCGCGCAGGTGTACCTCGTGGAGTTGTAAATATTATTCCCGGTAGTGGTACTGTAACAGGTCAAGCTTTATCTGAACATCCACTTGTGAGGAAACTCGGCTTTACTGGCAGTACTGAAGTCGGTAAGTTCTTTGAAAAAGTTTTAAACATTGTTAATTTATTAGATTTCTTATATCTCCTTTTTTAATATTTAATTTCTTTTTTTATTTATATAGACAGTAATTTAAACGTCTTATTTTACGAACTATTTCTCTTTTGTGCGTTCATTATATTAAGACAAATAACATAAGCAAGAGAATGTTTCTATGTTCTCTTTGTTTAAGAAGTAATTAGAACTATTTTAGTACAGTATTAATTTTGTTCTCATATTTCAGGTCGCACAATTATGAAGTCGTGCGCAGAGTCCAACATGAAGAAAGTTTCACTTGAATTGGGAGGAAAATCACCACTGGTCATCTTCGAAGACTGCGATATGGATAAGGCTGTGAGAAATGTAAGGAATATCTGACTAAATACTGTCTATACTTTACGCGAGTAGTACATATTTAAATAAAACGGTTTAAAACGCGATATATTAGTTAAACTTATTTGAAAATGATTTTTAATTTCGGCCCGACGTTGGATGCTTACTAGCCAGCTTACTGCCAGCTTTGCTGCAAAGCAAAGCTTTTATTTAAATATCTGACTATTTTTAAACAACGCAACTAACTTATAGAAAATACTTATAGGTCAGTAAGTAAGATCATGACTTTTAACTCCAAAACCTGAGTGTAATCATTTCTTTCGTTTAACTGAGATATGTAATGAAATAGAAATTACCTTCAAAACTATAAGAGCCGGTTTACAACAATTTTACTATTAGTTTACCTTAGGTACCAGAGTGGCTCTTGGCCCTCGCGACAAAATACTTACGAATTTAAAAATATTTACTAATTCTCTATAGGGTATGGCATCTGTATTTTTCAACAAAGGAGAAAACTGCATAGCAGCTGGCCGTCTATTTGTAGAAGAGTCAATACACGATGAATTTCTAAGAAGGGTCGTTCAAGAAACCACGAAAATTAATATTGGCGATCCACTTAATAGGGGAACGGCGCATGGGCCGCAAAATCACAAGGCGCACATGGACAAACTAATTGAGGTAACACAATTTATTATTATATGTTATTGCGATTTTTCTTGAGAATAGGCTACGTTCGTAATTGTAAAGTATTAACATTTTTTTTCACTGTAGTTCTGTGAGCGAGGAGTAAAAGAAGGTGCTAAACTGGTATATGGTGGAAAGCGTATCAACCGACCTGGCTATTTCTTCGAGCCGACAGTCTTCACAAATGTCACTGATGATATGTGGATCGCTAAGGAGGAATCATTCGGACCCATAATGATTATCAGCAAGTTCAGTAGCAAGTAAGTTACGTTTTCATGTATTCAGTTTAAGAACTCTATGTAGTTTTGAAAAGACAAAAAAAGATGTTTTGGTGTAGGTAAGCAAATTAAAAATTATTATTTTCAAATATTGTCTGAAGTTTACGCGAGTAGTACATATTTTAATGAACGGTCCGTAGGCCCGAAGATTCGGATGCTTTGCACGGCCATGGTTACGGGAGGATTGTGACGATTTGTAAACAAATGTAACTAATATATATCGCGATTCAAACCGTTAAAGTCTGTCATTTAAAAGTATTATTTTGATATCGCTTATAGCAAAATTTATGTTGTATGTATATTATTATTTTATACAACGGACAGCTTTTTTTCAGCTTTAAATATCAAAAACTATCCAATTCGATAATATATAATTAAATCTTACGTCTAGGAGAAGTATATCTTTTTTAGACTCTTTAGAAGCAGATATAATACTAATTTAATTTATATCATAGACCAAAGACAAAAGATCATAGGTTATCCTAACGGATATCATTAACATGAGTGGTTACTTAAGTATTTCTAATGGGTATTATTTATAGAAACATGGACGATGTTATTCGTCGGGCAAACAACACTGAGTATGGTCTAGCGAGTGGAGTGTTCACCAAAGATGTATCAAGGGCCTTGCAGTTTGCTGAGAAGATTGACGCCGGCACAGTCTTCATTAACACTTACAATAAGACAGATGTCGCTGCACCTTTTGGCGGCTTCAAACAGTCCGGCTTTGGAAAAGATCTAGGTACACAATTCATTCTTAACTTGCTTTTATAGTCACTTACCTGGGTGTCAGTCAGGTCATTTTATGATAGAAAACAAACAAGCATGCGATTCACTTGATAGTAGGTGAAATATCCCGGTCATATGACATCTTAACCAGATGCGCCGTCGACCTATTTTGGCCTTGATTATTCGGAGACAGTCAAACACAATCTTTTGGATTGATCTGATTGGTTAGTTTTACAAGGTTTTACAATGACATCCGATGTCTAAGTAGGTATTTTAACATTAATAAAGTAATTCTCAATAGATCTTAGAAAATATGCCTGATCACGTTAGACGTGATATTTATATTAATACGATAGTTTATATTTTCTTAAAGTGATTAGTTAGTGAGTTATATTTTCTAACTTTATATTTCTTTCGTTACAGGTCAAGAAGCGTTAAATGAATATCTCAAAACGAAGACGGTTACAATAGAATATTAGTTGATTCCTATCAGATATTGTTATAGTCATTATTTTGTAAATATGTTTATGTAATTTTAAGTTTATATAAACAAATAATATGTTATTAATAAATAATAAGTGTTATATGTTAAATTTGTTTTTGGTTATTTTTAATCTTGATATCATCCAGGGCTGTAGCAGCTAAGGCAATTAAAGAAGTAATTGAAGCACAGGACTCCTAAATCAATAAAATGATGTTTCTAGTTTGGACATAACGGAGACATAAACGAAAAATCATAATTATTAATAATACATATTTTGAAGTTTGTTTGTTTAAAAAGTGATTCCATTACCATAGAAATGATTAATAACCAGAACATGGCTACATCAGTATGAAATAAGTTGTTCTAAGTAGTTTGGGTAGTCATATTGCGACACACTTTCTTTATCATTTAAAATACCTAACAATACGAACGTACAAATGAACGATCTAAAAAACACAATAATTCAAATAGTGTTAGCTTTAGTGAGTTTATTAGAAACATTTTTAATTTTTACGTAGATAATTCATTAATAACCTGGTAATATTTTCTTTTCGTTACTTTGAGACCATAATAATTTTATAAGCACAAATAAAATATTGCCAGGATCCGTCATTTTTTTTTAAATATTTAATGGCCTGGCGACGAGGATCCGTCAATAAAATATAATCATGGACACCTCTATTCAAAGTTGTGCACCCCCCGAACCCACAACCCCCCCCCAAACGCCCCCCAACCCCCCCCCCCCAAAACCCCCCCCCCCCCCCAAAAACCACCCCCCAAGGGGGGGCCCCCCCCCCCGGGCAAAAAAAAAATCCCTCCCCCCGGCGGGTGATTTTTTTTTGTCTCCCCCCACAACACGGGAGCACCCCACCCCGAAGGAGGGGGGGGGGGGCCCAAAAAAAAAAAAAAAAACCCACACAGAGGGGGGGGGGGGGGGGACGGAAAAAAAAAAAAAAAAAACAATTTTTTTTTTTTATAAAAAAAATAAATAAATTTTTTTTTTTTTTTTTTCTAATATAATATTTTTTTTTTTTTTTTTTATATTTTTTTTTTTTTTCTAACCCCCCTCTCTTTTTTTTTTTTTTTAACCCCCCCTCCTATTATAAAAAAAAAAATTTTTATTTTTTTTTTTTTTTCCCCCCAATTTTTTTTTTTTTTAAATAATTTTTAATTTTTTTTTCCCCCCCCTAAAAAAAAAAAAACAAAAATATTAATTTTTAAGAAAACCTAACACCCTCAAAAAAAAAAAAAACCCCCCACCTCCCCCCCCCTTTTTCACCAACAACCCCCCCCCCCCCCCCCCCCCCCCCCCCTCCCCCCCCCCCACCCCCCCCCCCCCCCCCCCCCCCCCCCCCCCCCCCCCCCCCCCCCCCCTCCCCTTCTCCCCCCCCAAAAAAAAAAAAACATTCGGGGGGGCGGCCCCCCCCCCCCCCCCCCCCATAAAAAAAAAAAAAAAAAAAACCTTCCCCTCCCCCCCCCCCGCCCGGGGGGGTTTCAAAAAACCAAATACCCCCCTCTCCCCTCCCCCCCCTCCCTTCCCTCCCCCCCCTAAAAAAAATAAATTTATATTTTTTTTTTTTTTTTTTTTTTTTTTTTTTTTTTTTCCCCTTTTTTCTTTCTCTCTATTTAAAATTACAAAAAAAAAAAAAAAAAAAAAAAAAAAAAAAAGAGGGGGGGGGGCCGCCCCCGGCCCCCGCACCCAAAAAAAAAACCCAAAAAAAAAAAAAAAAAAAAAAAAAAAAGAAGAAGAGAAACCGGGGCCCCGGGGGGGGGGGGGGGGGGGGGGGGGGGGGGGGGGGGGGGGGGGGGGGTGGCGGGGGGGGGGGTCCCGGGGGGGGGGTTCTGTGGGTACAAATACCCCAAACAAAATAAAAACCAATAACACCCCGGTCTCCCCCCTCTCCCCCCCCCAAACCCCCCCCCCCCCCCCCCGGTATAATATATAAAAAAAAAAAAAAATTAAAAGGGGGCGCACCCACCCCCCCCCCGCCCCCCCCCCCCCCCCCCCCCCCCCGCCCCCCCCCGGTGCCCCCCCCCCCCCCCCCCCCCCCCCCCCCCCCCCCCCCCCCCCCCCCCCCCCCCTTCTCCCCCTTTTCACCCCCACTTTTCTTTTTTTACTCAAAAAACAAACCCCCTTCCACCAAACAATAAAAATTTACAAAATAAAAAAAAACTCACCCCCCCCCCCCCCCCTTCAATTAAAAAAAAAAAAAAAAAAAAAAAAAAAGAAAAGGAAAAGTATACCAGGAGGGGCGGCGGGGCCGTAGGATATGAGGACATAAAAAGTAAAAAAAATAAAGACTGCGCGTGCGTGGTGGGTGGCCGGGGGGGACGCGGTCGCTATTTGGTTGGGGGGGGGTAAAAGAAAAAGAGGGGGGGGGGGGGGGTGGGGGGGGGGGGGGGGGGGGGGGGGCGGCGGCGCAGCGGGGCAAAAAAAAAAAAAAAAAAAAAAAAAAATAAAAAAAAAAAAAAAATAAAAAAATAAAGGGGAAAAAAAAAGAAAAGGGGAAGGGGGCAGATCACAAGTACAACCTCTCAGGAGCAAAACTTGACATTGACGTCCTATGTGTCATATGTCACATTGACCTTGGTTTTGACATTGACGTGTAAAATAAATTCGAATATATTTAGATTTCTGAGACGATAAACAACCTAAAAACAGTGTATTTATCACATATTTATTAGAATTTCCAAGTGAATTTGCGCAGCCAGAATGGCAAAAATTCCACCGCGTGATCTATCGCCTTTTATGCAGGCATTTAGAAACTTCCTATTAGGGGTAAATCATATTATTTGTCATTATGTAACTTTTAAAACTATATATTGCAATATTAGCATACATGAAAGTAACTAGACATTGTATTTGTTTTCTTTATAGAGAAAGCATACTAATGCCTTAAGATTTGAACCATATTTGGCGGCCAGGACGCAGCCACCGCCGCAAATTCCTGATGGACCCTCACACAAGTAATTTTATAATAATAATATTTATATACCTTTGCATATCATTTTGTCAAGTAATTAAAAAGCGTTGTGTTTTTAAGTACATAATTATACAAAAATCTTTCTAGATTCAAGTTTGTATCAATATGATACAAGTCATCTTAATTAATCTTCTAGTAGTAAAAGTATTTTATTCCTCTATCATTCAGGTAAGGGTAAAATGACAGGCTAGAATTCGACATGGTGCAGGCTCCAGATTCCCAAATTTTGGCACTGGCTTTTAAAGCCTCATATAAAACATAAATTGTTGCATCTTCCAGACATGCTCACAATTACTACCTTAGCCGTGATGCTCGCCGAGAAGTTATGCCACCCCTAGATATATCAGCTAAGTTGCTTACAGCGGGCTCAGAAAAGGGGTAATTTTTTTGATTTTAGTACTGTATAACTCTAACATTAGGCAATTTACCTAATTATTATTTTTTCTTACATATCAAGCCCTTGAATCACTGTGTCTTACCATGTAAAAAGTGAAATCCCGTTTCCCCCACGTGGGACATGGGGAGAACACATTTTTGTGTTAGTTTCACTGATCCGTTCTTTAACAGGCAAGTAGTTGATCAGACTTCTATGCCCTGCCTGACCGAAACAATATTTTGTTTCCCTGGGATTCGAACCCAGGACCTCTCGCGCTTAACTCAATGATAGACAATGCGTTTAACCATTTGGCTACAGAGGTGGTCGGTACTGTGTCTTACCATGAGAAACCTATTACTGCAAAATATTATAATATTTATAGAAAATAAGTTAATTCTGTTGTGGCAATTATGGACAATTGACATTTCCTAACCTCACATTTATAAATAAATTTATTAAGGTTTTTTTTTTATTTCAGCGAAGCAAAAACAGCTACCACTGTGAGGCCTACACCTGGTAAAATATTTCACTGGGACAAACATTATTAGAAATACTACGCAAGAATAGAATTTTCATTATGCATAATTAATATATAACTAGAATCAATAAAGTTAATAAATAATCATAATTGTGCGTTTTTTTATGCCAATACACAAATATTCTCAGTCATTGCTTTTGTGTATTTGGAAGAGGTTAAAAAATAAAAATAGTGTTTATTGTGTATTTCTTCACAAACAGACAAACACCTAAAAAAGTATAAACAAAGTAACAAACCCTGGTATTTAATAGTTTTATAAATACAACTAATATTTTAATGCAAACATCGTTACGCATCTCTAATATGCCTTTTTAGATACATTTATGTATAACTAATGACATCACAACAAACAAGCTTAAGCTGTCTAAACTACTGCGTATAAAATTTGTAGTTTGTATTTATTATTAAGCAACAGATGTAATGTGGGCAGGAGAAATTTTTAATTTTATTCTAATGTAAGCTGGCTTTCAAATAATTTTATATTTCACAAAGAATTAATTTTGCATTTATGTCGATAAACACATTTGGGGCCGACTATGAAAATATCTCAAGTCACAAAAACTGCAGTTAGGTCACTGCCTTTAGCGTTGTACACTTAGAATGTTTAGTAATTAATTTTGCATAAACTCTAGCCAATACAAATTAGTAATACTAATCAAGACATTCCATTGCTACACATACATTATTGATACTTGCTACATAGTTTGATTAGATCTCATGTCGTACTTAATCACTACTATCTGTTGTATCAGGTGTCTTAATCTTCATATTCGAGAACATTCCGAAGCTGAATGTCTTATATTTAGGCCTCTGCCTTCTAAACCTTTGTCATTTCTCTCCATCCACCTGTTTGCGAAACTGCATCGCGTCTCCGTAGGCCTTCTTGACCGCCTTTCTATCAGTGGGTTTTTTGGATTCAACCATTTTCGCCTGATCCACAGACTTGTCTATGCCTAAGAGTTCCAATTTGTTCGGAGGCAACCATTGCCAGGTTCTCTTCACATCAAAGAATAGAACGAGGTATAGTATGGGTTCGTGAGCATAGTTTTTCTTCAGGTTCAAAACGTCTTGTGGCGGAACCGGTAGAGGCACGCCATTGTATATAAAACCTTTTGGCATTTTTGGATCTATTATTAATGCTGGGTACCATGGATAGCCTCTGAAATCACAACAATATGGTTTAGTCGCAAGTGGAGCAACTTATACTAGTGAATAACATATCGGAGATTTTTTCTTTTTATAAAACAGGAGGAATAGGATTCACGTGATGGCGTGTGATACATAAGCCATAAAAAAGATGCACTATTGACCTATTTTGACTATGGATATTTGGAATATAGTCTTAAACCGAAACGCGATTTAACGGATGGTGGTTCCTGATCCGGACGGAATTTCGATATTCCAACCATCTATTTAATATCCAGATTTCCGGTCGAAGTCCTTCATGTTTCAAAAAATATATAAATCGATTACAAACTGTTGGACCTGGGGGGGATAAAACCAATTACCCCATTTCTTAGAAGCCATGTATTGTTACCATTACACCAGGATACGCCTCTACGCAGTAAGTATTTAAAAAATACTAACTACAATTTATACTGAATTTACCATGTTTAATTCAAATACTGTCTGTAGTATAGGCGAGGAGTACCTACACATTAAAATAAGTTACTTTCACGGTTAAACACGTGATGTATATTAGTTAAACTTATTTGAAAATTATTTTTAAGTACGGCCCGACGTTTCGGATGCTTTGCAGTAGCCGTGGTCACGGGGAGAAATAAGTTTAACTAATATATATCGCGTTTTAAACCGTTAAAGTGTTTTATTTAAATGTATAACTGAATTTACAGTAAAAATTTGTAGAAAGTAGAATCCGAAGTCTAACCTGCATTTAGCCCATACCAACTGCAGTGGCTCCATTAGAACATCTGGTTGAGGATTCTTTACTGGTGTTTTCGTCGAAGTTGATCTGGTACCGCGACCCTGGATCATATTAGTATGAATTAATGGTAACGCAAAGATCAAGAACGCAGAACAGAAGATTTCCATAAATTGTTTACCTTTTGAGGCGTAGTGGGAGATTCCTTTTCCGTTTCAGCAGTACGCGTCCGCCGAGGCATCCTCCGCCTGTCTGTCGAACTACCCTCCATATTTGACTCCACTGTTTCATTGCAGCTGGAACTGGTGAACAATAAGAGATTAGTGACAATCCAAAATATTGAACACTAGCTGTGTCAGCGTATGGCAGCGTAGAATAGTTATTCTTCTCTTCTTCATCCTTATTTAACCACAACGTCGGTCGCTTTCTAGAAAGTTTATGTCAAAAAACAGTTGCGGAAACATCCTTTCATACATTGTTTTGGTGTCTTGAACCGTTTTCGTACCGTACGCAACGGAAATCATAAAAGTTCCCGCTGTACCGCTTCTATTTGTCGCAGCGCGACATGTTTGAGATTAGTGTCTTCAAACAAACAAACTCTTCAGCTGTATTAGTATTTGCAAAATTATAAAAGTAAGGTTTTTATTGAAAATAGTGCGATTTTGATACTATGCAAACAAAAACCAAATTTCAAACCACAGGATTTCAACCGCCTTAATATAAAACCATTAAACACCCGAAAAAGTATAATAAAGGACTTGAAACACTGTTTGATTCTACATAATGTCAAATTTGTCAAGTTACCCTTCAGCATCTGAAGAAGACAGCGAGCAAGTTCTGTCTGAAGCATTTTCATCATCGTAGTGAGTACAGGACGAACACGACTGGGACCACACGGAACTGCTGCTGGACGATCTAAATTAAAGAATATTTAATCAATAAATCTTAATTAAAAAGTTTTTCCGAGAAGTAAGTCAACGGTTAGTACTTACCGGAGTAATGTTCTCTTATCTGATTTGCTTGTAATTTTTAATATAAAATTGTCTTATACGTATAAAAAGGGCTAAGGGTTCGATCCCTACCAGGTCCAGCATATTTCTAACCTGTTTATATTCTTTCTGAAACAGTCGGCTTCGTCTGGCCCTCTGGAGAATAAATGGTTAGTGGGAATAAACTGCTGTGACCTGACCCGCTGATTTGCGCTGATTGCAAAGCTAATAAAGGTTCTTGAACATTGAATTGCAGATGGAGTCTCTAAACAGAGTAGTGCTAAGCAACATACATCTATAAAATAAATCAGGTTTGATTTGGTTTAATTTAATAATAACCTTGATAACGCTAAATCACTGTCCGAACCGACTTCTCCCGGCGGTCCACGGTATTGAAGGAACGATGCAGGTACCGGGGTCTTATCTCCCAGTAATGATGACCTGATAAATTTAATTAATACCTTTAACGTTCTTATTTATACTAATAACATATAATACTATTTGATTTAAATTATATTGGAAGGCTTCTGAAATTGGCAAAACAATGAAATTCTTCTTCATTTTCATTTCTTCAATATTCAGGTTATCATTATCTTTATTGCAATTATTTGTTTTTGTTCAATTTGGCCTAATTTTCAATTTGGGTAATTAAGAATGAAGGATAATTGTTCTTCTAAGCTAATGTTTGCCTATTGCCTTTATCTATATTATCTGTGGTTAATTTTAATACGAATACCTAAAGAGATCGGGCGAAGAAGGCTTATCTTTATCGTGCTTCCGAGGACGGCCGCGTCCCTTCTTACGTGGTTCTGGCGTGCGTCCTAAGCTGGCTGATAATGTAGGCAACGTGGCTACAAAGATTCAATAGAAAATTTTAATATTTTTCACATGTTATTGCCCATGATGGCACTATATACATTAAGAATCGATTATAAATATTTAAAAAAATAGTCGTTATTTTTTTTTATATTTATTCACGAGCAAAATTTGAAACGATATCCAGTTATAGCAACAGCACGGAACGCTGTGGATGTCGGTTCAAGTCCTGCCGGTGTCGTAATTTTTTTCAATTTATAATTGATTTTGAAGATTTAATAGCTGTGCGTAAGACCTTAATACCCTTAATACGTAAGTGTTAGGGTTGAAATTACATTACGCCAGAAGTTTATATATGAATGGATTAAAGAACTTAGATAGTAACTAAACTTAACTTTTTATGATAGAGGCGAAAAGACAAGTCTATGGTTCACTCACTGGTAAGTAAAATACCCTAGCCATATAACATTTCATCAAACTGCGCTGGCGACCAATTTTGGTTTAGGATATTCGGAAATTTCGGAATAAAGTTTAAAGGATAAATAAATAAATCTAGCGTAATCATTACAAATAGCGAAATCTTATGTAAAATTAAACGTTTAGCCATCGTTTACGTGATCTTGTTCAGAACTGTCTTATTTGCGCCGCATTGGTTCAGATACTTCTTAAAGCTTACCATCAGCACCAAAACTTTTTGGCGGTGTCGTAATAGAAGACGGTGGTACAAGCAGTGTTGGTTTTCTTAGCCCGCCTAACAGACCCATACCTGAAATTAAAGAAATAATATTATTATTAACTGAAATATGTTCCAGAAATGATTTTAATTAAACGTAGAACATATTATTGCGAATATAATTTATAATAGCACAATTGGTATTTGTTTTTACAGACCTCATCTTTATAAATTATAGCTGATCGTTTGCGTGCCGTCGTTCTTGCAAGTCAAGCTTAACACATTACATATTTGTTAGGAGGTTTGCCTTGAACCCTTAAAAATGATTTTTTTTTCCCATTTATTCCACTTTTCCCATACTGGTCGCAGCGTGCCGTTTAATAGCCTAAAGACTTCATCGATAAATCCTCTAACCAACACAAAAAGTTTAGCTGTAAGATGACCTACTTGTATTTGGTGTTGCCGGCTCTGGAATCTTAGTAGGTGACTTGTCGGGTGTTACCAGCTTTTGGGTGCGTTCACTCTTCTTATTGGTTATTGGTGTTTCCGAGTCAGATGTAGCTGTGTCTAGAATATTCAGTAAAAAAGCATTAATATAAAAAAAATGACATTCTATACATTAAAGGTTATATAGGATAATTAGGAAACACTCACCAGCCTCTTGCAGTTGTCTCACAACGGATAGCGCAGGGCGTCCTCTACCCCGTCGGCCTCGCCTACCCCTGCCTCGGCCACGCCCCCGCCACCAATTCTTGTTCACTTTATTGGTTACAATTGGGGAATCGTCCCGCTAAATGATATTGAAAGATGTTGAGTTACTATGTATATATCAATTGTAAAATATCTACGTAAGATAATCATAAAATTTTGGTAACACTTAAACATACCTACGCTTTTTAAGGTACTTTGTAAAAAGTTGTATTAGAGGTAGCAGCTAAAAAACTAAAAAGCTTATTTCAATTATTAATAAAATAATCAGTTAAGTAGCCTTTAATCTACACATAATGGGTTGGAGGTGGGATATAAGTTCAATATGTATTAAAAATTAAAAAAAATTACGACACGGGCGAGACTCGAACCGTCATCCACAGCGATGTTGCTGCGCTTACCAATTAACCTTATGTCGTAAATTTTTCTCAATTTATGATTACGATTATAGTATTTCCATGAATTACCGTATCATCATCGTCGGAAGCTGGATTGACACTGGCAGCCCTTTTCTCACTGCGTGCCACTGACACACCACGTTCGCTGCGAGTATCTAGAGGTTAAGGAAATACCGTTATAATGAAACAATACGTCGTTCAAACATAATTAAGATTTACCTAAGATGTGTTTTGTCATAAAATATACATTATATTAAAGTAATCTTATGAAATAAGACTAATGATTCCCCTTTCATTATTTTTCTATTAGCCAATTTCAACCTAGACCTTCAAGTATTAAGGTTGAAATTGCACGAAACACGCAAATGTTAAGGTTGAAATTACATTGTGCGAGAGGTGCATGTATCAATACTTTGAAAAAATTCGACGATGGCGTGTAAAACGCTTTTAAGTAAACGTAAAACGCATGTTCAAGTCCTGTCCGAGTGATATGTTTCAATTTATATAGTGCGCATGTGCAATAAAATGTAAAAAACTTAAACAAAATTAAATACCGGCTGTACGCTCGCTGTCACTGCTGCTTGGTCGCGTCCGTCGCGAGTCACAACTTCGACGTCTTCGCGGGCTGAGAGTAATCTCTAAAGACTCCTCAGCGTCAGCGGTCCCGGCCAGCTCGGACATTCCCGCCTCGCGAACGTCGCGTCGCGCTTGACGGAATATCGATTTGCACTGTTCACGCATCTTCACACCGGCTCTGCGAAGACAAATTTTATAATACAAGTGTGTCATAGATAAGACGTCAGCAGACTTTTTTTATGATAGATAAGCAGTTCACTTGATGGCAGGTAATACCCGATCCACATAACATCGGAGCCAGATGTGCTATCAACCTATTTGGGCTCTGGATATTCGAAAATACACAGACTGATACCGAAACGCGATTAAACATCACGGCTCTTTGATCTATGGGCGGTTCATGCCCGGACAGAATTTAATATCCAGAATTACAGACGAAGTCGAACATGTTTTAGAAAAATTATAAAATGATTAGAATCATATTGGAACCGGTGGGATCAAACCCACGGCTCCTTGATTATTACCCAAACAACAATACCATACTGAAGGACATTGTACTTACTTATAGAAAACCGTATCCTTATTATTGTAAGTGAGGCAGTTGTCTATCATAAGTTGGAAGTCAGCCTCAACGTCGTCTATCGTCTTGTATTGACCTTTATCCAGTTTTTTGCCCATTGTACTGAGGTCCATTGGGTGTCGAACAATAGTGCTGTAGTCTGGCACCTTTTACAAAACATTAATTTAATAATAATTAAGGTCTGAATGCTCCATTACAACAGATATTGCATTTATATAATAGTGTCTTTGAAATAGAAAATACAATAGATGTTTTCTCCAAATTTCATAAGTTTAAAAGCCAAAGATGTTATTTAGATTATCTGTTATTACGTATTTAGTTGGTAAGAGTCTTTGAAATAAATAAATGTTTTTTTTTATATTTTTTTATACATTTTATATCTCCTGTGTGTGGTTTTAAAAAGATTAGTAATTTCTTATTCTGTCAGCTGTTTCTCGCTATTCCGCATGACTCAGTTTTAAAATGAAGCTACCTTGGATTGCTACTAGATAAATTGGGCAGAAAAGTTTAGTTTGAAAACATTAATATTTTTTACATAATTGCACATGATGGCACTATATAGATTAAAAGTAAATTGAAATAATTTTCGGGCAGGACTTGAACCGGCATCGCATTCCGTGCCGTTGTTCTGAGTGCTGATTAAGTCTGCTTTACTAGATAAGAACATACTTGTTTAAAAACGGACGTAGTGTTTGGGCATAACCTACATCAAGGACACGGTCTTTCAAATTAAATATCCTGAATTTAAAAAACGGGGACCACTTATGTAAAAAAGTAATATTGTTATTAATTCCTACCTCATTTAGATCAACAGGTTCAGTAAAGATGTCGCTTGCATCTCTCTGCTTAAGCTGTCGCAACAATTTGTGTAAAGCAGCTCGATCGGGTCTGAGGGTGTGTAAAACGCAACGTTCCCACACTCGTGTGTATTCAGCCTTAAGTCGTTCTCGCTTTCGAACTAACTCACACAGCAATCTGAAAAATTCACATTATATGGTTAAAGGTAACTGTCATTAACTTCCATGCACTAAACAAGCTAATGGAAAATAGGGTGCAGTCGCCAACTGTAGTTGATAGAGTTTAAGCATCAACTATCAGCTTGTATCTTCATATATTATTTGTAATTGAATACTTACAAAAAAAACAAAATTTACAATGGTTAGATTCATACCTCGCTCTTTCCAAGTCCTGGCGTATCCGTTGCCAATATTTGAGCTGGTTGCAAAGCTCTCTGACGTTAACAGTGCCATCCTGAATTCCCCTGGTTCCTAGAGTTAAACCAAATAGGTAAAAATCTTCTTTTTCACACAAGAAATAAATATATAAATAATAATTAGAGTACTTGTAGTTTACACTTTAATAAAGGCATAGAATCCCATACCGTGATGGCTAGTCAGGCTCTGCAGCCTCCTCAACAGAGGCACGCCGTTCCGACTGTGCCTCTTCAGCGTCCAATAAGCCAACAACCGCTTCATGAGTTGCGCACGCGCTGCCGGCGGCCCGTCCGCTAGCTGAGCTATTTCTGCCACTCGCTCGGCAGGTAACGTTGGCACTAGGACTACTGGTGCCCATGTTCGTTTTAATGCCAGCACTCGGCGAGCCTTTGTTAAGACAAAATAATGTTTCTTTGTTTTAAATATTTGTATGTTGTAAAATCTTTTAAGTGGGTTAAACCCAAAACAAAATATATTTTCTATAATATACCAATATTTAATCACTTACTTGCTTAATCTTGTCTCTACCCTTTTGTCTGATGGCTGATAAATCATTTGATTTAGTTTCTCCTTCCGACTCGGCCGCACGACGTTCCTGTTAAAAATAGTATTAATAAAACACTTTTTTTAACAAACATATTACAAATAATATAAACATCTTTGTGCTTAATTTATAAACAAAATAAAAATAAAACATTTTAACTGGTTCTAATTGATTCCACAACAATTGAGTTTGTAGTATCCATATTTTCTGGTTACAAATATTTTCTGTACAAAATTTAGTTACCTGTAATATATGTGCCGGTGTATGGGCGTCGCAATATGCCATCTTTGCAACCTGAACTGGTTGACTGGGATCTCTACCGGTACCTGCAGCCTCCATCTTCATATACAGTCTGAAAAGTGAATTTAAGTTTATGCAGAAGCTATAACTATAATTATCATAACTAATAAGGTTCTAATAGTTCAGTAGCTGACTCACCCAGCCTGCTGTGCACAAGTAACATGAAAAGCACTGTAACAGTTGCTTCTGTGACATTGTATACATGCGCCTACACCTCGTTGCTTGCAGACCATACATTGCAACTTCCAGCGAGCAGGTGGTATTGTTTCTATTGAATCTGTAATGGATACGTACTTCCTGAGATTAGCGCGTTCAAACAAACAAACTCTTCAGCTTTATATATTAGTATAGATAGATTAAGTATAGCTTTTAATGTACCTTTAAAGGTCCAAATACCAATAACGAAGAAACAAATAGCGCTAGTGAAGTAGGTTCATTTAAACATTAGGGACACCTGTGTCCATGGCTGCTTTAGAGTCTACAACGTCGGGTCGCAATAATAAATCAATTTAAAAACTATATTAACTAATATTTTTTGCTTTACCATTAAAAGTGTTTTATTGTTTGATTATAAGCAATAAATTAAGATTTTCTAAAATTGTATTGATTTATCAATAATAAATACATACCTATAGGCTCCAAGAATACAGTGTTGGCAAATCGCACTTCAGGAATCCAGAGAGCACACACCACATGTGCCCAAGTACTCTGATCGGTTTGCTTGAACGCACCTTAAAAAAAAGTCACATACTTAGACCTATGCAATACCTTTTATATATTATTTTGTTAGAAATATATTTTACATCTCTTTTTTATTTCTGCAAAGCAGAAAGCAGCAAACTAATTAAGGTATCTGTATAAGGCCAAATGGGTGAAATGGTCAGCCGATAACGTGGACTGATCACCCGTCCTGCCAAGGGTGTCGCCGATAGAAAATAATAATAATAAGGTATCTGCTATCTTTACCTCCCATATTTGGACAAAGAACACAATTGACAAGTCTTGATGGTGATTGTAGACATCTTCGACATAGCCACTGTCCCTCGGGTATGTAAGGTACCTTTAAATATTTTTAAATTTTATACACATATAGATACATTATAGATTATAGAACATATTATTGAGATGAACTATATAGTTTTCGATATGAGATGGTGATGTAGCCAAAAGGTTGGTTATGCCAGCCACAAAATAGCTCAGGGAAGATCAGCACTATATTTGTTTCCTCTCTCTCTATCTTGTTTTAAAGACTGAACAATCATTTAGCTGTATGTACCTATTAATAAACAATTTTTAAATCAACTCACTCCATAGCAGTCCTGATGAACAGCCAAATTGCACATGTCACAGAATAGAATAACATTGGTATTCTGACATTCTCCGTCCATGCATATACAGCACACAGCATCTTCATCCACTGTGGCAGTTGTTTGTTGCCCATTCTGTGATGCCTGCGCCAAAATATATATTTTTGGTTTTGACGAATCAAAATAATTTATAGAAGATAAAGATTTTTTTTCTTGTAATTTCATTTATTAACAACTTTTAAAGTGTAAAAAGTACCAACCTGAAAATATGATTCCTTTTCTAATCTGTCCATGAGCAATTCTAAAGTGTCTACAGAAACACTCGGCAGACCTTGTTTAGTTCTATTTTTATTGATGATAGTCAGCCAGGCTGTGTCTTCTTCGTCCACATCATACTCCACTTCTCCATCGAGTTCTTCTGCAGATTTTTCAATAAAGCGAATGTAGGCATTTGGCCTTGGTGGGGCATCACATACTCTTTCATTGTAGTCTGGTATTAGCTGTAAATAAATAAAATGTGAAATGAAAACTAGTTTGTGTATTATTTCAACTGGTATTGAATTGATTTAGGTTTTAAAAGAGAAAAAATTATTAGCATAATAACAAAGCTTTTCTTAATGTGTGTAAATTTACCTAACATCTTATGAAATAAAAACAAATCTACTAGGAGGAATCAGGAAAGGGGTAAAGTCCATATTCTTTAGCAAGCACTAACATACCTTGAAGCTTGCCTCTGGAAGTTTTACATGTGGCTCCTGTGGTGGTTCCACAAATGGCAATGGCTTCTCCAACTCTCCATTTCTCTTCTCCCACTCTTCTAATGATATAACTGGCACAGGTTGATCTATTGGAATCCTACTTATTTTACCATCAATTTCGAATTGCACTACCTTTTGTGCCTCTGCAAAAGTTAGTGCTTCTTTTGGTGGACTCTGTAATGCTATGTCTCCTGTAGGCACAGCGGCTTTAAATCTCCCTTTCTTTCTATGATGAGCAACTGTTGGTGTTGCCGGCGTCGGATTATCATGATCGTAATTAACTAAGTGATACTGTAAACCGCACAAACTTTTATAAACCTTATCACATTTCTCTAGAGGACACTGGTATGGTGGAGGTCTATTCTGCCTCAACTTCTTACAGAATTCTAACACGTCAAAATCCAAACCCATCTTCATTCACAGCAAGAAAATTGCATCGTTTCAAAAGTTAGAAGTATACATCTAGAAAGAAGTGGGAATTATGAGAAAGGGGAGCCAGAGACCATGACTATTTATTCGAAATCTTTTTTTTCGTTAGTGAGAAGTTCATATATAAATACACGCATAAATTTTGCAGTAGCGAAACATACGTGTTATAAAATAACAATGTTTCGTTTTCACCATTCGTAAACTTCGGAGTTTGGCTTTGGCTTAAAAAAAATTAAAACTTCAAAGCACTCAAAGTCAATGTCATACTTTGTTGTGCAAAAATGTCATTATTAGTTATTTTTTTTAATATAATATTTTATGGCCTGACCGTCAAGCAAACAAAAATTAAAAATATAGAATCGGAAGCGTCTTTATTCATATACTACAAAGCTAAAATCTTCATAGACTCCAGAAATTTTTAGAGTTCGCTATAGTATTTGGTGCTTATCTGACATTGTCAGAAACGAAAATTTGCGAAAGACGAAAGGTTTTGTTTATGAAATAAATATAACTGCGGTTATTGTTTTGAAAAATTTGTGCACTCATATTCCATAAATCTAGTACTCTATGTTATATTACTAAACAATGGATATTTACGGGTATCCGTCATATCAGTACAATCAGTCTGATGAATTAGCAAAACAAATGTTCGCACACCAGGCTCTAGCTTCAACGATGCACTACCCTAACCCAAGTCATGGAGTGCCTGGGGTTCAAGTACAAGAAGTTCCTGCATTGCCAGCTCCTACTGGAACACCGTGGAATGTCCAAAACCTGCCTTGGAGTTTACAATCTCCACCGAATCTCGTTCATTTCACAGCACAAACAGACAAACCATTAATTCATTGTAAAAGAAAAAGTACAGATATAGAACCAGTAATGTGAGTATCTTGGTTTTAATCTATAAATTTGTACACACATTTTAGATTTAGATACTGCCAGTCTGGAATTTCAATGTGGTATGTAAATATTAAAATCTAAAATTCTTTTAACATTTATTTGTATAGACATTATCAGAGGCCTATTGTATAATTATATTTTTCTATTTAGTCCAGCAAAGCAATTGATAACAGAGGAAAAAATGGCAGCACACTTTAACAGTCTTCACATATCATCAGATTACACACAACACTCACTAGCATCTGAAGACGTCATGGAACTCAGTATTGATCCATCAGTAATTAGTGAAAAACTTAAAGGTCACAAGATTGTTATATCTGAAGATGTTAAGAATATTAAAGATGAACCGTTACTGCCTGTGTCACTTATTGAAAGGTATATATATATATATATAATCTAAAAAAAATCTAATTTTCAAATATATAATTAATAAATTAATAATTTTTGTTTGTTACTTTTTACTTACACATCATACAACAGAGATTTGTGAGTAAATGTCAAGAGAATAGCATCTGAAATTTTAATGATGACTGAAAATGTTCTTGCAGGATGCAGAAACCACAAATGTCATTAGTAGTGTGGAAGCCCAGAGATGAAATAATTAAATTAAAAACCTATGACAAGGACCCAGATGAATCTGAAGAAAGAGAAAGCAAGAGTAGGAATGGTGTTCTTGTCCCCCCGGAAAATTCTGGAATGGATGTTGAAATGTGATAGTTGTAAGTTAAATGTTAAGTTTTACCTGATTATTGAATTAAGAACTGATTATTATTAAAGTTTAAATTTATATTGTACAGTTTCTACAATTTATTTGTAGAAGACCTGGTATAATTCTTCCACTCTTGCTAATAAGATAAATAAATAACTAATTGGGTACTTGCTTGATTTTAAAAAAAAAATTTATACATAAATGACTTTTACTATGGTATTACACCAAAAAGGATAATATAAGCCAAATATAGGATTTACAATAAAAATTCTCACACAAATGAATAAGGATTGTTTTGACAGACCAAAAGAGTAGCTCATTTGATTTCTTAGCTAAGTACCCAACTGAAACTGTTACAAAATAGGAATTAAACTCTTCTAAAAGCAATCAAGTCATGTTTTAAATGATAATTATTAATAAAAATACCTGCCTCTAATTTTATTTTAGTTTTTATAGCAAGTAAAAAGATAAGTTTATAAGTTTGAGAATGTTAATACTAAGTACATTTTATACTAGTTGTAGTTCTAATGTTCTTTTTTAATACATTGTGAACTTTTCTTCATATATCGATTGCTCTATGAGCTAAATAAAACGAGTCATAAGAATTAATTGTTTTATTTTCCATCTAATCATAAATAAATAAATTCTCGGTTGTGTTTTAAAATTTTACAACTTCACAACTACATTTTTTATTTAATCTTCCTAAGTAAACATTATTCTTATAATTAACTTAAAATACTGATTGAAAGTTTCGAATTGGTCCACAATATTATTTTATATACTACAACATTATACGCTTATCATATTTTTTAGTAATAATTACAATATGTCATACAGATAAAGGTAATCTTTTATACAGACTCCTGGTCAGTTAGCTGTCCTTTAATATTTACCTAACAGATATGATTGTTTAATTTCCAGATTCTCAACATAGGAACTTTTCGTTCTTTTGGCAATACGACTGTTTACTTAAAATTTAAACAAATACATTTTATGCTGTTTAGTATTGCTTTCAATAAAAGATGAGTTTATAACTTTCAATGTGATAATAAAATTTCTCATTCACAGGTATTTTACAACGAAATATCCTACGCTTTTTCATACTGAGTCAACATATTTAATTTGCAGTTTTCAATACTTCCGTTTTATAATGTAATAATAACTTTCATATGTGTCTGCGAAAACAGTCAACATTTATGGGTACATATTAACTTTGACGGTAGCACTATCCAGGTCCCTCTTCATGCTCTCGAGTTTCTTGATGTCCTGGACCGAGGTTTCGCACTTCTGAACAACTAGGGAATGGTAGAAATGCAGTGCGAACGCCACAAATACTATAAGGACTGAAAAATAAGATATTTTAATTTGGTAATCTGATGGGCATGCTGGTATGTTGGAAGCAATGTGTGGCCTCACGGGTCGTGGCTTCGATCCCCATAGGGTCCAACATTTTTCCAAAACATGTCACTTCATCTGGATATCAAATTGGTAAAAGGAATATCGACATTCCGTCTTCGGGTCACGACGAACCGGCCACAGATGAAAAAGCCGACAGTTTTTTCGCGTTTCGGTTACAGTTTTTTGAATTGGATTATTATTATAGGATATACGTATCTTTATCAATAGGTCGACAACACAGCTTGTGTAAATGTAATATGGCTTGGGCGCTTATTTCACCTACCATCAAGTGAACCTAGGCTTGTCTGTCCTCCACTATTATTAAAAAATCATCAACGCTCGCTTACATAAATTAAATTAGCTAACGGTAACTTATTTGACAGAGCAACGTTAAAAAACGCCAGGATCATGGTTCGCGATCCACACATGTAATTTTTCAATGTAAAGCTTTGATTTAAACCGTTCGTGTTATATTTTGAGGTTATGAATTTGAATAAATAAATATTTCATACCTGGAATAACAATAACAGTAGCTGCTGTTGCGGCGGCGAACGAATAGTCCCAGAATTTCACCCAACATAGTATTGCTATCTCCACGAGAAAGAGGAAAAGACCTGAAACATAATAGTTAATTTCAAAATCTATACTAGTATATGAGTTTGTTTGTTTGAAAGCGCTTATCTCAGAAACTATTGGTTTGAAGTGAAAATATATTTTTTGTGTTCGTTGGAACATCTATCGAGGAAGGCTATAGCTTAAACGATCAGAGTGCGACCACCAGGAGCGAAGGGATGGAGAGAAATGTAAGAAAACGGAGAAATTATTAATTTTGATGGATTTCTACTAGACAATTTATATTTTGCAAGCCTGGCTTGCGAGTTATGTTTAGAAGATGACATGATACTGTGCGGAATTTTTTAGATCAATTTAAGAAGAATAATTCTATTATATTATATATCACTGTTTCGTTTAATTAAAGTCCGATGCATGTAAACACATTTAAGTTTAAGCATTAATGTTTTCTCATTAAGTGAATATGTATATTCTTTGAGAAAATAAATTCTTTAAACCTTAGTTGCTGTGCAATAAACACGGTTCAGGACACCAAAAACATCAACCATCATACATAATATAATAGTACACAGTCTATCTTCTAAACATAACTCCCAAGCACGGACGATTCGTCAGTGGTTAAAAAATGTCCGCGACAAGTATTTATTTATAAAGCTGACGGAGGCCAGGCTTGCAAAGATATAAATTTAGTTGCTCAAAACAACTTTTCCACGCGGGCAAAGTCGCGCGCACGGCTAGTTACTTAGAGTTTAAGCGGAATCTTACGTAATGAGAAACAAAGACAGACATATCCAATTGAAAACCTTCCACACAAAGTTTGAGGAATTCATTGAACTTTCATTTAAAAAGAAGTAGCTCAAGGAATAACGAGTGTTATGTTACCTCATGAATTAATTTCAAGGAAGTACCAATGGACTGAATAATAGCGTTTTGTTTTGAATAAACATGTTGCGAGTGATGTTAGCGCATCGGAAATGTTAGTTATGGCTTAATGTATTGCTGAGCACCGTGAGAATTCGAATAGCTTTGTTATATGCTTTTGAATGTGTTTACTACCTTAATACCTAAGTATGAAATAAACGATTTTCCGGCGTACGTAAATTAATTTCTATCTAACAGCTTGTTTTTGTTGTTTTTTTATTAACACAGAACTACTAGATAAAATCAATTAATTTTGGGGTCTTAGGATAGGATTTTTTATGTGATATCTGTTTAATTTTTGATAGTTAAAGATCGCGTTTTAACTGGTTTCAAAGTCTATTGAGGGTTACTAAAAGGTAAATTGTACTAGCTTTAATGATAAAAGCAGTTAAACATGCTTCGACTGATTAAAAACGTGATTTAGTGCGTCCCGATAGAGTGAAATTTTTTTTACACTCACGTATACTCACGTCACGAATACAAGTTAATATTTAAAACAGTAAGTATCTACGTTACACTAGTCCAAGTTTTGTTTTTACCTTCGCTTAGGCAATGTGGAAAATTACACTCCGAAGTGATTTCCATAATTTTGGGCACTTTCTCTCTATTTTAAGAGGGCCGGTTAACTAAAACCAGTTTACGTGATGTAATCTTCCAAAACTAACTTCGTATGTTTACTTTGGCTACTGTAGTGCTTTTACGTAATTTTTGTTCTTTTCTTTTTTTATTATATAAAAACGTGAACTTTAAAGGGAGTTTATTAGAGAACGTGATATAGCTTTTTCACATAATTCTGCCAGTTATTGTCTATACTTAATTGGTAAACAACAAATTATATTATATTAATTAAGTATGTAATAAATATTAACGATAAGGCAAAAATATTTATTACGTGGCTACCCACTTGATGAGTCTTTTTCAATTTGTTTTATCCTGTACTTCACGGTTGTCTGGAAGAGATCGCTGCGTAGCGCCTTATATTTATAAGAGAGTACGTAAGATTTTTTCTCTTTCAATAAAATAAATCGCACAATATATCACCGCTAGTTCGTGAAGAAGTATTTGTCTCACCTAATACTGTACTGAACGCCCAGGCCAACTCAATGAAACCCCTCATCCTTTCGTGCGGGGAATCCCGGAGAGCTCTAGAAGGGTACCCTGGCTCCATCTTGCTGACCGCGTCAATATTTGGAAGTAAGTACGTGGATATCATCAGGGCGAATATGTGAACAGCAACCAGCACAGTGGTGCATACAGCGAACATAACGAACAGCCATTCGGGGACGTTCGTTGGTTCGTTGATTTGTAGTTCTACCATGGCTACCATAGCGAAGCCTGGAAAAGAATAAATGTATTATTTAAAAATCTATCTAGGTACATAGAAATTGATTCGTATCTTGTAAAATAGTAAGGACGGGGCTTGAACCGCCATATTTTTAATGATAGAGAAGGACAGACAACACCATGCTTGGCTGTCCTCCTCTTCTCTCTCCGCCACCACAGCCGGAAGCATCTAAAAAAGATCCGCATTTCGACCCATTTCCGATACCCATTTAATATCCTGATTTCCAGACGAACATTAACATGTTTTGGAAAAAATATAAATTGGTTAAAAATGTTGGAGCTGGGGAGGGTCGAACCCACGACCCGTTGATTGTAGCCGTAAATTGCTATCATTTCACCAACGAGCCCATCAAATAACACCGACATACACCTAACCAATGGAGGTACCGTTTCGTTGGATAGAACGGCAGCCGAACATTGAGCGTTGTGGATGCCGGATCAAGTTCCGCCCGTGTTTTTTTTCTTACAAGTTAAGAATCAATTTCTATTTATTTTACAAGTACACGATTATACAAGTAACTGTGATATGTATTAAGGATTTTTTTTCATTAATCTCTTTTAACTATAATCAAATGATAAACCATTTTTGTTTTTGAGTGGAACCTGTCTCAGTCAATATACCTGACAATAACTCAGAAGTGGTGGCTGTGGCTTTCAGTTTCGCCCTGGACATGTGCAGTCTTCGCCACGACAAGCCATCTGGAGATCCTGGCGCTGGTGGTTCTTCGTTCCAGTTATGCACTGGCATTGCTAGAGCCACTTCACTTACGCTCTGAAACACACAGTTGTTTGAGAACTTTAATATTTTTTGCATTGCACGTAATAGCACTATATAAATTAAAAATCGATACTGTCTGTAATTTACGCGGGTAGTACACATTTGAATAAAACTTTAACGGTTTAAAACGCGATATATATTTGTTATACTTATTAACTCATGGGGAGACCCGTGACCACAGCTGCTGCAAAGCATCCGAAACGTCGGGCCAAAGTAAAAATAATTTTCAAATAGGTTTAACTAATATGTATCGCGTTTTAAATCGTTAAGGATTCTATTTAAATTATAAATCGATTTTAGATAGAAAAAAATTCACGGCACGGGCTGGGCGAAAATTGTTTTCAATCTAAAATCATTTTTTAATTTACACAATTATTTGTTAGTTTTTCTTTGATAACATACATTTTACATAGAAGGTTGCTCTGTCCATTAACCAGCATGGCTCAATAAGTTTTCTATTATTCTAATTACATTTTGTTTGCTTTTTTTACCGTCATTTGTAGTACAATTAAGGTACTAAAAATTCCAATTGTTTTATGAATGCATCGCTCGCGCAATGCGTGTTCGAATCCAGGGCGTGTAAAAATTCAAAATAATTGTTAAATTAGCTATCAAAAACTATGTATGTGTCCAGTATGTAAAACTAAAAGTGCTGTACATCTTTTAGCACTTACTCTTATTGACTGACTGCACTGGCATGGCTGCATGTAGCCAGGACTCAACAAGACGGTTGTCCCTGACTTATTCGAAACCATATTTGGTGTTATACTCCCGTTCGGCGTTATGCTGCCTTTAGTGTCGTAGTCCAGACTTACAGGTGCTGTTATCGATATTGTGGGGCTTTCTGCTGCTGTAGACTTTAACCTGCTAAAAGACATATAGGGTTATCGAACATTTTCTCTACAAACTCACATTTTAGTATCTGGGTATTGCCTATAGTTAAGTAGTACACATTCAATTAAAACACTTTAAAATGTTAAAAATGCGAAATATAGTCTAGCTCCCGTCTCTGTCACGGCTGCTGCAAAGCTCCGAAAGTCGGGCCGTAGTTAAAATATTTTTCAAATAAGTTTAACTAATGTATAGCGCATTTTATACCGTTAAAGTGTTGTATTTAAAAATGCGAAATATATCAATTACATTAATTTCAATTTATTTTAACTCGCACGTTTCGATGCTTTACAGCAACCGTCATCACGGTTATATTTCGTGTTTTAAACCGTTAAAAGTGTTTTATTAAAAAAACAGTGTCTGCCTAATCTTGTTTTTATTTACAGGAAAAGATGGTAAAATGGTCTTTTTAAACTGTTGTTTAATTTTTATCTATCTTCCAAATGATATGACTGATAATCTTTTTAAACAGATAACTATAAAATAAAAATAACTAAATCTGGATTAAGAAGATGCTTTTAAATGACAGACTAGAAATAAGATGGCCACATATCAATATTTGCTTATATGTTACCAAGATAGTCTTACGCTTGCACGTCCACTTATGACAATAATGTATGATAGATATATACATATATTTACTATTAATTACACGTGAATTACGTAAGTCGTGGATCAGATTAGTAGACGGCTTGTGACCACAGAATATATGTATAGACTATATATATTTTTATTTTATGAATGATAGGGGACATTATAGCATCTAAACAAGATGAGCTGTCGAACTATTTCGGCTTTGGATATTCGGATATCCACAGACTGAAATCGATCTAATTAAAATTTACGGCTATAACTGTGAACGGTGATTTGGGATCCAGACGTAATTTCGATATTCCTACCATCCATTTAATATCCAGTTTTCCAAACAAAGTCCAACATGTCTCAGAGGAATTATAAATACGTTTTTATTCTTAAATGAAAGTTTTTTATGGCAGAACTTAGAAGTTTTGCCAATTCATCTATTTAGTAAAACCAAATGTATTCTACCTATAATGACAACACATATGCCAGATAAACGACTTAAAGAACAAAAATAATATTTGAAAGGGAGGACAGTGTTTAATACTGTCTATAGTTTACGCGAGTAGTAGGTATACGTTTAAATAAAACACTTTAACGGTTTAAAACGCGATATATTAGTTAAACTTTTTTGAAGATTATGTAACTACGAACCGACGTTTCGCATACTTTGCAGCACCGACGGGAGACAGTCTCCATTTTCAAATAATTAGTTAAAATAATTTTCGAATAAGTTTAACAAATATATATCGCGTTTTAAACCGTTAAAGTGTTTTATTTAAAAGTAGTAGTTGTAATGCAGAATAACGCTTTACTTCTTCTATAGTAAGTACATACATAACATATTTACGCTAAAAGCGTGACATCAACAATAAATTTTATTATGATAAACCGAATAAGTTATTAAATGTCCATTGAAGTAGTTTTTATGCAAATGATCTCATGTAACCATAAAGTTTACAATAATACCTACATTGTAATGGTTTGTTTCCAATTGTACCTACTTTTTTGAACAGCCTTGAAAATAATGATGGCAGTGTGAAAACGATTATTTCGTCTTATTGCTTCTTGATGTAAAATTACTATATATATAATACTTTTCCTGGTTTTAAACTTGGAGTAAATTAAGAAATTTATATTTAAGTACGGCCCGACGTTTCAGTTGCTTACGGCGGCTTTGTACAAAGGGGGTTGTAAAGCACTCAGTGTCATACCTAGGTAAAAATATAATAAGTATTGGTTAAAAATGCGAAATCTATAAGAGAGATTTCGCATTGTAAACCGATCTATATAATTTATTTTATAGCACACGTGAAATCTACACAACTAAACATACTAAAGTGGATAGTAATTTGACAGTAGTAACATACAGCAATATTTTAATATTTGTTAAATTTAGTAGAAATTATATATTTTGTCTAAAAAATAAAAAATAAAATTTAGGGGTGGACTACTTCTAACATTTAGGGGGACGATGGCCGATTCTCATAGATACCGGATAAGCACAAAATATTTCATCAAAATCGGTCAAGCCGTTACGGAGGAGTATGGCAACGAAAACTGTGACACGAGAATTGTATATATTAGATTAATTTTATTTAGTAGTTACATGATGATTACGATACAACTGATTGACATATTATAATTTGCAATATAGGTACTTACTTAAACTGACTTCCACTCTCATAGCTCGGAGGTTTCCCAAAACAAGGATACGAGTCGCATAGGCCCAAACTCTTCGGCCTAAGTTCCTGTTTCGTTCGATACGGCTTATGTCGATCATATAAGTGGTCACTGGTATGAAATCGTTGTAGTTTCGCCTTTACTTTCCCGCTAGGTGGCGTCTGTGTGCATTGGTCTATCCGTGCCGCTTCTTCGATGGTAGTGATGAAGCTCGCTTCGGATATCTGGAATGATAAATTTGAGACTTTTAAAGAAAACACTTTAACGGTTTAAAACGTCATATATATTAGTTAATCTTATTTATGAACGGTCACGGGAAAACGGCATTCAAAACGTCAAAGTTTTTCGTAAAAGGCTTTAACGGTTTAAAACGATTTTAAATGTGTACACTACTCTCGTAAACTACAGATTATTAACTACTTCATAATAGTACTGCGCTGCCTCGGTCTATTTAAAATCCAGACCGATTTAAACGTCTTAAATTAAAGAAGATTTTTAATGTGTTGTTTAGCTTTGAAAGGACTCTCGTAGACTACCATGCTATTTAGTTGCTGTAGTCCTAAAGCCTACCTGAGTAGCGTCGTTAATAAGTTCTTATATCCGATTTATTTTACGATTTTTAAATTTACTCTATAAAATAAGTGCATCATGAAGGCACTATATATAAAATGCCATATATTTAATTTGACGGTAGCTCAATCGGTAGAGCAACAGCCCGAAACGTTGCCGAGGCCGGGTCAAGTCCCCCCCGGGGCGGATTTTTTTTTTTATTTATTCGATTTTTAAATTTGAATGCGATATGGCCCAACTTTATATAATTACTATAGTATTTTTTACGTATGTTTCCCGTGTATGCAATAATTATATGATTTAGAAAATTCATTTTTAGCAATCGTGCTTCTTATTTTTTATGACTAGCAGGTTTATTTGTTCACCAGATAAGATACCAGTAGCCTGTCGCCGTTATTTGATTTTACTTTAAACAAATAACGAAACTATTTCATACAATTGTTGTAGAAACATATGAGATTTTCTGGTGAGTATGAGGATGGCTTGGTTTCAACTACCGCTACTTAAATAAGATTACCGAGATCGACCGTTTAAAAAAGCATCAAGTTTCACTCCATGGTAGGTGAAATATAGCCGTATAACATCTGAACAAGACGCGCTGCGACCTATTTTAGACTTTGGATATTCGGAAATGGAAGTGTTATCAATCCTGCGCTTCGGAAAGGACATTGACGCGCACGTTGCTCTAATAGTAACTATGTGTGTATTTAACTTGACATGACTTCGATCCCCATATGTCCAACATGTTTCTCATCATTTTATGATATTCTCTAAAACACGTTAGACTTCCTCTGGATATTGAAAGGGTGGTCAATTCAGCCATTCGGTGTCCACTGACGGACATAGGCCTCCCCCATAGACTTCCATTACGACCGCTTCGTCGTTCGCTAGTTGAATCCAGCGTTTCCCTGCTACCTTGACCAGGTTCGGTCCACCTGGGAGGTCGTCCAGGTTTTCGACGTCCGGTACGTGTTCTCCACTCCAGGACCTTTTTGCCCCAACGACCGTCAGTTCTACGAGCGATGTGCCCAGCCACTTCAGCTTGCAAATTCGATGGGCTATGTCAGTGACTTTAATTCTTCTACGGATCTCCTCATTCCTGATTCTATCACGCAGGATAACTCCGAGCATAGCCCTTTCCATCGCACGCTGAGCGACGCGTAGTCTGTGCACTATGCTCGCAGTAGGAGACCATGTTTCGCTACCGTACGTCATCACTCACACTGCTAGAATGGGTGGAGACAAATTCCGTTCGTGTCATGAACTACCGTTCATCAATTTAAAAAAAGTTTAATAGCGTTTCGGGTACAGTCTGTGGATTTACGCAGAAGCAAAAATAAGTGAAATGGTATTTCACCTACCATCAAATGATCCCCACATCTGTCTATTTCATAAAAATGTAACATTAGATGCCTGTTGAGAATGATCGCATTTCATGTTGATAAATCATCTAATTGAATCCACAATAGAGATGTACCAATGTCATTGTCGAAGCAATTACACTAAAATGGCCGCAACAGAAGCTTAGTAGGCGGCTATTAACACTAAATATCTGTGTTTTATATTGAAAGCCTGCAGTCGCGGTTCGTTGGTTATATTTTACTGTCATCACGTTTATCGTTCTTGTAAGTCTTATCTTTAATAAAATGGTTAATTCATTGTTAATAAATATAATAATCAATTTGTTTTAACCACGTTTTGGTTCTTAAGTGTGAAGAATGAAAATAAGACAAAGAAACTTAAAAAGTTACAACACGACTGTTATATCCTATTGCAAAATACAGGAAAAAGGTTTTCCTAGCCTTTTTATTAGATTTCTATATTAGCAAAAAGATTTCCTGCAACTAATTAAAAAATGTGTCAATTTTAAATCTATTTAATGCATTGCCACAAATAGAGAAATTTATAAGTGTGTTCTTTACCGTATCTATTTATATATTATTTAAATTACATAGGAGAACGCAAAAAAGTAAAATCCGTTCGTGGGACGTGAGGCGAACATAGTTCTGTGTCCCTGATCGACATTATTTAAAGTCAAGTAGTTGATACTTGATCATATTTCTGTGCCCTGTAGTACCAAAACAGTTTCCCTAGGATTCGAACTCAGGAGCTCTCACGCTTAACGCATTACTAGGCAGTACGTTAAACCATTCAGATACGGAGTTAAGTAAGTTCTCGACCAGTGCTGTAAAAATTTCTGTTTAATGTATATAACCAAAAAGGTAACAAAAATAAAGAATAATGTTTTTTACAAAGACAGCAAACAATGGTAAATTAAATTATTTTTTAAAATATTGTATATAGTCAATTCTCTTAGTCGATAAGCTCTCAGTATTACTTATTACTATTATCATTGGCTATTGGGTACAACCATTGATGGCCAGGTGATCCACATTGTCTGCTAACCACGCACCCATTTCCCAATTACCCCTTTACGGAGGCCATTTGGTAATCCAACTCTTACTGATTCCCTTAGAATACGGAACCTCCATACATATTTGCTACCAGAGGAACTGAGATAATTCTTTTCATATGTTGTACACTCATACGTCATAGTCTGAGCTTGTCATATACAATTATTCTCGTCATACTAACGGTCAGTTATCGCGACAACATAACATTTAGCTAACTCCGGAACTAAATTTTCAATTGCTGTCCGTGTTTTAATTTGAAGGTTTTAATTTTTCATGGTAAATATAATTATACATAAGACCTCTTTCCATCGATATATATGTATTAAGTAATCTATACTTTAAAAGGTTTTATGTAATAAGTAATCTATACTAATATATAAAGCTGAAGAGTTTGTTTGTTTGTTTGAACGCGCTAATCTCAGGAAGTGCGGGTTCGAATTGAAAAATTATTTTTGTGTTGGTTAGAAAATTTATCGAGGAAGGTTATAGGCTATAACACATTGTGATGTGACTAATAGGAGCGAAGATACAACGAGAAATGTGAACAAAACCGGGGACATTTGCATATCTGTAGGTTGCGAAAACGGTTCAAGATACCTAAATGACTGTGTAGGAAAGAATGATTCCCCTTTAAATAATCTAAAAAAAAGTCCGCGACGCTATATGTCTATCTTTTAAGATTAACTTGCAAGAACGACCCGAACGGAGGGACGCGTACGTCGGTATACGAATATCGTGGGTAACAGCTACCTACACTAATATTATAAAGAGGAATGATTTGTATTTTTGTATATAAGGGATAAACTCAAAAAGTACTGGACCGATTTTAATAATTATTTTTTCATTAGAAAGCTACATTATAACTGAGTAAAATAGGCTACACTTAGTATTATATTACGATTGAAATCTTTAGAAATTTCTATTAAAAGCAACGGGAGGTGTAAAAAAATTAGCCATAAAATGTCTTTCATCGCATACGCTGCGAAAAGTATTAATAATAGGTCAAAAAAATGTTCTACAATATTATAGAATATATCAATATCTACAAAAAACATCTGAAGACCATATGTCTAACTATTGTAGTTACGTCACTATAACTACTTTCTTACATTTATCAAATTGATAGAAATGCCAAACAAAATCAGACCGTGATATTCATACTATTTATAAATTTTATATTTTAATAATATTATAAATGCGAAAGTAACTCTGTCTATCTGTCCGGCCTTAACTCCGAAACTACTGAACTGATTTAAATTAAATTTGGTACATAGATATTTTAGAGCCTGAGAAAGGACATATGCATATTTTTAACGCCAAGTAGTGGTTTATAGGGGTCGAAAAAGGGGATGAAATTTTGTATGAAAATTCGTGGTTTTTGAACAATCAAATTTTCTTTTTTGGTTTTTGGGAATAGGGAGTGGGAGTTAGAGTAGGAGTGATGTGATGTAAGAGTGTTGCGGCAAAGTAGCACATACAACATAGATTTAGATTGGCTGCCCTAAATGCGCCCTTACCTAAATTAATAAACAGCCTAGATAATTAAAAATTCTACCCCAAGTCACTATTCCACGCGAAAGTCGCGGGCACAGCTAATGTAATAATATATACAATACTACCATTACTTATTATGTAACCTGTCGGGGCTATTTTACCTTCCATCAGCTGAACTCCATATTTTTCTGTAATGCTTAAACAAATAAATGTGGATTGATTAGCTGGTTTTTTGTTTTGAAGGATGATTAAAAATACTTTTCATGTTATAATTAAGTATTTATTACTGAGCACGATCACGATATAATGCTATGTATTGTAAAAATAGTATATTACTAATTAAATATTTAATGTCTGTGGTGTTATACATATTTAAATTATATTGCTCGTGTTGAAGTTAGATAAAAAAAATATCCATTTACATAGTGTTCAATTCAAAATTAATTTATGTAATTGCATTATTATTGTTATGTTTTTTCACCCAAAATATATAAGCGATTAATATATCAATCGTCTAAACTACCGACAATACTTAACTTATGTGTAAGAATTTATATGATATTATTTTTATATTAATATAATATAAAATGACATACTAACCTTTTCTTTCGATCTATTAACTTTACTCATTATCACAGAATTGATTACGTCAAATAAAAAAAAACTAATTAAAAAGAAAACTCATTTAAACACCACACAATGTATCCAACTAAGATATTTTTTTATTACAACGCATTGAAAACAAAATTCTATTTCCGCGCGCGGGAAAACTGCGATTTTCCTGACACAACTTTTCGCTACAGATTCAAAATGTACACTGTGCATATAGATTGTCTTCTATTCACTAGTGACTTATTGAGTAGCACTTGTATTCTAATATAGCGAGACATAATTATATCAACCAAAACAGCGAGGAAAATACTTACCGCTTTGTATTATCAATATGCAATTTTTCGTACTAGTTCTAATTGTTTAACATTTCCTAGTACATACATATCGAATAAGGCTAGAATTAAGCAGTTTTTGTAAAGCTATTTCATAATAATTTTTTTTACAGATTTAGATTTTGCTTTGTATATACAAATAGAACTTTGTAAATGGTTTCACTCATTCATTTAATGTTTTTTCTAAGAAATTAATCAGTTATAACAAGTATCATGTATGAATGGTTCAAGTCCTGCCCGAGTCGAAAATTTTTTCATTTTAATTTTCGATTTTAGTAATACATTAGTAAAAATGTGCAATTAATTTAATTCCATTACTTAATATAGATTTGATACTAATGATAGTGGAAACCCCTTATGTTTTATTAGGAAAAACCAATGAACAATTACCGTATTGGTATCTAAGTATTAGGCATACCCGACGATCACAATCAAGTCTAATGTAATGGTAATTGTGAGCACGGTAAACCGACCCAAGAAATTTTTGATTGGAGTCAAAGGCATTGTGTACTCAGAGTTCTGTTTTTTTGTTTAATTTTTTTATGGGATTTACAACATATTATCGTACTTTGTTTTGATCATCGCATTGCGGTTTTCTGATACTGTTGTTTTAAAGGCGGCCATGTTTAAAAAAACTACTTAAATCTCATTAAAACTATTACTAGTCCTAACGTATTAAACTATAATCAAATTTGGTTCATTTAGTATAATAACAGGAAAGGATTCCCAACAAACAGGAAAATCACAACTAAAGAGTGTGTAGTAAGACAAAAAGATTTACTAAACAGATGTGATCTGAATATAAAGTTTTATACTGTGTTTCACTCGTATTCCCCTTTCCATATTTCGAAAACTTTTAAGGAAGTAAGAATAGACTTGTATTAAACCTCCTTTGTTCATTTGATATGTGAAATAGGGGCTTACCCTTTTATAATCATGTACACACACGGTTTTTACTGTTCTTTTAAATTTGTATCGAGAGTGAAATCAATTGTTAAGTTAACCACTCGTTAAAGAACAGTCCATTTTTGTTGGACATACTTTAAGGGGAACACAATTTAAATCCTACTTAGGAAATGGTATCCATTATTACCCCCCAATAGTTACTTAAATTAACAATAATTTATTGTTTTAGATTTAGTTGTGAATTAAAATGTACATATAAATTTACTACTTGCTAACTTAGGATAAGCGATTTATGTACACTAGAATAATCAGATACGTAAGTTAGTATTGAATTTGAAAATAAATCAAATTAAAATAAGCATTTTCTTACCCTAGAATGTTGAGTTACACAGAAATTCTTGTGTCAACATAATTTTGTCACCACAATACGTTCAAACGTTATGTTACACCGTGTAAGAATAATGTTTTGTTTCACTGAGAAAAACTGACTGACCTACACTTGGGCCGCAGAATAATTCAAGTTGAAGATACTATAAACGGCGCGGAACCAAATTGAGAACTGCCGAGAAACATGTACCTTGGAAATGAGTCTTAGATATGCACTGCATATTTAGCTTAGGAGATAAAGATTCTACTTTTACGTTGATATCGCGTGCTGGTTTTTGTCGAACTAAATTATTAAAGATAGTATAGACAAGAAACATTAGAAGGTAGTTAGTTATAAAAAAAATGCCATAGTGAGGGTAGTGCACAAAATTGACCCTCGGTAGTATATGTTCATTTATATTAGTTTGTGGAAAGTTCAAAAAACCCTTTGGCATCAAAAATATGCCAAAGATTTGTAACTTTTATATTAAATAATTGTATTATATGTTATGTGGTTAGACATCAACATCTAGCGAGCTCTAAGAGAATGTTTGTTTATAAAATTAGTACAATGATAGCGCATTCTGTTAATTCTTACAGATGTTGACTTAGTAGCATAATAGGTATATTTCACTTTTAACCGACTACGCAAAAGATGATATATTTTTGGAAGAAAGGATAAATGTAATTTTGAAAATTGATTTTTTTATATACACTTATTTCGTATAAAAAACAAGGTTTCATATGTTAAAACCGCTAAAGCGCATTAATATATTGAGCGTCTTGATTGTCGATATTCTGGATATTTTCTTCCAGGGAACATAACGTAATAAGAATGTTTAGTTTAATGGTTGATCTGTTTAAATAATGCTTTGCCTATAGACAACAATTATGAAGCGAATGTAGAAAAAAATGTCTATGATCTGTCCTATCCCTATGTATGGACACAGACCTATTATATAACAATGCATACATAACGTCTTATTCTAAAATATATTATATCTGATTGGTAAAAGAATAAAAATAAAGTATTGTTAATTTACTATAGAGTATTCTTTGTTATAGAGTATAACCCTAATGTCTAGTTTGAGTAAATTTTAATTTAAAACATGTAGAAGTAATTTTCTAACAGCATTAAAAATAAGTGATATTCACAAAAAATAATACAACGAGACATAAAAATAACTTATTATCAGGAAGGTTTTTCCGGACTACCCACCTTATATTGAGGAATAAGTAATTCATTTTCTGTCATTTAATTAATCTTGTTCAAGTATAATGGTGTTATTGACGATTTTATTAAGGAAGATAATGTTTGCTTAATTTTTACCTTACATTCGTTTCGAACTTTTACTTAAATAATGTGCTACGCCTCAACAAGTATTCAATTCATCAAAGTGCATAAATATTATGTTTATTTGATATCGATCCAAACGTTTTCGTGAACCTACAAAGGAATGTAGTAAGAACCTGTTAAGAAGCTGAACTTAATGGAAAATTTAAATGAAACAATAGCCCTGTTTGAAAGGCACATGGCACACGTCAACAAGGTAAAGGAATATTTGTTTAATTTATCTGTTTATGTAAATGACTATTTATTTATTTTAGTGCTGTCATTTGTCATTTTTGTCTACTTACTTCGCACATTACTGAACTCAGATAATTTAAAAGTTTATTTTTATAATTAAATATTATTTACACTTCTTTTTATTACACGCCTGTTACATAATTTGAACCTAGAAAACCTTTTTTTACACTAAACTCTATGTTTTGATAAATATTACTCAGTTATATATAATTATTCTACGTCTAACGGATGAATACAATATACTTATAATGTTAAAGATGTTAAAAATAAATAAATTCTCACGTTGTCATTGGTCACTTCAGGAACCTCTAGCATCATGTTGGATCTATCTGGAGAATCAGGTACATCGCCAAAGACCTGAAAAAAAAGAATGTGAAAGAAAAAGTTTGTGAATACTTACTTACTCTACTTAACGCATACATACAATCATGATGACTATCTACTCATTGAATTATTGAAGTAAGAAGTAGTACAGTTCATAATAACACAGTATAGAACATTTTTAGAAATATACAGTTTATAGGAGTCACGTTATTATTTTTTTTTAATACTTTTTTTATTTTATAAGCCTTGGAGTCACGTTAGTTATTTTGGAAAAATATATTTCTACATCTCTTATGTTTAACGCCATCTTCATAAAACCGTAAAAACTAAATTATAAGCAGTAAGCACTTCCATCATCACGTCTTACACTCTGTGATTTTTCTATTAATTGTTTGTTTATTTTTAATTACTATAAATAATTAAATTACAATATGTCTTAAAGGTAAGACATTATTGTCATTTTTATTCTTATCTTTATTATTTCGAGTTTAATGCTATGAAAGTTGGCAACATTCATATTTCCCTAACGTATGAAGAAGGTAAATACTTTTTTATAAAGAATATATATTTTACAGTACTAAAGCTCAAGTATCATTAAGTGGTAAAACCTATATTAAAATTTATTTCAAAATATAAACACCAAAGGTTAATTGCCAAATAGAAATCAAGTGCAACATAGAAAATGTTTTTCTCAGGAAATTTCATGATAAATTATAATTTTCTCAGGTACTTAAGTGAAAATTCAAAGTTTATGTTCATTAGGTAAGTAATTAAGAAGATTTTATTTCAAGTAATAATAATAATCTTTGTCATTGTTGACATTCATTAAAATATCTTGGTAATATAAATTGTAATGGATTTTAAGAAAAGCCAGAATTATTATTTACTCTACGAAATAAGATAGACAACCATGATATAAATTTACCTTGAACAGTTTAAAAAATCCCGTATTTGTTTTTTAAGGTTTGCCATTCACATGAAATGATGTCTTTACCTACTATTATTATTTTCATTGCAAAATAAATTTGGTCTGTTTTCAGTTAGTTAGGGCAAAAAAATCAATTGGTAAAACACATAGAGAAATATACCTGCTCCAAATAAAATGTATTAGTTATAAATATTATTAATGTGAAGATATAGTAGGTAACTTAAAAGTGACTTTTCAGCAGGACTCGAGAGACTGGAGATGGAATGGATTAAACTGCTAAATGTTTTATTTTTGTATGAATACAGGCAATACCAGTCATTGTCCATATCAATGAAAACTTGTAATATAAAGTTGCCCGAGCAGTTCATACCCATAGGTAAACTTTATATTTCAAGTATTTTTGCTGCTTGATTGAGATATATTTATTACTTTTACTGTTTCACTAAATTACGAGATTGACACAATCTTTTCAGAGCGTTAAAATACAACAACTTTACAAGTAATATGCCTGTATTCTTCTACAAGTATTTTTCTGTCTAAATGTGTTATTATAGAAGAATACTGTAGCCTATACCTTTGAAAGATATGGTCATATTTTCTCTTCAAAATGTTTTAGAATAATACGTATTATTATTTAAAAAAACATTTTAAGTAAAGATCATCATAAAAATTTAACTCACAATTATGAATAATAACTTCACTTACATAATAATATTGTGATAATTCAATTTCTATGAACAAGTAAAGTTTTTAAAACATGCTATAGTAGAAGATTGGAACGCCTCTATAGCCAAAAGGTTAAACGTATTGCCTAGCATTGCGTTAAGCGCGAGAGGTCCTGGGTTCGAATCCCAGGCAAACAAAAAATTGATTTAGTCAGGCAGGGCATAGAAGTCTGATCAACTGCATTGCCTGAACGGATCAGTGAAACGAACACAGAAATGTGTTTGCCCCATGCCTCACGAGGAGGAAACGGGATTTCACACAAACGACAGAAGATTAAAATACTGGAGCCGGAGTTGTTATGGTTAAACACCATGAATGCTTATGTTTGCCTACAGTGTTATATTATTGAAAGTTTCTTGCAAAATTATGTCATAGTTGCAATTTGAAATGTTTTTAGAATTTGTTTTTTATTAAAATTGTATTTTTCTTGTAATTATGAATTAAGATTATGAACACTTCCTTTATAAGGTTCATTTTACGCCCTTCATCAGCCCTTCACTTTCTGTCACCTACTGAACTACTAAACTTGATTTCGTCGAGTAGTTTCCGTGACGAATATCGAATTCCTACATGCAGTAAGAAAACTTTCCGCTTTACCTTTATACACTTCAGATAAAAAACTAGACTATTTTGTAGAACTAGGTTTGCCCGCAGTGGTACTTCCGTATTATTTAAGGTAGCCTAAGTTATTCTCGTTCCATCGAACTTAGTTTAGCCATTTATGAGTTTAAGAGATAAAAATATATCTTGGATTTTCTTTTTCCTAACAATATTTAATTTATGTAGTACAGATATTTTGTTTTTAACCGTTTATAAAAAATGTAAACATTCAAACCAATAAGGTTTTTAATACTGTGATACTACTATTTCTATCGACGTTACTATATGTGGTGTAGCAAATATAGCATTATTTCTTAGTAAATAAAAGCATAAGTCATGCAGAAGATACTTTGCAGGTACTTCGGTATTCCCATCGTGAGAGATCGTATTGATAGCGATTAATTAATTCGTAAATAACATAATAACGTGTTATTATTCTAGTTAACTTTATTGTTATGGTAATGAAGCTGGGGACCATTGTAATCTTTTAAGCGGTTCTTGATATTGTGCCGTCTCATCAAATAATACAAACAAAACTTACACACGTAATCTTTATATGGCTGCCACACCTTTTATTATATTTAGGAAGGTATCTTTCGTTGAGACTCGTTACACCAATGATAGCAATGGCCAATAATTCGATCCCCACATAGACCACTATTCCTCTGAAATTTCTGAAACATCGTGGACTTCTTCTGGAAATCTGGATATGAAATCGGTGATGTGTGAAGTGTGAAATCCCGTTTGATCCTAGTGGGGCATGGGGCGAACACATTTTTGTGTCCGTTTCACTGATCCGTTCTTTAACAGGCAAGAAGTTGATCAGACTTCTGTGCCCTGCCCGACCGAAACAATTTTATGTTTCCCTGGGTTTCGAACCCAGGACCTCTCGCGCTTAACGCAATGCTGGGCAATACGTTTAACCATTTGGCTACAGAGGCGGTCATAAAAAAATGACCGTCGACAGATGTAAATTAAGTTTAATCGCGCTTTCTTTCAGTCTGTGGATTTCCGAATATCCAAAGCCAAAATAAGTCAACGGCGCATCTTGTTGTATGGCTGGCGTATTTACCGTATTATCAAATGATCTCTAATGATTGCGTGTCTTCCTCTGTTATAAAAAAAAATGCAACACGTAAAATAAATTCATATCGCCCTTCTTAATTTGAACAGATTTTTTGTAACTTTGAGAAGCAAAAGCGAATCTTTAATTATTATACTATTATTTTCTAGTGTAACTTCTTAATGTTTTCTCGTTATATTCAAACAGTGCAGTTACACCTATGTGTTGTATAGGTATAGTTACTATTAATAATTATACGTGTGATATAATGTAACTGACTGGGGTTTCGTTATTATGTTTTGTCCGCTAACCGCTGACCATTAACTGGTTGCATGCCGATAATGAATTATGTCGCCATGACGGAGCCATTTTTAATTAACATCTATTATAGTCTGTGGATGTTATGTCGCGAAAATTGGCAATATCATTCGTCTTAGTTAAACTTTGTACTGTGAACTTCGACAATAATTCCTAGACACATACCGGTATGCTGATATACCTTTTAAAAGAAATTAGTATATCAGGTTTTTCACAGATTATAATATATTGAGTACATACATTAGTTATAATTAAATTCTGATCAAAATTATAACGATATTGGTAACTCCCTATTTATGTGTGTGCAATTCTTCCCTCAGGAAAGAAGAGGGTCTTAAACCTTCTTCCTGAGGGAAGAAATGTATTAATCTGGGTTACGTGTATCGACATAGTTATGCTCTTGTACGTTCTTGTAGTCTTATAACATGTTAATACCAAACCGCCATTTTGTTCAAGAAAGTGAATAGACCAGCTGTCAAAAAGGCTAGGTGACAAAGACCAATAAAGACGTTATGAATATTTTTTCTTGTATAATGTAATACACATCTAACACGAACTACCTCGAAATTAGTGATGGTAACCGGGAACGACAGGGTAACGTGCTTTGTAAGGCAACACAGTGATGCCTGCTACTTTCAGAGTCCGGAAATTAGAAATTTTCTTATACAAATCACCCATAACTAGTACCTCATTTAAATACAAAACACTTCTAACGGTTTCAAACGCGAAATATATATTAATCAATTTTACTTTAAATATATTCTAACTACGGCCGGTGCCTAGATACAATACCGTTTTTAAACGTTAAGAAGTTTATTATTTAAATAAAAGTATTGGATGAAATACTGTCTATAGTTTACGCGAGTAGTACACATTTAAATAAAACACTTTAACGGTTTAAAAATATATTAGGTAAACTTATTTTAGCCGTGGCCACGGTTGCTGCAAAGCATCCGAAACGTCGGGCCGGCGAAGTTAAAAATAATTTCTAAATAAGTTTAACTAATATATCGCGTTTTAAACCGTTAAAGTGTTTTATTTAAAAGTTTGAATGAATTGTACTTCACTCGACCCGGGATCCCAACAAGATATACCTCTTGGTCTGTATTTATTGTACTACCACTACACACAGCACTAAATACTATTTATAAAATACTGTATTTAAAAATTCCTGTATATGTATGTTTTAAATCATATAATTTTTTAAAAATAACACTTCCCATTGCATATTGATGGTGACGTTTTTGAATCGAAGTAAACAAACAGAGCTAAACTTTTTGGTTAAACAACGCGACATATTTTAATTGCAATGTCAATTTGCCATCGGAACGAATACAAACATTTTACACAAAGTTTGTA